ATGTATCATTGATTCACTGAAGAACCATAACCACTAACCAAGTATAATTGTTTTGTATGTTTAGAAACATAATTTATATTTTCATAACTTCTTAATAAATATGCACAGTCGTCTGCACAATAGCGTTTTCATTAATTAATGCATTTTAAGTGGAATTCAAAATAAAAAGTGTTGTTTTATTAGTCAGGACATTTATAAACAAGCTTTTATTTTTATAATTGTCCTATTGTGAGTCCAGGGTCCCATATCAATACACACTTAAATACTTTAATAGAAAATAATAGAACTGCCATATTTCAAACATTAACTTGAAGTTACCTTCACAGATCACTTATACTTCACTATTTCATATTCTGTTAGCTGTTGTATGTTTTTGCTCATTTTTCAGGAGTTCCTTTATTATTAAACTTCATAAACACAGCACAGTTCAGATACATATTTATAATAAAGAAATAACACAGATAAAACAAAATGCTTTGTGCTTGCAGTAATACTTTATTGTTCTCCTGTAAGGGTTCTGGATCCTCCTCATACAGGAAGGGGGGAGTGGGGGGTTGGGGGAATAGACCAAATGCCCCTAACAAGCATGTCAAAGGAGAGAACCCATTAGAGGTGTATTTGTCTGAGATGCAAGGAACCAACAATCTGCATATAAATAGAGTTTACAGCTTGTGAACACTAAGAAGAAGAAGAAATGATTGTATTGTTTGTCTCCTATCTACTTTGATATGTTGAAGCATGAGCAGAGAATACATCTAAATAGAATCCAATGGCTGTCTAATGTTCTTAAAGCAGTTCATTTCGTGCACTGTTCTCTGCTTATGACTCCCCTTTTCTCTCACATCTTCCTAATAATGTTTCTCTGTTTCTGTGTCCCCTCAGTATATGCAGTTTCAAACTCAATATCATTTAGAAGTTTACAGTTCAATAGTAATTTAGCGTTGTGGAGTTTTCAGTACCTTTATTAAACATGAAATGATAAGGTACTAGCCACTTTTGGCTGGAGTAATGTTGTGTACATCCTGGAAACTATAATGGCTACAGTTATTCAGGAAAATTCACACATAATTTATGTGAATAGCTGAAACACTTAACCTTATCAGTCTTCTGTCCTTTATCTAACACTAACCTCAACCCTTACCCTCATGAAATATAGGTCCTCAACCAAGTTGTCGTATCCTTTGCTATAGCATACAGCTCATCCAGTGTCTTCCTTTTTTTCCACTACTAACTTTTATCCTGATTGCTTTGATTCTGGGGGTTCCACCAAGGCACAACATTATAAACTCGGAGCAGTTTCATTGTGTGGTAGTGATATAGTATTCACCCAATATTAATTGAAATATTTTACACACATCGAGTAACACTATTATCTACTAGCTCTCAAATAACACAGCCATCTACTTGCTCTCAGTTAACACCATCATTTACTTGTAGTCAAGTTAACATGATCATCTACTTGCTTCTAAGTAACACCACTATCTACTTGCTCTCAAGTAACACCATCATCTACTTGCTCTTTAAGTAACACCAGTCTACTTGCTCTTAAGTAACACCAGTCTACTTGCTCTCAGGTAAAACCACTGTCTACCTGCTCTCAAGTAACACCATCATTTATTTTCTCTCAAGTAACACCATCATTTATTTTCTCTCAAGTATCACCATCATCTACTTGCTCCCAAGTAACACCCCTGTCTGCAGGCTCTCAAGTAACACCACCATCTACTTGCTTTTATATTTAAAAAGCTCATGTTTGGTTTTCTTGTTTTCAGGGGTGAGTGTAAGGAATGTACAGGCTTTTCAAGTTCTACAGTCAGTCTTCCTCAAAGTGAGTGGCAGTCAGCACTTGAATCCTAAGTCTAATAAATGTAAATGATCAGAGGATCATAATTCTTAAGCCATTCATAGGAAAAATTCATTAACATAACTCATAGTTGATGCCTGTGGGATTTTATCCAAGTAGATAACAAGCTATTCTCATTGAAAGTCAAAATAACAAAATTGGCAAAACTAAGCATTTAGATTCAGAAAACATTTATACAAACTTACACAAAACTTTAACATTAGTAGCTAGTTTATACCATCAGCCTAAACCATTGACACCCATAGTCATTTATAACAGTACACCTCAAACAGTCACACAGGCAGTCATTTATAACAGTACAACTCATAAACATTCTCACTGGCAGTCATTTATAACAGTACACCTCAAACATTCTTACTGGCAGTCATTTATAACAGTACACCTCAAACATTCTCACTGGCAGTCATTTATAACAGTACACCTCAAACATTCTCACTGGCAGTCATTTATAACAGTACACCTCAAATGTTCACACTGGCAATCATTTATAACATTACATCTCAAACATTCACACTGGCAGTCATTTATAACAGTACACCTCAAACATTCTCATTGGCAGTCATTTATAACAGTACACCTCAAACATTCACACTGGCAATCATTTATAACATTACATCTCAAACATTCACACTGGCAGTCATTTATAACAGTACACCTCAAACATATTCACTGGCAGTCATTTATAACAGTACACCTCAAACATATTCACTGGCAGTCATTTGTAACAGTACACCTCAAACATTCTCACTGGCAGTCATTTATAACAGTACATCTCAAACATTCACACTGGCAATCATTATAACATTACATCTCAAACATTCACACTGGCAGTCATTTATAACAGTACACCTCAAACATTCTCACTGGCAGTCATTTATAACAGTACACTTCAAACATTCACACTGGCAGACATTTATAACAGTACCTCTCAAACATTCACACTGGCAATCATTTATAACAGTACACCTCAAACATTCTCAGCCATTTATAACAGTACACTTCAGACATTTACACTGGCAATGATTTATAACAGTACACCTCAAAAATTCACACTGGCAGTCATTTATAACAGTACACCTCAAACGTTCACACTGGCAGTCATTTATAACAGTACACCTCAAACATTCTCACTGGCAGTCATTTATAACAGTACACCTCAAACATTCACACTGGCAGTCATTTATAACAGTACATCTCAAACATTCTCACTGGAAGTCATTTATAACAGTACACCTTAAACATTCACACTGGCAGTCATTTATAACAGTAAATCTCAAACATTCTCAATGGCAGTCATTTATAACAGTACACCTCAAACATTCTCACTGGCAGTCATTTATATCAGTACAACTCATAGACATTCACACTGGCAGTCATTTATAACAGTACACCTCAAACATTCACACTGGCAGTCATTTATAACAGTACACCTCAAACATTCACACTGGCAGTCATTTATAACAGTACACCTCATACGTTCACACTGGCAGTCATTTATAACAGTACTCCTCAAACATTCACACTGGCAGTCATTTATAACAGTACACCTCAAACATTCTCACTGGCAGTCATTTTAATCAGTACACCTCAAACATTCATACTGGCAGTCATTTATAACAGTACACCTCAAACATTCACACTGGCAGTCATTTATGACAGTACACCTCAAACATTCTCACTGGCAGTCATTTATAACAGTACACCTCAAAAATTCACACTGGCAGTCATTTATAACAGTACACCTCATACATTCACACTGGCAGTCATTTATAACAGTACACCTCAAACATTCACACTGGCAGTCATTTATAACAGTACACCTCAGACATTCACACTGGCAGTCATACATAACAGTAAACCTCAAAAATTCACACTGGTTATTACGTGTCAGTGGTAGATTGAAAACCTTTACTTGTCTTGGTCGATTAAACCGCCCAGTTGTAACAAATTAGCATTCCTGAGACTCAAAGAGTTAAACATGGCAGTAATTGATACTAGCAGTTATCGATACTTGCAGTAATAATTACTAGCAGTAATCGATACTAGCAATCATTTATACTTGCAGTAATTTATTCTTGCAGTCATTGATACTAGCAGTCATCAATACTTGCAGTCATTGATATTTTGCAGTGATTGATACTAGCAGTCATTGATACTAGCAGTTTTTGATACTTGCAGTAATAATTACTAGCAGTAATCGATACTAGCAGTCATTTATACTTGCAGTAATTTATTTTTGCAGTCATTGATACTAGCAGTCTTCAATACTTGCAGTCATTGATACTTCCAGTGATCGATACTAGCAGTCATCGATACTAGCAGTAATTGATACTTGCACTAATCAATACTAGCAGTGATTGATACTAGCAGTCATAGAAACTAGCAGTCTTCAATACTTGCAGTCATTGATACTTCCAGTGATCGATACTAGCAGTCATCGATACTAGCAGTAATTGATACTTGCACTAATCAATACTAGCAGTGATTGATACTAGCAGTCATAGAAACTTGCAGTAATCGATACTTGCAGTAATTACTACTAGCTTTCATTGATACTAGCTTTCATTGATACTAACAGTAACTGATACTTGAAGTAATCAATACTAGCTTCCATTGATACTATCTGTCGTTGATACTTGCATTAATTGATACTTGCAGTCGTCAAAACTAGTAGTAATCGATGCTTGCAGTAATAAATACTAGCAGTCATTGACACTAGCAGTCATTGATACTAGCAGTCATTAATACTTACAGTCATTGATATTTACAGTCATTAACATTATTTTTGTTAGCAATAGTTTTTTGATACAAGCAGTCATCAACACTATTATTGTTTATTTCAACAGTCATTGATATCAGCTTGCTGACATCTGTCTCTGACACAAACAGTCACTCATGCTATTGAGCATTTACCATTTATATGTGAGGTGCAGCAGTGTACAAAATAGATCCTCTCAACACTATCTTTCCATAGCTGCATTACTTGCTGCTGTTGTGCCATGTTGTACCAGATATTGTTAGTCATTGATTGTATGCTGCAGAATATTGCATTCAGTTTGATCATCATCATAATTGTGCTTTATTTGATAGTTTGTCAGCTAACGGACAGAAATGCTTTATGTTCCTGTCATCACAGTCAAACACCAGCAGCCTGTGTAGTACCATTCTGGATGTCATCAGTAGCATCTACCACCAGGACAATGCCAACTACTTCATTCTGGAATCTCAGCACACGCTGTCTCAGTTTGCTGAGAAAATATATCTGAAGCCAGAAGATGTCCAGGTATGAACCAGCATGTGTAACTCTTTCAGTTTAGTTATGTACAGTTTGTATGTGTCTGTGTGTGTGTGCGATTATGTGCACCTATCTGCAGACAGTTTGATAGTAATGGATGAGTTAATTTTGGGATGTGAAATGTAGGCTTTCAGATATTCTAAGCCAGGACATATGAAGTGGGTTAGCCAATTTCATTTGACATTTCCTTTCCTTACCAGACTATTCCTAGAAAATTCTGGATGTTGTCTAGTATTTATTTTTTTTATTTTTTTTTAAACACAAAGCTGGGTCAGCCTCAGAGCTTTGCTGGTAGTGGCTGTACTGCCACTTCTGGGGACTGAACAGGGTAGGCAGGGGCACTAACCACTGTGCCGCCATAGCGTGTGTGTGAGACACAGTTTATATTGTTAACCATGTCAAACTAACAGAACTCTTCTGGTTGAACAAAATAACGCACTTGTAGTATTAGTTTATGTTCACATTATTCAACCATATATTTATAGGCTTGTTAAGGGTAAATTAAAGAACTTTTTGATGACATTGCAACTCTGACATTTCAAATGTTGTGTCTCTAAACAATATACAAATGAAGTTTAATTTTCAAATTATTTTAAAATTAACTTAAAAATTGACAAGGGGCTGAAAATTGTGGGAGCATCATTGGATCTTCAAATTCCAAGGGTTATCATGTAGTCCAGAATGATCCTGTCCTATATTCACAGACACAAGTTATGCAGAGTTCATAATAACTTTTGCTAACTTTCAATTTATGTTTAATATACATTTGAAATATTTGTATATCTGAAATCATTAGTTTCAACTAACTACAAGTACTTTTAAAATACTTAATATATATTATTTTTATTTATAAACTGAATTTAGTTTTCATTATTTGTACTAAATAGATAAAGTTTTTTGAGATGCTGGAGTTCCTGGTGTTCAACTTAAACTTTGTGCCATGCAAGGAGCTTATTAGTGTGAGCATTCTCATCAAATCACAACAGTGAGTACTGAGTTATTTTCTCTTCTTCTTTTGTATTCATCCTTGAAAGGGCACTTGGCATGTTGTGACTTACAGGTAGGCTGCAGGATCTGCACCTTTTGGCCCAACACATCTGATTTTAGCTTTTCCCTAATTAGTTGCCTTTTATGACCTGTCCCCCCCCCCACCCCTCTTTTTCTTCTTCCCCCAACCCCTCCTGAAATGTATTAACCTAATCCACACATGTATTTATTATGTAAATTACGCTGTTGTAGAACTGTAGTGTATCTCTTATTCAGCAACATTATGTAACTAATAGTGATACCACTGTGTTTGCTAAATATGCTTGCTTTAAACTCACTTATTATTTTTTTTAATGTGCTCTCAATTTCATAATCCACCTTATCTTATATTCACAGTGAAGACCAGCTAAGATAGTCCTTCCCTTCCTCCATATTGCAGATAGAGCAAAGACTAGAGAGGGTTGTAGGCCCTTTATAGAGTATGGCTGTCATCACAGCACCATGGAAAGCCACCCAGTCCCTTGCCAACTTTCCAGTCTTATTAAAATACATGCCCAGAAATAGAAATATATGTCCTGTCCTGACCCAAAGAAAATAAACAACCTGACCAGGAAAGACAAAACACCATTTTCATATTTGAGCACAACATTTATGGCTTAACATCAAGGATCCAGACCACCCTTGAAAAAATAGAAATGGTGCTATCAGGTTGTCGAGGACATAGCAGCATGCATATATGTGGGGGGTACACCACTATACATTATGTACAGGAGCAAGTGAAATTGTAGGTAATACACCACTGTACTTATACTTTACATACAGCAGCATGTGAAGATGTAGGTGGTACACCACTGTACTTACACATTGCATAGAACAGCATATGAAGTTGTAGGGGGAACATGACTACTTATACTTTACGTACAGTGTCATGTGTAGATGTAGGCGGTTCTTCACTATACTTCACATGCAGTGGCATATGTAGATGTATGAGATACACCGCTATACTTTTACTTTACATACAGCGGCATGGATAGAAGAAGGCGGTACACCACTGTATTTACACATTATATGCGTGCGTGCTTGTGAAGTTATAGGTGGTACACCACTATACTTAAAGTTTACGTACAGCAGCATGTGTAAATTTAGTTAGTAAACCACTATAATTATACTTCACATACAACAGCATGCTCAGATTTAGGTAGTACACCACTATACTTTACATACAGCAGCATGCGCAGATGTAGGTGGTACACCACTGTACTTTACATACAGCAGCATGCGCAGATGTATGTGGTACACCACTGTACTTTACATACAGTGGCATTTATAGATGTAGGTGTTACACCACTATACTTTACATACAGAGGCATGTAAAGATGTAGGTGGTACACCACTGTATACTTTACATACTGCAGCATTTGTAGATGTAGGTGGTACACCACTATACTTTAAATAAAGCAGCATTTCTAGATGAAAGTGGTACACCATTGTACTTTACATACAGTGGCATGTGTAGATGTTGGTGGTACACCAGTATACTTTACATACAGCAGCATGCGAAGATGTGTTACACCACTATACATACAGCAGCATTTGTAGATGTAGGTGTTACACCACTTTACATACAGTGGCATGTGTAGATATAGGTGGTACACTATACTTTACATACAGCAGCATGTGTAGATGTTACATAAGTTTCAGTAAACTGTTTCTTGTATGTGCTTCAGGTGTGTATTAGATGTGTTTGTTAATGTAGTTTGTTTTCATTACGGCTCTGTTGCTTAGAGTTTAGCAAAAATACAAGGTCTGACAATTAAGTAATGAGACTGATTTTATTATGGCTAAGACAAAAATGCCATCTATGAAGTAAAGCATGGAATCTAAAGAGGCAACATTAATCTATGATCTGGCAACTTTTCATTGCTGCTCCATAAGCAGACAACAGACAAGCTCCCATTTTGTTGACCTAGTCAGGTGCATTTTTATGTAATCAGCACGGAGCACAAAGCTAACATAAAATTTTTTTTTAAACTCAGAAAAAACCCACCATTGAAACAGTTGAATTGATGTAACAAGTTTTATCGGGATAATTATTTATGTCGTGCACATATTTTCAGGAGGTTTTCACGATTCAAAAGTGGTGTGGAATGATTACTAATGTACCTAGACCTGGAAGCCAAATTTATGTTCGTAATGATGGAGTCATTGCAAAAGTCAGAGAACAGATACAAGAAGATCTTTGTTTTACTGTGAGGATGATGGCAGACGAATCTGATGTTAACAGTGAGATCATTCATAACATTTTAGTGCAAGATTTTGGCAAGAAAAAAGTTGCTTGCCGGTTTGTACCACATTCGTTGTCTGATGACCAAAAACATCAAAGTGTTGAGTACCCAAGAGACATCATCAAAACAAGAATTTTTTTGCCCAAAAACAAGTGTGTGTTCTCAGCCTTCCACTCTGTTCCCCAGATTTGTCTCCCTGTGATAATTTTCTATTCCTAAAATTAATGTTACGATTGAAAGGACTCTTCTTTAACGATATTGATGACATCCAAAGGGATGTAACATCGACTTTGGGAGTCATAACAACAAAAGAGTTACAGAGGTCGTTCCAGTGTTTCTTAGATTTTATAACTTGCAGTATCAATGCACAAGGGGCTTACTTTGAATCAGATACCGGTTATATCTTCAACTGTTGATTATTTTAATTTTTATGGAATTAGTCTCATTACTTAATTGTTGGACCTTGTAGTTTCATGATGCAATCCTCAATGTTTACCAGGAAGTGTTTTCAGATATGTGCGTTTTGGGAAAAGATCTTTGTATTTCTTTTTGAGTTTGAAAGTTCAGTCACACTATATCAGCCGTTCTTGGTGCAAAATGGCAAACAGTTGATGAATTTGCAGAATTTTATTTCACAGTTAGACAAAGCTTTCATCCATGATTATTTAAAAACATTTTTTTTTTTTTTTTAAATTATACTTTGCCAGATATTTTTTCGCTTGCTGTTTTTACATCAGTGTAAATCATGGTGATGATGATAAGTTTTGTGCAATAATACAAAATATAATGGGTTTATGTTAGATAGTTGTGAAGCTTTGGAATTGTTTTAGTCTACATTGCTATCAGAAAAATGTTTTTGTTGTTGCATTTGTTGCACCAATTTACAGCCACATGAGGATGATGTCAAACAAGATTACGCAGATCTTGTTCTTGAAATGTATTCTTCATTCAATTTGGTGCCGTAATACAAAATACTTTGTGTTTATGTTAGATAGTTGTCAAGCTATGGTATTGTTAGTAGACACTAAAATACAAAGTATCTAGGAAAGCGTAAGGGTTAATGGGCGTGGTAGTCAGTGTGTTAATATTAAAATATTGTTATTAGCATATTAACTAATAACTGTTTTTCATTTGTTTCAGTTCCATTGACTGCAGCATTTTGTGCATGAAGTCTTTGTTGCGAATACTACGCTACCACAGCGTTTACCGGGATGTGTTCAGGGAAGTTGGAATGCTGGAGGTTATGGTTACCTGCTTACACAGGTATGCAGCTCAGTTGAAGGAACAGAACAGCCAGACAGGTGAGAGAAGCTTCTGTTCTGATTCCTGATTTCTTCATGTATTGATGTTTGGCAGTAATGTTTGTAAAAGTTTGCCTGACTGATATTGTTTTGTTTCATCACCTAATAGAAGCTATCACAGTCTCAGAAGAACAACAGGAGCTTGGCTTGCTGGTGATGGAAGCTCTTGCAGTCTTGTTGTCTGGCAATGGTGCAAATGCAGGTCAGATATTAAATAATGATGTTCTCATTTTGTATTAAAATAATATACATTATTGAAACGGTAATCATCATCATCATGTGCCCTGCCAACTGACTTGGCGCTCATGTATCTCCACAGATCACAATCCCTGGTTGCCTGCAACACCTCTCTTGATAATATACCTCCATGGCATCTTTTCAGCCCATCCAGCATCATCTCTCTTTGTCTGCCTCTACCCCTTTTTCCACTGATCTTTCCAGTTTTCTCAGTGTTTTCCAATGCCTCTCTTCTCATTATGTGGCCAAAGAACAATGTTTGTCTCCTTCTTATTGTTGTATATAGAGTTAATATAGAAAAGTTGATGTAACAGTTGAATGAAATAGTTGTTTTTTTTCAATACTGGAAAGAGGATTAATATTGACTGTTGTCATTAAACATTTGGAGTCCCAAGGAAAGCATTATGCGCTGGTTGGTTACTACCCAGGCGGCCAATCAACATGTGGCGCTTACTGGTTTTTAATTGACCACTGGCCAGTATAACAATGCAAACCGGCAGTTTTAAATGGTATTTCTTGTTCATTGTGTTCAATGTCACACGTGTTTGTGACCTTTAGGCTTTTTTTTTTAGGCACGCGTGCGTGCGTGCGAGCGCGAGTGCACGCGCTTGCGTGCGTGAGCGTGCTTGTGTGCGTGCGTGCGCGGGCGCACGCGCACACTTAACAAGAGACCTCTACATCTCGTATTGTTACTAAATCAAAATAACCAACCTGTGTGTGTGTATATGTGTGTCGACAGTATCCCTTTAGTTGTGATACTTCCACATCACATAGTCTATTTATCCACTCTATTCTATCCTTTACAGATCTTTTGATATCATTTGTGGAATCCAGTCTGATACCTCATGACATCATTTTACATCATAGGATTTCTCCTGGAAATCCTCACTTCCTGAACCCATTTGTTTCAAATTTCAGTGCCTGCTTTTTAGTTCTTTGTTCTTTGCATCTCAGAATGTTTCCAGTATTACCACATCTTCTTTCTTTCATACATTTGTGTTACTAGTGGTTATCCAAACATTTCTCTGATTTCTGCATGAATTCCAAATTCTCCACCCAGTCGTTGTTAATATAAAAAATATAAAAAAATATAAATGTTATCAGACAGTTTGGGTTCCACGAATATAGAGACACCAGAGATGCGTTTGGAATGCCGATGTTTTCTGCCGAGAGATTTAATCAACAAGACAGATTTCTCTTTATTTGCCTTGGAAATTCCACACTGAGGGAAGAGAGAAGGTCCACCAGTAGTACTAAGAGTGAGTATTATCACAAGGCCAGCTGAATGCTTTACAGAACAAATGATAAAAGAAGCTGCTGAAATATACCGCATGGGGAAGTCAGGGCATCATACTTTAGTAAATGATAAGTCCTTTCAACTGAAAAACACGCATCACCTTGTCCATTGTTACACTAAACATCTTCTCATCAGGCAAGTCAGAGATTATTGAATAGAATGTTCTGTTGTTCAGCACACTGTTATGTTTAATTATACAGTTACATCAACAAGAAGTCTGATTGATTGACTGATAGGTTATCGACTGCCTATTGTGAAAGATAATAAAGTGTCTCCATTTACAGGGGTATTCAGAGAATGTGGGGGAGCTCGGTGTGCCCACAATATGGTTCCCTTTCCTGAGTGTCGACAGCAGGCCTTGCATATAGTGCAGCAGCTAGTTCTGTCTCCTGGTGGAGATGATGATATGGGCACCTTGCTGGGACTCATGCCGACTGCCTCCGTCACAGACCTGGAACTAAAGACACATATTTTGAAGGTTAGTTGTTTGTTACAACACTGTGTCATCAATAGAATTGTGCTCTCTTTGTTTTTCTGTGTAAACAGAACTATAATTGGTATATTTATGCCATATTAATTAGTTTAGAAAAGCATGGTGGTTTGAATTAAGGCTGTACCGAATATTCGCTTCGTATTCGCTTCGGGGCCGAATAGTGGACCTAATAACTATTCGGTATTTGCCTGAATACTTGCGGTCGGGCGGAATACGAATGGTGGTTACCTTACTCCTGTTTCTGCATACACTGTGATGGACTGAAATAACTCTCTCATTAACACAATAGTTGCTGTTGCCTAAGTCTGTCATAGCGGGGGAAACTGCGACCCGGTTGCGTGGTACAAACTGCATAAAATGCCAACCGCAGTGTGTGTGTGTGTGTGTGTGCGCGCGCGCGTGCGCGTGTGTGAGTGTGTGTGTGTTGTGTGAGAGCGAGAGAGATTTTTCGTTCTTTCAGGTTGTCTTCAGCCAAATCAAATTTAAAGATATTGCTAACGAGAATATAAAGGTTGCGTTTAAATTACATCGAACGAACGATGGTTTTGAGGTTTTGAAAGAGGTGGGAGCCCGAAGACAACTAATCACAGACATCAGAAGGAGACAGTCATATTTTTTCGGCCATGTTATAAATAAGTAGAAGGAAAATGAAACATTTGGTGACCACTGTAAAGATCTGTGGTAGGAGGGGTAGAGGAAGACAACGATAGAAGATTCTTGACAGGTAGAGGAAGACAACGATAGAAGATTCTTGACAGGTAGAGGAAGACAACGATAGAAGATTCTTGACAGGTAGAGGAAGACAACGATAGAAGATTCTTGACAGGTAGAGGAAGACAACGATAGAAGATTCTTGACAGGTAGAGGAAGACTATGATAGAAGATTCTTGACAGGTAGAGGAAGACAATGATAGAAGATTCTTGACAGGTAGAGGAAGACAACGATAGAAGATTCTTGACAGGTAGAGGAAGACAACAATAGTAGATTCTTGACAGGTAGAGGAAGACAACGATAGAAGATTCTTGACAGCTAGAGGAAGACAACGATAGAAGATTCTTGACAGGTAGAGGTAGACAATGATAGAAGATTCTTGACAGGTAGAGGAAGACAACGATAGAAGATTCTTGATAGTCTTGTTGCATGGCATGGAGGTGTGTCAGCACTCGAACTGATGCATGTGCAGGAGATAGCAGATTAGGGAGAGGCATGATCGCCCACGCCAGTCGGCAAAGCACCTGATGATGGTGATACACTTTTCGTATTTGTATTCGTATTCGGCCGAATAGTTGGTCCCACTATTCGTATTCGGCCGAATAGTGAAAATCACTATTCGGTACAGCCCTAGTTTGAATAATTGATTTCTACAAATTGTATATGACACCCATGTGTATCTGAGTCCTGACACTTGTTAAACTGATTATAACGAAGTCTGTATAAACAGTTTGGCTCTGTTACATAGTTCTGGCATGAGTCTAGAAAGCTGTTAAATTTGTTTGACAGCTTAGTAACTTCAGTTTTCACAATAGACATGTGTAGACTGAAATAATTTTGTACTTGATTTGATGTCTTTTATTTCATCATCACGTTCCCACAATCCAAGTCCATTCAGCTGCATTCTCTGAATTCTTTTGTTGATATTTTTAAAGTGTATTTTTTTCCTTCATTATGCTGAGATCCTAATTTTGGACTGCAAACTTCAAAGACCAAAATGAATCAGTATTTCCATGCTTGATATTGATTAGAAGAAAGCCTGAGAGAATCATGTGTTACAGCCCATGCTTAGGGTACCTGGTTTATAGGTCAGTCATTTATAACTTGTTCTAGTGGGGGGAAAAAAAAAAACTTCTACACAGATTGAAATCAAAAAAGGTAACTAGGGCAGCTTATATTGTTATGTGTAGGGTAGAGCAGATAGCTTATAATAGAGTTAATGACAAACAACTTTATGTTTTTAAAAGATCATTGCTTCTGGTTTATTTATTACTTTACATCATTATACTGGAGGCACAGCTGTATGTACTCTACCTCTAATCAAATACTGGGATGTTCAGGTACACATTGTTGCTATAGAGCAGTGATTATATATATGTCACTATATCATTGTACTGGGTACCTAGCTATCTGTTCTCTGCCAGCAAATATCATTGCTAGGATACTCATTGTTCTCACAGATCACTAGTTATAAACATCCTTATGCTGTCACCTATTATATGTAAAGGCCTAACACTTTATGCTCCAGTTTCATTTTCTGCCATGTGTTTGAGCTGAAGATCTACACTTTCTCCATTTTGTTGACTATTTCAGTCATTGTTGAGTGTTTTACGGGAAAGCCATCGCACAAGAACTGTGTTCAGAAAAGTTGGAGGATTTGTATATGTCATGTCTGTGCTAGTCTCAATGGAGGGCTGTCTTTCGCATCCACCAAAGTCACCATGGGACACAGGTAAGTCCTGTCATGTTTTGGTATCATTGTGCCTACAACAGAACAACTCAGTTATTGTTTGAAATATAATGTTTTGCATATTTATTTAAGCTCAGTGCAATTATATTTAACTGGCAGCCATTGTTGATCTTACCAAATCCAATATTTGTGAGTATGAAGAATATTTAAAAATGAATCTCTGATAGAATGAAGCATCAACATATTTTGAACTAGTTTGTATCAAGTATTTTATCTTGACTTAAGATGTATTGAAGAAGTTAAATATCTCATTGTGTTTTCTGTAGCGATAATAAATCCATTGCCGGCTTGCTAGGCCTGTCGTAACTTCACCAGAGCCCCGTTGGCCAGGACGTTTCGGGGTGACCCAGGGTGGCCTTCATGGCTACCGTAGCGGTCCCGTGGCACGAGGCCACACTATACTTCGCCCACACCTAGCAATCCCCTACTTTGTTCTTTTACCACCTCTCACGATGAGGACGTGGGGTTGGACTTTGAGAGGCATAAAACATAAAAGAAAATTAGTAACCATGGAAATGAGATGTCTGATAAGGGCTGCAGGAGTGACCATAAGAGATAAGATCAGGAATGAGATCATAAGAGAAAAAGTTGGCACAGAACCAATTCTAAATTACATACAAAGACACCAAGTGAAATGGTTTGCCCACTTAGAGAGAATGCCTTGTGACACCATACCATACAAAGCATACATGGAAAGAGAAGAAGGACGTAGAGCACGAGGTAGACCAAGAACAAGATGGAAGGATAACATCAGAGAAACTCTACAACAGCACGATGTGCCTATGGTCGAGGCAGCCAGAAGAGCTAGAAACAGAACCTTATATCTTCCTTGACACGCACAGCGGTAAAAGATTAAGTGAAGAAGAAGAAGTTAAATGTAAAATGGTCCAAGCAAACATAATATTCAGCAAGATGAAGAAATATGCTAAGCTGCATATCATTGTCAAGTGAGGTGGGAAAGATAGTTCTTAAGGACCATCTTGTGACAAACCTGATATATAAAAGGGAATTTAAGAATGATAAGAACACCATGATCAGATAAAAAGTGCGAGGATGAAGCCTTTAAGAAATACACACACATGCACGCATGCACACGCACGCACTCATGCACACAGACAACAGGTTACTCATACAGTCGATAATTAAGGTAATAGAAATGGGACGAATGTTGTTGTTTTATGTCAGCAGCTGGATGTGATTGATAAGCAGTGTTAATTTTGTCACACATCCAGCCAGTGTGCCTTGAAATTTGCTAGAGCAGTTGCTATATACTTGAGTAACTTGTCCCTGAGTAAACAGAAATACCTGCTGATCAGTTTGAAACTGTTGTGCTAACAGTTACAATAAAATAATATACTACATTTGTTGTGTGTTACGGCTGAAAAGATAAACTTTTGGGTGTCATTATGTATTGATCACACTCTGTGGTATATATTTAACAAGATATAGCAGAATATGTCATGCAATAAATTATATGAATTATTGTCTTCGTTACTTAAATTTCAACAGAAAAAAACTTTTCTTTGAATTTAGTTACTGTACATTTTGATACTTTCATATTTTATACATGTTGGGTATAATAGAAAACATAGGAGCTCACATAATTTATTTATCATATATTTGAGGTGATGTGTTTATATTTTTAAAGATAAGTTTCACCAAGAGTAACTGAGTTTATAAGTTTATGCATGTGCCACATTTTGTAACATCCTGACCTACTGTTTAGGAAAGCTGTATGTTTTCTCTCTTTGGTAGTCATGTTTGATGACTTTTCTGTTTCAGTGGAAAAGAAAGATGTTTTGATGATGTTAAAAACAGTATTTAGTACACTGACAGTAGCCATGAGATTTGAACCAGCAAATGCCAAATTCTTTGCCACAGAGGTGAGCACTGTTTTCTTCTTAGCGTTACACCTTCCTAATTGTAAGTTTTGTGGCCACAAGATAGAGGTGATGTTTTTAAGACATACTTTTTTTCATTGCTGTAGAATTATTTCAGGAACTAGTATTGAGAATCTGGTTTTCTAGTGTTTAGATTGAGTACTGATGTTCTATTAGGTATTGCAGATAATAAATAAAAAAATGCAGATACTCATTCCTAGGCAGAAAATGTCCATTCTGCCCAGAACAGGTGCTGATATCAAAAGTACAAATATACGAGACGCACTAGAAAAGATTCTGTGTATAACAATTTACTAAACATATCATGTAAGTACATTTTATCAGTTGCAGAATGACCATTCTTCCGTTAAACATACAAAAGTATTCTAGAAATATAATTTATTTGAAGATATTCATCTTAGTTAACATGCAAAAGTGTTGTAGAATCTTTAAGTTGCAAAATAATAATCTTTCAAATTATTGTTTTTAATCACCACAGGTGCGATATGACAGTCTGACAGAAGCTGTACGTTTATTGGGCTGTTTTTCCAACAGTGTTGACATTCCTGCTGCATCAGATGGTCTTGTAGTTTCTGAATCTTTAGAGCATTTTTTTGCTGTCTTCTCTCATTGTAAAGAAGAGAAGTGAGTGGAAACCTTCATTTGGTTTGTTTTACAAATAACATTATCCTTCTTGTCCCTGGGTAGGGGGAGCTTACTTATTGTGAAATACCTGATACCTGTAGAGGAAACATGGCAGTTTAAGTGCTATATCATTGTATTCTGTTGTGCTGAATAATCACCTCATATTCACCTTCACAGAGGTGAAGTTCTAATGTTGGTCTTGCACATTCCCCTTGTTTCAGGGTTTGCTTAGGGGAAGGAAGGCTCTGTTACAGTTTTTAAGGAGATGGTACCGGACTGAAAGAAACGCTTCAACATGAACGTTCTATACATGGAAGCACCTTTTAACACTTGAATAACCTAAATGTGATTCATTGGATTTAGGGATTACAGCTCAGTCTGATATTGAATTCACATTCAACTGGTTGTAGATAACATCAGAATAAACACAGACTTGTTTTCATTCTTGATCTAATGACTTCTCGTCCTCTCCTTTCAGCCAAATACACAAAGTAATAAAGGCAGTACCATCACAGATACGGCTGTTGGCGTATTATATTTTAGGTCTGCACATGTTCTAGGCAACAGTATCAGGCTGGGCAGTCAGTTCTTTTCCTGGTTACCTTTCTTCCCCAGACAGTTTCTAGACAATTCTTGAACTCCCCTGGTACCCATTATTGTGAGGCTGGGACAACCCAAGAGCTGGACTGGTTGTTAAAAAAAATCCTGTAACTTCTGGGAATTCATTCCAGACAGCTGTTTTAGTAAGCAAATGCACTAACCGGTATGGCTCTAAACAATAGATATTTTATATGATTTACATTGACATAAACAATATCAGTAAAGAAACAATCTTTTTGACAACATAACTAGTTAACATTGGTACAGAGTTAAAAAAAAACATAATTTTTATTCCAAGAAAAGAGTAAACAGCATGCAGTAGAATTAAAATACATTAAGCAATGAGTGATACAATGATACAGCACACAGCATTTTACAAAATCACCTTCATTTTTGTCCCATAAAATGCTGGTGTGAAAGGCAATGAGAGAGCAGACTTCCTGGCTGGCAGTGCGACTTTCAGGAATGGGCCATCTGTGGACAGGAGAGATACCATAAACTCCATACGAGAGACTAAACACTGTGAGGCTTTCAGTTTCATGGAAAATAATTTTTCGCTGAATAGACTGCATACACTGGGTGTAACCAATTGAAGCAGCAAAACAGGAAGACCATGCTGAAGCCACCTGTCGTTGCATCAGCCAGAACAGAATGGAAGTTGTTGGCCTAAAAACACTTAGAGACATAGGAGGAGGTCAGAGCACTTATGATCATGTCCGATGTGCGATGAAGATGAAGAAAGTTAAATTAAAAGGAAAAGGAAGTATGACAGGAACAATGAATTATGAAACTCTCTCTAGCGCACTTTCTCTTTAAAAAGAAAAAAGAAAAAATGCATGCACCCATGCACGCACGCACACACACATACTAACCCCACCCATCCACACACACACGAACCCCACCCACCCACACACTCACACACCAACCCCACCCACACACACACACACACACCAACACCACACACACCCACACACATTTTTAGTAGCAGTGATTGTGCTATAGCTGTGGGTAAATGTGTGTGAGAGGATTGACACAAAATACTTTGCTTTAAAAAAAAAAATTCTGAAATTTGTGAGACAAGGAGTGAGTAAGCTAAGAGAACAAAGGAGAAAAGTAATTAAAGTGTATGAACATAGATAGCAAGCTGAGAGAACAAAGGAGATAAGTGATTATAGTGTATGAACATAGACAGCAAGCTAAGAGAACAAAGGAGATAAGTGATTACAGTGTATGAACATAGAAAGCAAGCTAAGAGAACAAAGGAGATAAGTGATTCCAGTGTATGAACATAGAAAGCAAGCTATGAGAACAAAGGAGATAAGTGATTACAGTGTATGAACATAGAAAGCAAGCTAAGAGAACAAAGGAGATAAGTGATTACAGTGTATGAATATCACTTCACAGGGCCCCACCCAACATTCCCAAGATCTTGCTGTCTGCATGCATCATTCTCAGGTACTTGTACGACATGGCTTTGGACGCGTTTGACAAGTAAGTGAAGACAGATGATGGGTGTTTCTGTGTTCATAAAGACATTGTTTGTTGCATTCTTTAGTTTCTGCAAGTCTCCTCATTCAAGTTAAGACATGATTACTCAGTATTATAGATGTAATAATCACTTGTCTTGCTGGCATGGGTGATCATGTTTCTCCACATCTTGCAGTCTTCAACAACATATCTCAGTTTGTGTGCTAATCCATTTCCATGACATGACAAAACACTCAAAAACTTTCTCTTATTGTCCTTCTCTAGTTTGTTGTCTATAATTCTTTCCAGTTATCAAAAAATGATCCTTTTTTCATAATATAGCTAAATAATAACTACAGCCTCATTTTAATCTTTATAATTAATTATCAAAATGTGTAATAAAAGTCAGTGGTGTTATTTTGGGACAGGTACATAAATTTAAGTACCTGGGAACATGGATAACATCAGATGAAATAGGCATCACCAAATAAGAAACAGAATAGGACAAGCAAAAACTGCATTTCATAAGATGCAGAACATCTTATGCAATATATCTTTGTCATTGAAGGTTAGAAAAATAATTTTTGCTTGCTACATACATCCAGTTTTAACACAATCAGTAGGCATGCCAAACAGTTTCATGAGGCCTCAGAGATGTGGTTTTATTTTGCTTAAAATACCTTGGACAGCCAAAAAGAGCAACCAAGAGGTTTTAACCCTTTCGCTGCTGCGCCCTCCGCCAGAGCTAACATAACCACTGTGCTAAGCCAGGCGAGAGCTAATCTTTCCCCCTGTGCTGAATACCGTTTTTTCCTTCAAAAGCAGAAGACGCGCTTTCGGCACGGGGTAAAAATTGTACACCTAAAATAAAAAATCGTTGAAGGGGTGTGCTTGAACTTTGCGCTGACAAGTCAGACGCGCTATTACTACGCCATGAAAACTCATTAACAAAAAGAAAACACTACAAACTTACAAAGCAAGCACAAAACACTTTAGTAAGCAAAAACATGGTTTTTATTATTATTAAAAATATCTTTGTGTGTGAAATTTTTCAAAACAAGGTGCGACACACAATGCCAAATCACATTCCTTGCACATGTATCTGGTTTCCCGTCTTTTTTCGCTTTTTGCGCATACCACACACTTTCTTGTTGGGAATTTTTTCGGCGATGTTACGGACTCTATTATTGAAGGGAAATGCCTTTGTATTAAACGAAGTGGCAGATCTTTACTTTTTTGTCCTCCTACACTTTTTCTCTTTTCCTTGTAATATTTCTTTAGAATTTCTCTTACTAACTTTAAGTGAAATTCGGCAACAGGTGTGTTTTTCCCCACAACAACTTTATATAATGAATGTGCACAGTACACCAACCACGCTTCACAAAGGAACAGGATAACGTGTAAAGCATCTAAATCCACATGAACGCACGTGACAGGATGTTTAATTAATTTTTACTTCGGTGATCTGTTGCCGAAAATGCTAAGAGATTAAATTTAAAATTTGCATTTAAAATAATTATTTAAACAAAAAAAAAAAAAAAAAAAAAAAAAAAAAAACTGCGCGTAGGAGTTAAACGCTGGACCTTTCGATTGTAAGGCAGACGTGATACCAACTACACTAGAAATTCACATGAAATTATCAACTGAAAAAATGACCAGTATTGTACACTTTAATAGACAAACACATTTATGTCAGTTGTATAGTATATAATTAACATTAACATTAATCATCACGTCAGTACGTGACCATTTCTTTATTTTGATTATTTTGGATCCGTTTCAAGTCCAGTCGATGTAGATAGCTGGGTCATATGGTCACTGGTCAGTCTTGTTCACAGCCAGAGGTACACGTGTCCGCCGGCGTGCCGCTAAGATAACACAGCTCATATAACTCACACGTTTCAAAGTGATCCTTACTACTACTCCTTGAAAGAAACTCCATTAATTCTTCTTTATTTAAACAAATGTTTTTGTTATTTTGTATTTAAAAAAAAATAAAATAAAAATTTAGACTAACGCAAAACCAGAAATATATTTCAGGGCAAAAAAATTACCGTTCACCGACAATGCTTCTATGGTAACAAAGCAACAGGATAACGTGGAATGTATCTAAATACGCCTAAACTCACTTGATAAGGGTTTTAATTGTATGTAAACGGGTCAGTTTGATCAGATTAAGGTAATGTGTATTGCTATTTCACCCCTAAGAATTACTATTCTTAGCAATCTGTAAAAAAATGTCCAGGACGAGATATCTCGTCCTTAGCAGTGAGGGCACAGAAAATGGCAGCCGAGTTATCTCGTCTTTAGCAGTCTGCCGGGCAGACGAGTTATCTCGTCCATAGCAGCGAAAGGGTTAAAAGAGGCGGGAGCCTGAAGACAAACTTATCACAGATATTAGAAGGAGACAGTCATAATTTTTCAGCCATGTTATGAGAAGAGGGAAAATGGAACATGTTGTGATCACTGGAAAGATCCATGGAAGGAGAGATAGAGGAAGACAACGAGAGAAGATTCTTGACAGTCTTGTTGCATGGCATGGAGATGTGTCAGCAAACGAACTGATACATGCTGCAGGAGATCACAGATTGTGGAGAGGCATGATCGCTTAGGCCAGTCGCAAGGCACCTGATGACGATGATGAATTAGTTATCTTCATGTCTTATTCACTTCCATAATGTTTAGATTACTCATTTTGGCTAACCAAGCAGTTGTCAGCATTTTTCTGTTCAACCAAATCTGTGAGGTGTATTTTCTGTGTTAGTGATTGGCATTTTTCTGTTCAACCAAATCAGTGAGGAGTATTTTCTGTGCCAGTGTTGGCATTTTTCTGTTAAACCAAATCTGTGAGGTGTATTTTCTGTGTCAGTGTTGGCATTTTTCTGTTAAACCTAACCTGTGAGGCGTATTGTCTGTGTCAGTGTTGGCATTTTTCTGTTAAACCAAACCTGTAAGGTGTATTTTCTGTGTCAGTGTTGGCATTTTTCAGGTTGTGTCTGTATATATCCTTATACATTAGCTTTGGCCTTCCTGTAGATCTTTTCCCTGTTTCAAGTTTACCATACAGGAGATTCTTTGGAAAGAGACCATCTTTCTTGCAAGAGTCAGGTCCCAACCAGGACAGTATTTTCTGGCTTGTTTAGTAATTGTCTAGGATTCACAGCTGTATGTTAAAACTGGTGCTATGTAACATGCAAGTATTTTGTTTCTACTCTCTGATGGCAAACTTTTATTGCGTTTTTAAAAATAAAATTCAGTGTCAATGGATAGAGAAATCAACATACGATGTGCGAAAGCAAATCATGTTATCTTCTTCTTCTTCTTTACTTCCTCTTTTACCGCTGTGGGTGTCGAGGGAGATATAAGGTTCTGTTTCTAGCTCTTCTGGCCGCCTCGACCATAGGCACATCGTGCTGTTGTAGAGTTTCTCTGATGTTATCCTTCCATCTTGTTCTTGGTCTACCTCGTGCTCTACGTCCTTCTTCTCTTTCCATGAATGCTTTGTATGATATGGTGTCACAAGGCATTCTCTCTATGTGGGCAAACCATTTCACTTGCTGTCTTTGTATGTAATCCAGAATTGGTTCTGTGCCGACTTTTTCTCTTATGATTTCATTCCTGATCTTATCTCTTATGGTCACTCCTACAGCTCTTTTAAGAAATCTCATTTCGGTGGTTACTAATTTTCTTTTATGGTTTGTTGTGAGTGACCATGACTGGCACTGGTAGCACAGAGTTAGAATAAATATGCTTTGAATAAGATGTCTCTTTGTGCTGATTGGGATTGTCTTATGCTGTAAGAGGGGAGCTAGCTGTCCCAATACTTGGTTTGCTTTACTGCATCTAATGTTAATTTCTTTATCCAATTTTCCATCTTCGGTAAATGTAGTTCCCAGATATTTAAACTCAGATGCCTGTTTAATGCCTTTGCACTCTATTGCTATGTTTAGATCTGTCTTCTTGTTTTCTATTGAAATTACTTCTGTCTTTTCAGTGTTGATTGTCATATTATTTGTTTTACATTCTTCATTCATGGATGTTAGATGTTGTTGCAATTTCATGGCTGTATCTGCTATCAAGGCCTGGTCATCTGCAAAGTGTAATTCGTTGATCTTACTAACATTTTCATTCATGGGCTTGGCATTCTTGCATATACTGTCGATGTAGGTGATAAACAGCAGTGGTGATAAGACACACCCCTGTCTTACTCCAGATGTCACTGTGAATGGATGAGATGTTCCCTGATTTATTCTAACTACACTTCTACAATCCCTGTATAAACTTGGTTAATTTCTTTCTGTGTTTCTTTAATGTAAGATGTTTTGCTGTTAACACAACTATTTTATGGTCAGTGTCACATAGACCATTAGGGATTGCTCTTGAATCAAGAATTCTCCTTCTTCCTTGAACTGATACATGTAAGTATAAAGTCAATCTGGCTCTTGATGGAGACATCATTCCATTTGTACCAAGTGTAAAGTTGTGAATCTCTATGGTCAAAGAATGTGTTCGTAATAAAAAGATTGTGCTGGCTGCATAGATCCAATATTCTTTGACCATTTCCATTTCTAGCACTGTTCTTAGCTGCATGTGGACCTAAAAACTGTTTGTATTCTTTTCTGTTATTTCCTACCCTCCCGTTGAAGTCACCCATTACATATAGTATGCTGCTTCCCTCAACTTTCTTTATCTAATCAGACAGATCGTCAAAGAATTCATCTTTCTGCTCTTCTGTATAATTATCATTGCATGGTGCATATATCTGTATATATGTTTCAGCTGGTTCTCCTCTTTTAATTTTCAAAGTAATCAAAATCATGTTATGGGGCAGTTAATAACCCGCTTCTGACACATAGAAAGATACCTCTGTCAACCAAAGCAAATCTCATAAGAACCGTTTTTTGGCCGACATTGTGCGATAAGTGCCAAACATCGACCCTTACTACAACTAATGAGCGGAAGGTCATAACAACAGAGATGAGATGTCTTAGGAGAGCTGCCTTTGTGACAAGAAGAGATAAAATCAAGAATGAAGAAATTAGAAGAAGACAAGGACTGAAACCAGTCATACAACTCATTAAAGAAAAACAAATGAGATGGTTTGGCCACCTGACGAAAATGCCCTGATACCAATAGCCACAGAAAGCCACGTTGAAGAAATATAATAAACACAGAGCAAGGGGAAGACACGCAAGAGATGAAGCGACATCATCAGGAGCAACCTAACAGAGATGAACACCAGTTTGTACAATCCATTGGAAAAAATGCACAAAATGATCCTTTGCATCTCCCTCCAACACCTCGCTGAGTTAAATGGTGGAATAGAAGATGAAGAAGAGGAAGAAGTAGTTTTGCTTGTAATATAATGTCAAATTGTACACTGTCTTTAGAACTTGTAGTTTAAACTCTGGTATTTCAGTAATTCTCATGTGCAGAGTTTTATTTCTCTGCATTGTAACATTGATGTATAATTTATGTGAGTTCACAGAAAAAAAATCACTTTAAAACTGACTGAGTCTGTTTAGTTGTATTTAATTTTATTTTATGATTGAAAAAAGAGCATTAAAACAAATGAAATGAGCTAATTAAAAGATATAGAATAAAGTCTTCTCTGTGAGTGCTTGTCTGAACAAAGCCAGTGAAGATCGTAATAGATAATAATTGATAGTGTAATCTGAATGTTTTGTTTTAAATTATTTAGGCCTAACCATCTAAAGGCTGGGGACTCACCATGCCTGAAGAAACATACATCTGTGGTTGAGGAAGGTCAGTCCTCAACATCCTCCACATCCCCAACTACATCCAGCATGAGACCAAAGAGTGGCAGTACGGGTAGTTTGACGCTCAATCTCATTGGCAGCCCAGACCCTATGTTGGTCCATTCTGGAGCTGTCTTGTCTATATTTCATCTGTTGCCGGCTGTAGAAGATCCGTCTGATCCTCAGGTATGTCCGGCTGTAGAAAATCCCTCTGATCCTCAGGTATGATTGATTTCTCAGCTTAGTTGGTAACAACTGGCTTCAATAAAAACATTCTCTACAACATGCACAGTCCAGAAAATAATGTGTTAGTACATAAATCCAAAACACTGAGTTCTTTAAATATATGCAGATATCTTTTGTGTTAGGAAACTGAAGATTTACTGAAAGATTTGCTGATTTTTCTGTTGGCTTATATTAAAAAAAAAAAAGAATTATGTTTCGCATTTGCAATACTTTGAATTAGTTTTTTTTTCCTATGAATTAAAAAAAAAAAAAATACACAAAAAATCAACGAAAACTCTAGACACAAAATTAGACAGTTTTGAAAATAAATGCCTTAGAAGAATACTAAATTTCAAATGGTCAGATTTCCGAACCAATACACAAATAAGGCAAGAATCCAGGCAAGAGTATGTGTCTAATTTTATACGAAAACGCCGCTGGAACTATGTCGGCCACGTCCTTAGAATGGATAAATCAAGACTTCCTTACCAAGCCCTCATTTGGACACCACAGGGGAAAAGATCTCGTGGAAGACCAAGGGAAACCCTACGTAGAACTATCATCAGGGAAGGCTCGCTCATGGGCCACTCAAACATCCAAGACCTACAACGGATTGCAACGGACCGCCGTGCATGGAGAGTCACGACCTCTGCCCTATGTGCCGCACTCGACACAAGAGGAAAGACTAACTAACTAACACAACTATAATTTAATTCTAGCAGTCTAATTATAATCTTGTTTTTAGTTTGCTGTTTGTTTTGTTTTGCTGGGACATGGTTTAATCATCTTATACAAGACTTCACTGTTGTTTTGACTAGATGTTTCACTCACACTTGAAATGTAGGACTTTAGTGAGTAAAGTAAACAAAAGTAAAGGACCCTTTTCCACGTCTTTAGGCATATAGGACGTATAGGGCTAGACCTATATTTTTATAGACCATCAGCACAAGATGGGTGATGTGGTCAGCCTTACTTTCCAGGACTGCACCCAGTACCCACTCAAGGCTGGGTTGACTTGGGAGCTGGGTGGACCGAATCCACGACCTTTCAATCCACATGCGAGCGTCTAGCCACTATACCATGGCGACTCCCATTTCTATGATAAAATGTTACTAAAAGACTATCAGTCAAACAAAATTACTATAGAAAGCCATTTTCAGTAGATGTTTTTGTATGTAAAATTGTGTAGATCTCCACAACAAACTGATGACCATAAGCAACAGATATTACATATAACACCTGTGTGCTAAACTATGCCCACTGTACTGGTCTCACAAAATAATGAATTCAGCCAAAGACTTACAGTGAGTGAACCCATGACCTAGCCGCTCTGCCACGCGACTCCCACTTAAGTGAGCAAAACTCACAAGTTTCTACAACCTCTGATATAGATGTTATCAGATAATTTGTTCATTTACATCCAAAATTTCACTGCCAGTTTGAACATTTTGAAATTATGAAGTAATAGTTATTTGTTGATGAAAGAACAAATGAGCTTGCATACTTGCGCGCCCACACACACGCATGCATGCGCGCGCACATACATGCATGCACATGTGCACACACAAAAGAAGTGAAGCATAAACAGTTAAGTGTAAGGTGTCAGTGGAAATGGTGAAAACCTTCTGTAATGATCATTGGACAGAAATACAGAATCCAGTCTGCTACAAATGAAAGCTGGCAATGTTTGAAGAGACACGAGAGAAGTAATAATACTGTATGAGCTGAGTACAGATAGGCATGTAGGTGATGTGTCTCGCTCATTCTGAATCGGATCAAGTTTATTCCATCTCATTGTTAGTTTATTCGGTCTGAGTTGATGATTTACATCCTTTTTTTTAATACTTCATTTGTATATTTTGCACACACATTTGAGATACCACAGATGGCCCTTGATTGTTGTGTTGATGACAGTAAAGTTGACTTGTGATCTTGGCATCTGAAAATGAATCCAGGAGTTGGTTGCTTTCTTATAGACCTTGTCGTATGACATTGTTAATCATGTCTGTCCATAGCCTTCTGACATGTTTACTGTCAGTCATTTCTGAGACAGATGTTTTTTTCCATGCTTCTTACTTCCACCATTTACCTCAGCAAGGTGTTAAGGGAAGATGTAAGGATCATTTGTGTACTTTTCCAGTTCATTGTACAAGTTGGTGTTCATTTCTGTTAGGTTGCTCTTGATAATGTTGCTACATCTCTTGTGTGATCTTCCCCTTGCTCTGTGTTCATTATATTTCTTCAGCGTGGCTTTCTGTGGCTGTTGGTACCAGGGCATTCTTGTCAGATGGCCAAACTATCTCATTTGCTGTTCTTTAATGAATTGTATGACTGGTTTCAGTCCTAGTCTTCTAATTTTGTCATTCTTGATTTTATCTCTTCTTGTCACACAGGCAGCTCTCCTTAGACATCTCATCTCTGTTGTTACGATCTTCTGCTCATTAATTGTAGTTAGGGTCCATGTTTGGTACTGGTAGCACAATGTCGGCCAAAAAACCGTTCTTATGATATTTGCTTTGGTTGACAGATGTTTCTTTTGTGCGTCAGAAGCGCTGTTAATTGTCCCATAACCTGATTTGCCTTCGCACATTGTATGTTGATTTCTCTATCTATTCTTCCATCAGAGGTGAAAAATGACCTTAGATATTTAAATTAGCTCATTTGTATTATTTCTGTATTATTTACTTTAATTGATATGGTTTTATCTTGTCTACACATTACCATTGCCTCTGTCTTATATTATATTTTTCCATGCAATGTTCCAAAATGTCTATCATTTTCTCTCTTTGTCTCCCTCTGGCTGTCTTCATCTTTAACCTTTCCTTTGTCCCTGCATGCTAAATTTTTAGCTTTCTTGTGACGTACTCAACGAATGTGAATTTTCATTTGTCTGATGGTGGTTCAGCTTAAATCTCCTTAAAAATGCATTATAAAGTATTTAGCTGATACTGTTTATTTAATACTGTTATCATTGTCTCAGGCAAGAAGAACTGCAGTTGTTTGAATAATGTATGTAATTTTAAGAAAGTGTCACTGTTTTCTAATCCATTCTTAGGCCACGCTTGATCTGAGAGTCTTCATAGCAGACCTTCTGAAGTCACTGATGAGAAATGAAAGGAATCAACAAATAATGTGTGATGCCAGGTAGGACCTTGTCAAAACTGTTCAGTAAAATGCATTTCTTAAGTATTAGTAAGGAGAAGTCAAGTAGCCTTGTCATGCTTTGGTGCATCAGGCAAATAGTGCTTGAGTAACATTTAACATTCTTATAAACCTCTTAGCACTTGCTGGGTGATGATGAGTCATCATTATGCTGACCATCTTTACTTTCCATAATATTATCTGGTACTCATTTAAGGTCATTTTTGAAGAAAATCAGGTTCTTTCCCAGTATTCTACCGCAAATGGGAAATCCACAAGTGACAGGATAGTCTAATATTTCAGGCTGTAGTAGATAAAGTGTATAGTGTGGTAATTTGGTAGTTAATTTGCTGTCCAGTTTTGTGCTGTGCAGTTGTTACTTTATTGTGCTTCTGTTGTGCCAGAATGGTTGCTAACATGTCGCAACCCACAGGTTGAGTGTGTCTACACCACATAAACTTGCACATGAAAGAGTCTAAAAAATGTCTGTGTGTCCCATTATGCCGCTTGTTTATTTCCTTTGCCGGTCTTCACAAGCACTTGATGCATTGCGTATGTGTGCCTGTGGGGGTGTCGACAAAATTTATACAGTGATTGACGGTGAGATGCGTCAATCCAGGAATATTCTCAATTCCATTGTACTCATGCCACAGGTTGGAGACTGCCGTCATGCCAGGTCTGATGTTTGTGCTAATGACCAAGAAAAACATCTCTGCTTTCTGTCTGGAACGCAGAACATAAATCACTTGCCTGTTTCGTGACAGACGCCACCAAATACCCACTGTTGTGAAAACACTCATCCCACATAATTGTTCCTCCATGTAAACAAACTTTCCTCAATTACAACAATGGTGCTATCTCTGATCACTGCAGGATTCAACAATAATGTATTGGCACAAACCTCCCGTAAGTAGTTGCTCCACTCCACAGTTGTAGTCTTCTACATGCCTAGCTCTACTTGGCAAAATGGAATGCTTGTCAACTCGTGCAACCAGTAGTATAGAAACAGACTGATTTGTCTGTTAGGCAAGCGCAACCCTTCCTGCCATGTTCCTTGCCTTAACGGTATGTCCAGATGACAGGTCGACTTTCAAAATCGCCATCGGTTGTGACTTTCAGTCAGCGATAATACCATTGCATGATTCTTGCCACAACATCCGGTACTATGCAGAATTGCTATGATATTGCAGGAAAGCAAGGCCTTTCTTTTTGTCAGGCACTGATGCTGCTAATTCAAGGAAATTCATGGCGATGAAGACTGAAAACAAGCCGCTAGAGAGATGCTGCCGTAAGAAACGCAGCAACACATAGAAAGCCAGGAAATGGAAGAAATAGGCAACACTCAGAAAGCTGGGAAACACAAAACACGGATAGCGGGAAACCCGGTCTAACCACCCTCTAAAATATTGGACTGTCGCGTGACGTCATCTGGGTTAGGATATTGGGAAAGAACAGAAAATTCTTCTTAGCTTCTTTCAATTTATATTTATTTTATTTAATAATGTCTGTTTGACCTTAGACTTGTTCTTTTCCCTGCTGCCTGTTACGGTTGATCATGATGCAGTGGATTCTCTTGCCATTATGTTTCTCAGGTCTGCATGCACTCTTGGTTTCCTCGTGGTTAGTTTCACTCAGTGGTGGACTGTCATGTGTATGGGTGACTAACAGTCATTTTTGGCAAACATTTATTATGTCTTCCTTTCTTTCCTGATACCCTGGGATGAATCGCACATTGTGTCACAATTAATCTTCATTTTGCAGATCTTCAGTATGGCACTGCCATTATAGAATTGCCTACAGCACTTCACTATTTGCACAATTAGCATCTGACTTATATGCTTCTTTTGAGAAAATCAAGGGCTGCAGAACTTGTCCATCACATTCATGTCTGAGATTTCACTGTATCCTATACTGGATGGCCAACTTTTTAGGGCGCCTAAGCTGTTTTGTGTTTCCGAAATCACTGGTGATTGATTTTTTAGGCTATAATGATAAATTAATAAAGTATTTATAAGATGATTCAAATAAATTACGTTACCTTGGAAACAAGTATGCATAGTTTAGAAACATTCAGTAATTATAACTTTCTGATGAATATTAAACTACAGTTTAAAAAACAATTACATGCTGCAATTCAAACAATATAAACGCTACTGTCAAGCAGGAAATCAAATGATCATCAGTTGTTAGGTTCCTCTCCTTAGATTTCATTGCATTCACTGTATAGAACGCTGAGTCACATAGAAATCTAGATCCAGAAAATGCTGTCATATAAAATGCCACCTTTATAATATTTGGATAGGATTCTTCTGACAATAATTTCCAGAATTCAGGAGCATTGCTATCAGTTGCTCTTGCTTGTAGGTAAATATTTGTTTGAAAGTACATACTGTTTTCTCAAATGATTGTCTTGATTGTTTTAATTTATTGTTGCTGACTGTATAAAATTATATAATTATTCTGTTTCATGTCCAGGTTTCCACATGAGCTGCTTAGTCATGGTAGTGCTGCATTAGCTGATGAATCTCACCCCCTACACACACATCTGCAATACATGTTTGAAAGACTGGCTTCCCAGTCTTTGACACCAAGGGATCTCAGGTACTGCTTTGTACACAGCTTGTGCATTGACATTGACACTAGTTAATAGAGGATTAACATGGTAGCATTTTGGGCAAATGGTGTACATGTCCTTATTGAGAGACGCGGCTGACCCAAAGAAAACTTTGGCTGTAACATCGAACCCACCATAAACAAGACGGAAAACTACTGCTAGTATGTTAAAGGCACGTCAAAACAAATCACACATAGAAGCCCTTGGGGGAATGGAATAAAGCCTAAAGCATGGATAACATTCAAAACCTTTAAAAATATAAGAGTGGGGAAAATAACGAAGTAAATTTAAACAGTAGTAAGACCAATACAATTGCAGAGTTAGTGAAAAAAAAAAGTAAGAGTGCAGATAATAGTATGTTGCATATCCTTTACAGGACGTTGCAGAACCAACCCTAACAGCTCCTGGCTATTGTGTGGGCTCTCTAGGCAAATTTACTTCCAGTAGTTTGCCATTGCTTTCTGGACGGTCGGCTTTCTTGATACTACTGTCGAAACCAATGCAAGGCGCATTGCCGGCAGCTGGGATCGGAGCTGGCATCCCGGCATTACGAAGCGAATAGTTCGCATCGACTTAGCCACAGAGCCGACAGATAATAGTATATTAAATCAAATATTTAGATAGCTTAGCTGGAGTAGCATCAGTGAAACTGCAGAGATCTTTCACAGCATCACAAGAAATAATAATAGCAAAAATATTATCAGTCAGATAGGTTGATAAAAGTTAGTAATGAGAATGATCTTACCAACACTACAGATCAAGGGAACAGCTAAGCTAAGCTGATTGATGTAATTCTGAATAGACCAGCTCCAAAATACCCTTTATATATCAAGCGTACAGAATTGAGCATGGATGTCAGCTATAGAAACCATCTAAAGAGGGAACTAAAAAAAAAAACTATCAGCCTCCTAAAGGATGGGAAAGCATTTGGTTCACATAATGCAAGAGTCATGTTCCAACCAGGTCAGGCATCATTGTTTCAGTAGAAAGTATTTTGTTATATTCCTGCTCTTGTGAGTACACATTCATTGGGGACAAAATCTCACCATGATATAACAAGAATGAGTTTCATACAGCAAATGTGGAAAATTTTCAGTATTTTTTTTGGGTTCTTGAGCAGAGTCCAGTTTTGTCTGATATACCACTACACTTCACAGTAAGCATTAATATTGAAGTTGTAATACACAGATATACAAAGAAAGCACCTGGGGAATACAGATCAGCTTTGCCCTCACTCTCTTGAAATGTTTGAATCCTACAGAGAACTTACACTAGCAGAATATGTTAATTATTCAACAGCAGGACAAACTAGATTCCAAATAGAAATTAAAGAGCAGAACTAAAATTTGTGTTTTAAAATCCCAACATATCTTCAGGATAATTTCTCATGAAGCTAATATAGTTTTTCTTTAAAAAAAATGTCTTTGCAAGTTACATTCGCCCTAATTATATTTTCAAACATGAAACTTTTATTCAGACTTTTGAGTCAGAAGCTGCTGGATGTGGCATTAAATTGATTACAGAAAGTGAAGAGAGCAAAGTAATAATCATTTCAAATGTAAAGTGCAGTTACTTCAGCACTACTCATGTTCAGGAGTAGTGTCAGTTATTTAAAAAAAAAGTATTTAATTTTTCTGAAGATTTTGAGTGGCTTATTGTTTCCTCATTTGCAGAGATTTCCTACGACTTGGTTCACCACTCAGCTGTCGCTCAGTAGAGGAAGAATATACAGAGGAGATGTCTGTAACACATGCAGAGGGAATGGTATCCTCCCTAGGTCTGGAAGAAAAACCATCAACAGTAGAGACAGAGAAGAAACTCAGTTCTGCAGGTAGAGAGAGCCCTTTAAAACTGAAACATCTGTACATTTTTATTAAAATAGACTGCACAAATTGGAGAGCTTCCAGATTGCTCTGTTATGTGTATGCAAATTTTTCATTTGCAGTGTAAGGTTTATGGGAAAGATTGTCTGGAATGTATTAATAAATGAAACTTGAAAACTGGTGGCTAACAAGGTTGTGAATCATAGAAGGTAACATTACAAGAAGCAGAGATTGGGTTCTATTGTTCATAATGTCATGACCTAAAATATGTAAGTTTTTGAGACACCTACGCAAGACGGACATATAACCAGATTGTGACCGGTACCATCAGTATTGGAACTCTTCGCTCGCTGCTGAAGATGAGGACGGAGCAGACATGGGAATGTCTCGAGTGCTGGGGCATGCATGGGAATGCCCTGAGTGCTATGATGTCAATTCTTATTTCCTCATTTGCAGAGATTTCCTACGACTTGGTTCACCACTCAGTTGTCACTCAGTAGAGGAAGAATATACAGATGAGATGTCTGTAACACATGCAGAGGGAATGGTATCCTCCCTAGGTCTGGAAGAAAAACCATCAACAGTAGAGACAGAGAAGGAACTCAGTTCTGCAGGTAGAGGGAGCACTTAAAAATTGTGAAACATCTGAAAATTAGAATTAAAATAGACTACACATATTGGAATCAGTAGAGAAAGAAAGCCTGGAGAAAATGAGGCACCTGGGTGTAACCAGAGGGTCTGGCCAGCTCACTACACTCAGAGGAAAGGTAAGACAGACTTTTAACCAGATTGTGGCCTTTACCTTCAGTATTGGAACTCTTGGCTGGCTGCTGAAGATGAGGACGGAGCATGCAATGGAATGCCCTGAGTGCAGTGATATCAATTCTTGACTCAACTCAACTCATTCTTGACTCAACTCATTCTTGACTCAACTCAACTCATTTTTGACTCAACTCAACTGAGTCATCTAAATTCTGACACAGCATAAATGCTTCTACTTATTTTATTATTCATTAATACTTCCTGTGTAACCTGTTTTATATTTTAGATGTATTACATTCTCTAAATGAAAGTGGTTCCTTGACCGTCAATTACTACTGTATGCTATTACTTTGATAAATAACCAGTTTTATATTCTTCAATTATTAATCAACAAATTATTGAAAACCATGCTTTGTTTAGGTGGCACTGTTCCCCTGACACGTGTCAAATGCCTGGTATCAATGACAACACCACGTGACAGCCGCATGCATGGATCAGCAGTCACTCCAGCATTTGTGGAGTTTGACATGAGCACTGAGGGCTTCTCTTGTTTGTACTTGCCCAGCATCGCACCACAGGGTCCACCTACTCCTTCAGTGGTCGGCGGTGTTGTGGGGACATCTGAGCCTATTGTCATAGGTGGTATTGGAACAGGTAATAGTGATCTTTTAGGTGTAGATCTTAGAGTTAATGTACCAGCTCTGTATTTGTAGCAGTAACTATTGTAATTAATTTAATGGCTTTTTAAAGCACATTTTTTATGATATTATGTACTTCGTTTGTCATATTTGTGGTACATACAAACTGTGGTAAGACTTTACAAACACCCTAGAGTTATGTCTGTGATTTCAAGTGTAGTTGCTTAGTTTCTCATCTTTATTTGTGCAATGTTTGATAATTTATACAAAGTGCTACTTATTGTGACATTTTAATCCAGTTAACTAGCACTTCACAACTGAAGTTGTTTCTCCATTATTAGTGTTCTGAGTTTTAGAAGTAATGGTCTAAGCTGTCTCAATAATTGGTACACATGAAACTACTTTCACAGGTGAGCGGATATTTCCACCCCAGTCGGGCCTCACATATACCACATGGTTTTGTGTTGATAAATTCAGCACATTTGGAACTGATGCACACCCTGTGAGACTTCTGACTGTGGTACGCAATCTACAAGGAAGAGACGAGAATCTCATTTGTCTCAGTGTTTCCATCATGTCAAAAGACAGGGCTGTGATTGTGTCCACACAAGAAAACTACATGCCAAATGCAGGTGAGCTTCAGCCCTTTATCCTTGTCTAGGCCAGTATTGATGTAGTGTTTGAACCCTGCGGTTCAGTTATAAGTATTTTGTCATTACAGTAATTTGTGTTTCATTTGAAAATAAGATAATTTAATTTGGTTCTTGTTCAACAGCAGCAGCTCTTGGTAGTAATTGTTACTCAATACAGCTTATTAAAAAGTTCTAAACTTTATTTACCTGATTGTTTCCTATTTATTTTAAAAAGTTGTAAACTTTATTTACCTGATTGTTTCCTATTTATTTGTGTTTTAAAACAAGCAGTATGTCTGTGTTCACTGTTTAACTATCACAATGGCAGCTTGTTTGCTTACTAAAGAAATGCCATATATCTTGACACTTGTTCAATGTTGTATTGAAGTTGCTTGAATGGGTGATATAAAATATGCCATTCGATTGAAAAATACAATGTACTTTTTCTTTTTCTTACTGAAGGAAATGGTTGTGAAATAGAACAAGAACCTCCTCTCAATGATAACACAGTTCGATTCTGGTGTCCAGAGCTGACGCAGGAGGGACAATGGCATCATTTAGTTTTGGTGCTGCATAGAGCTGGTATCATGAAAAACAGCAATATTAGCCTTTTTGTGGATGGGGAGATGGCAACTCAGCAGAAGGTTTGGCTTATAAAAATCATTACACTTAGTTCATCGTCATCATTATAATTATACAGCTTAATGTCACTCTTATCACAGCTTGCCTGAAAGAAGTTTCGTCTCTTGCCAGATCTCCCGCCTCATACACTTTCCTGCGCAAGGTGTCACTTTTATCCCGTGCCCACCTTTGTGCTGATCGGCCATGTCCCCCTTTCCTGGAACCATGCCTTCTGCCACTATTCTTTCCAATCCACCATGGCACTTGATATGGCCAAAATATTTCACTTTCTGGGACAAGATGCTGTTTACTAGCCAGTCTTCCTTGATGTTCAGATCTTTTAGGGTGTCAGTATTTCTGTTCTTTTTGGTCCATGGTATTCTGAGAATCTCTCTTTAGTATTTCTTCCTTATTGCCCACAAGATAGTCTATTATTCACACTCATATGTTACAACAGCAAAGATGCATGCCCTCAAAATGTGGACCTTGATTTCCTTGCATTTGCTGAACCATAGACATTTTAATGCTTAACACTTAGTTGCATGAGTACAAATTCTCATACATGTCCTTCTGTCTTCTTCTTCTTCTTTTGCTGTCTTACTGATACCAGGCTGTATTCTGTTTTCTGTATTTGTCTTGGCAGTTCTCGGTAGACTTGGGCGATGGATGTGTTAATATTTTTTGCAGTTTTCAGCAACACCATTTATCCTTCTCTTTCTTGGTCTTCCTTTGACCTTCCTCCCCGATTTTTGCTATATGTCCTATAATTCATTCCTTCTTGTGTAATAGTGGTTGATTACATACACCACTGCTGGCTTGCTAGACCTGCAGGAAAAAATGCACTGACCTACTTGGTGCCCATCTCCTCCCAGGTGAACCGTCACCCTCGTAGCCTGAAACCTCATGGTTTCATTTTTCTAGCGTGCACCATGGGGAGGTGGGGTTGACCTGGGTGCTCTACGGATTTCTGACAGGCTACCTAATGTGACTCTTGACCTCTCCAAAGAGAAGCTAGCCAGTGTAAATGTTTTCCTTTACCTGTATCTATATTTCTACTCTGAAGGTAAAAATTCTGATAATTTTGTTGGCTCTAGCTTGAAGTACATATTTGTTCTGAATCTACTAAATTATTTTGTTACTAAGAACTAAGTTATCATTGATTCTGCTTCTCTTTTGTATTTTTCTTACTCACTAATTATTAACAGTTTTTATATGTGTAATAAGCTGACATGAGCACATGATTACAGTCATAGGACAGGTGTTTTCATAGGCCACAAATAAATGCGTCCTAACATTGCAGAGGAATCATTTCACCCAGTATTTAAAGACTTCACTTCAATGTTTTATCAGAAAGTCCCAGTTTTATTTGTCAGTTCCATATTTGCAAATGTAGAATAATAATAAAGAAGAAGATAAATAGGCAGGATGTGACATCAAATGTTGGCAGTTGCAGAAATCTTTCCAAATCGAGAAGATCTAAAGATAGGTCCTGATAATTGATGTTGTTCAGCGTGACATTTGTTTGTTATAACAGTATGTGAAGAAATCATATTTCAGCTTTTATGAGGATAAGATGCTTTAACTGTCATTCATCTACTTTGGAGAAGCATTTAGCAGAATTTCAACTGGAGTGCATGTCTTGTGTTGTTATAGTTTAGATGAGTGTTCCTCAACCTCTTGTTTCCCCCCCCCCCCCCCCCCCCCCCCCCACACCTGTAACCCACCTGTAGAGGAGAAATGGTTTCAGGGCCCACCTGACAGCTAACCAGAGAAACCAAATCACATGTAGATAGCTGTTTATTGGTTCAGTTGTCAGCTAGGGGACAATTATCTGCTGCTGCATAGAGGTTAGAAAATTGGCTTTAAGGGACTGGAGTCTTGTTTTTCATAGACAATATGATTTCTCTCTCTGATTTGCATTGCACATTTGGAAGTATCATTATATTTTTTTTTATTGTCTTTATCGTTTCTAAACTGGAGATATTGAGTGTATCATTATCACTGGAGATATTGAGTGTATCATTATCACTGGAGATATTGAGTGTATCATTATCACTGGAGATATTGAGTGTATCATTATCACTGGAGATATTGAGTGTATCATTATCACTGGAGATATTGAGTGTATCATTATCACTGGAGATATTGAGTGTATCATTATCACTGATACCCTCAGCAGTGTCCTTTATTTTACTAAGAAAGGTCAGGTTGAAAGGCTTTCATTGCATGTTTACAATTTTACAAAAGAAATTATAGAAAAGAAGATAATTCATTTTCCTAGATAATACAGTACAATATTAGAAAACTAAATGAACTAGAGCAGTGAAATAAGTATTTTACAACATATAGACAGACAAAGCTGAAACGTACTAATATTTGGTGGCAGCACTTTAAAAAACGAGATCCACATTATCCATATGTCCATATATCAGAAATAGGAAACTTGTAACTATTGTTTTTGGTTTTGTAAACATTGTAAAGTAGTATTTTATATTCAGCTTCACTACATCTCACCAAACCTTGGCGGGGGAGGCACAGCAAGCCCCACAGCTTTCACATCTGTGTTTGCATACATTGGAACCCCACCACAGCTGAGGAGGCAGTCCCGCTTACTCTGGAGACAAGGCCCTTGCTTTATGCTGGAAGACATTGTGTCTCCTGCTATTGTGAAAAGCATTTACAGTCTGGGACCCACTTATGTTGGAAGTTTGCAAGCTCCACTTACAGGTAGTGTAAATATTTGCTTGTGTTTTAGTCATTGTCATTGGAATAGTCATAACTTCATGCACATGGCTGCTTCAGATTTACTGAAATAGAAATATGTTGGAAACATTTTTTTAAATTTCCTTTTGTAGTGTTAAATGTTAGTCATAATGTCTTGTTTATTAAATTTAGCATCTTCATTCCAGTATTTTTGTGATTTTTTTGTCAGAAGTGTTTTTTAAGTCACACTTATGACTGTTTTACTTTAATTTAAACCCTCTTCTACCTAATTGTGGCTGTCTTTTCCTTTTTACCAAAATAAACCTGTTTTTTTATTTACTTAGCCACCTCAGGAAATCATTATGAGAAAACTTGTGTTATTTTCACCCCTAAAAGTATCTCAGATTGTTTGGGGAGATATATAAAGTGATATCCATTATGTATGCATAGTAAGCAGTTGCAGCCAGTACCACATCTGTCAAAGAGCATAGTGGCCACTGCCCAAAGAATTCATGTTGGCACAAAACCATTGCTGCTGGAAAAACTCCCACTTTCTTGGGGTGACAGGGTTTAAGGAAAGTATGAGGTATTTTTGTGAAGATGGAATATTATTCTGAATAATAAGGAACTCGAGGATGTTTAGTTCTCTGTCTTACATCCTTCTCCACTCTCCTTCTCGCATCCCAATGGTGATTTTTCAACTGGAAACTGGAAACGTTGTGCTTGTACCATTAATAGGCAGCCATCAGTCCCCAGGGAGCATGGACTGTGTCCCTGATTCTGGGAACAGCGTTTGCTGTAACTAATGTCCAATGCAGAAGTGACAGTCTCTGCCACATAGTCCACATAAAATTTGTGGCACTTTTTTCTACTGAGGCTGATTTGGTTTCCTCAGATGTGTACCTGTGACTGCATGTGTGTGTGTCTGAGTGAGTTTATGTCTGTGTGCGTATGTGTGTGTGTTTGTATGGGTCTTTTTGTGCCACTACATGTGTGTATGTATGTGTGTGTGTGGGTTTATGTCTGTGTGCATTGGTGTGTGTGTTTGTATGGGTCTTTTTGTGCTGCTTTGTGTGTATGCATGTGTGTGTGTGTATAGCTGTGTGTGTCTGGGTTGTATGCCTGTGTGTTTTAGAGCGTGTGTCTGTGCGGGTGACTGTATATGAGTGTGTGTGTGTGAATGAATGTATGTATGTGTGTATGGGTGTGTGTGCATGTTCGTATGTATGTGGATGTATGTGTGTATTGGGTGCCTATGTGTGTGTGTGTGTGTGTGAGTTAATGGGTTTGCATGTGTATGTGGGTATGTGTGTTCATGCGCGAGCGTGCGCACATGCTTTGCCACTCATGCTTTTGTTTTTGACTTGACATTTATAATTTGCATATTATTACATGAACATAACATGCTTTTTTGATAAAAAAACAACTGCTGTGTGACAGATGGGAGTTTGGAAGGGCCGAACGTAAGACAGGCCTGCGTGCCTAATTTGTAACCCTTTGAAAATAAAGTTTGTTTGTTCGTTCATTCTATAGTTTGCTGCATTTGGCCTCTTGCAAACTGGGACAGTCAGTCTTTAACTATCTGCCTCCATAGGAGTCGGTCTGCAGCCTATTTCTCCCAAGTGTCTGTGTCAGTGATGGTATCTTTCAGATTGCATTTGCATATGTCTTTATGGCGTAGCCTTGGCTTTCCTGCAGATCTTTTCCCCAATTCTTGAGGCACCAGTTTTTCTTGCCAGTTTTGGCAGAGAATACTTTGCAGATCCGGAAGAATAGCTTGCTTTGAAAATTTCAGAATCTCTGGGCTTGTACCAGCGCAATTATTACATAAACTTGTAAATTGTTCTTCACATTTCAAATTGTTGATGACATTGTTTAGTGTAATTTTATTTGTTACAATAGATGATGGTGAAGTCAGTGGACCATATATCAGTGAGGAGAAGGTGATGTTTGGAGTGTTTGCACATGCTATGTCACAGATGACCATTGCCAAGATCAGAAAGATTTATAATAAAGTGGACAGCAAGTCAATAGCCAAACAGGTATGTATCTGTGGTGCTGCATTTCCTGTGTGGCTGGAAACATTAAAAACATGAATGTAGCTTTTTGTGATGGTTGTGGTGTAAACAGTTTGGTAGTTCAGAACTAATGTACTTAGTGACATCAGGTGGAAGATTTGAAACACAGATAAACATTAAAATAGGCCTCAGAAAGTGTAATTTATTTCTTCTTCTTCTTCTTTTTTCTTTTTCTCTTCCACCGTGTACCTCAGTGAAGTATCGGGGGAGATGTAACGTTCATTGATGTGGTCTGTCAAGAGCACTATTAAGATTGATGTTCATTTCTGTAAGGCTGTTCCTAATGCCATCACTCCATCTTTTCTGAGGTCTTCTGTTCGCTCTATATTCGTTGTAATGTTTCAGTGTGGTAGATAGTACTAGGGGATTCTTGTTAGGTGTCCAAACTACATCATTTGTTCTCTGATGACCTGTAAGACTGGCTTTATTCCTAGCATTTGTCTGATCTTGTATTCTGTCTTTCCTTAAAACTCCTGCAACTCTTCTAAGGCATTTCATCTCTGTTGTCACAATTTTACGTCCATTAGAGGATATTGTGTGAACATTTGGCACTGATAGCATAATGTTGGCCAAAAAATAGTTGTGATAAGATTCACTATAGTACTCTGGGGTATCTGCTTGTGTGTCAAGAGGGGAGATAGTGTATTTTTAAAATTTATTGATTAATAAATCATTATTATTTCAGTTCAAGTAGATCTACAGTAATCCCACAGTCTTCGAACAAAATCCGTTCCAAGACGGTAATCAAATTTCAAATCTTCAAGTTCCAAGAAAGTCCCCACCCCCCTCCCCCCATTGAAAATGATGGATACTAAATTGATCTTTTTCAGGGTCTAGCAAACTCAAATTTTAAAATGTATTCTCCTGAATACTGTACACTGTAAATTTGGTAACAAATAATCATATCTTAAAAAAAAACATAAATAAAAACATTGTATTTACTGTACCTTGATAAAAATGGTGACACATTACCAAGAAGTAGGGGGAGGAAGGGGTGTTTAGGAAGATTATCGTTTGGAAGGTGAGTCGTCTTCTATGATAACATTAGGAATTATTTCCAGTGTTTCGTATTGTAGTCTTTCAGCACTTGAAAAGAGTTTGGGGTCACTAGTTTTTGTTGAAAGCCATTCCTTCCAGGAGGTTTGGGAAGTTACTGGCCAGAAAAGGACACATGGTGCCACTTTTGCCTTTGACACCTTTGAAGGTTTCCAGATCAGACAGGAAATGGTAATAGCGGCACTTGATTTAGAAGATGCTTATAATAGAGTCTGATACAGAATATTGATGAAAGCACTTATGGAGAAGGGAGTCTGTCCTTGGTTGGTTAACTGGATAGCAGTTGTTTCGTATGCTCGCTGGGTAGCTCTCCGCCTGGGTTCATGAACCTCTGAAATGGCATTTAGCACCAGGAGCAATATCTGTGCCTGTGCTGTTCAGTGTTTCTACGAATAAGATTGCATACCTGGAAACACCTGGAGTTGGCAGAATATTGACATTTGTAGATGATGTTCTCGTATATAGGAAGTGGAGAGATTGGAATCAAAAAGCTGAAGAGTTACAGGTGACAGTAGATAAGGTGATCGACTGGTGTACAGAGATGAGTGATGTAATAAATCCAGAAAAGGCAACCATCATGTGGTGTTCTTTGGACGACAGGATTGTTAGAGCTGATGTTCCCAGACTTGCAATGCCAACTATTGCAAATAGGCTAAGTCATACCTCAGAGTAGCTGCAGAGAAAGAAAACTCTCTGTACGAAGCTTTGGTTGCAGGTAAGAGTCAGAGGCTGAAAAGCGGAAAATTGGTACTAGCTCAAGTAGAAGACACAACAAGACAAGTGTGCATGCTGGAGAACATTGGGTGAGGAGAAGAGTGGTTCAGGGTACCAGCGGACAAATCTGACCTGTGTAGGGTTATGATCACATTGGGCCAGGAGTGCAGAGAGTGGCTAGTGGGTGCTACAGAGGTGGAAGTTGATTCATGATAATTCACCCCCAGGTGATCTGATTATCTATTCAGATGGTTCAGTGTTGAGAGGAAAGATAAGGGCCTGGGGGTTCGTAGCCAAAGCAAATGGAAAATCTTTAGTTCAAGACAGCCTAGCATACGACATCACAACATCAAGCATGAGAATGGAGGTGGAGGCAGTAACTGCAGCTATCTGGTGGCTAGAGAACAAGATGCATACACATGTTGTAATTGTAACAGACTCTGAAAGCATGCTGAAAAAGGTAAAGACTGGGATACTTTGAGCAGAGTGGCAAACTTCACTGGGAAGATCACGGGTAGTGAGCATACTTTTGATCTTTTCTCCAGGCCATGCCGACATGGTGGGTAATGAACAGGCAGACAGATTGGCTGGATCCGCACCACTGGTTGGTGAATTGATACATGACAAGGCAGATGTGGTCAAGGCTCTTTGCGAACAAGCAACGGAATCAGTGGAGAAAGAAGATTATTATGGCCTGGAGAGAATGATACACTTAGGTGTAACCAGAGGGTCTGGCCAACTCACTGCACTCAAAGGAAAGGCAAAAAGGAAATATAACCAGAATGTGACCGGTACCATTAGTATTGGAACTCTGCGCTGGCTGCTGAAGATGAGGACGCATGGGAAAACCTAAGTGCTATGATGTCAATACTCAGCTCAACTCAACTGTTAGCCAGCTTTCCAAAGTGCATTGATGATGGCAACCATTTTTAATTTCTCTAAAATGTTGGATAATGTTATTATTTTGTAAGTTAATACACTTGTTAGCTGGCATTCTATGTGGCGTGACCAGTGAAAATCAGATAAGGTAAGAGCTGCAGTGTTCGTCACAGCGTACAAAAATAGTCTGAAGCGTATGAGACTCTATGTGGTACTACATAACTGGTATGTGCTGCTATGTGTACGGTTTCCATAGCAAAATTTACCTTGGAATCCAAGTTGTTTGAATTTTGAAGCATTTACATTTTGAGGTATCACTATATTATATTACATAGAACTGGTTTTAATGTTGGTTGTATGTCATTGATTGGTAAGAAAGAAAGAACATTTTCACCTTTGATCAACATGGTTAATTTTTAAATGCAGTGTTTAGATCTGTTTCTTAATGAAGCTGATACAATTTTTATGTTGTCTTCTTAGCTGGCAATGTCAGCTCATGAGAATGCCACCCCTATCAGAATACTCCACAACTCTGCTGCCCATTTGGCAGGATCTGCTAGAACTCTTGGTGCAGTCTTGATGGGATATTTAGGTAAGCTTCACTAGTGTTGCAGTAAGCAGTGGTCTAAAAACATCCTTGCCCTAGCAACATTGAAATGAGGAAATCTGCCCGCAATAAAATGTTAACAGTATGTGTGCATTCTGCTGCCTGGAGAAGTTGGGAACTGTCAGATTTCAGGTTGTCCACAACATATTACAGTTTCTAGAGAGTGCTGCCTAATTAATCGCTACCTAAGTTAAGAAATATATACACTTGTTCCCTCAATCTGTGTGCATGTTTCAAGATTTTGCCAGGGCAGATACTTTGTTCCACTAGGTTTCAAATGGGACAGTGAAGGGCATTTTGTGTAATTTTTACTGGCACAGTCAGTTCTAGACATTTATGGGATGGAAAGGTGCCATGGAAGGAAACTCACCCAAACGTATAGTGTAGTCTAGAATATTGGACCAAACACCTTACATCCTAACAGTGGTATTTGCTATGGGAGGACCTTTACCTGTAATATTTATATTGTTTATTAACTCCTTGAATAGCAACAATGTTTTTACAGGAGATGCCCATGTGTATGAATCACCAATAGGAAAAACCACTAGTATTGCTTTCAAAGACTCTACGGAATGGAGAAGCAAGATTTCTTAGAACACTGTGACCAACCATGGAAGTTACTAGATCATAATACATGTTAGGTGGGATTCACGAATTGCTAATTACACATCACACATTGTTTAGGACTGAAAGAGTTGAGCCAGCTCTGATGGTTTCACAACCAGTAAATAAATAACTCTACAGTTTAGATCATAGATAATAGTGAATTTACATCATTGGTAATAGGGAATTTACAAATATGTGTTGGTAATCCTGTAGGTGTGAGAACTTTTTGCCCACGCCCAGTTGCCTGCATGCTGGAGAATGTAGGAAGTACCTCAGCACTGCTGGGATTGATTGCCATGGCGACTGATGTAGAAAGCTTGTATGCAGCTGTGAAGGCACTAGTGTGTGTTGTGAGGAGCAACAATTCTTCCAAATGGGACATGGACAGGATTCATGGATATCAGGTAGTCATTTCAGTTCTTTCAGCAATTACTAGGGGATTGAATTGCTAGTTATCATTTAGTCAATTAACATTTTTCAGGTAAAAGCACAACTTCAGATTTGGTAATATAGTGGAGCTGAGATAATGTTTCTCATAAAACACAAATTATCGAGTGAAGTATGGATTAATATTAAACTAAAAAACACAGTTTCACCTTTTGCTCTAAAAGAGAACAAACATTTCACATTACCAGTTAAAAGTTAGTTGCTTATCCTTTACAGGGTGTTGCAGAACTAACACCAGAATATTTTTGACTGTTGCAGTTTTTTTAGGCACATTTTATGATCAGTAGTTTGCCATTGCTTTCTGAATATTCAACTCTCCGTACCACTGTAAAAACAAGCGCAAGGTGGTCTGCTGCCAAATCACCTGCAGCTGGGATCAAACCCGGCACCCTGGCAGTGTGAAGCGTGTTTGCTGTGCCTAAGCCACAGATGCTGACACACTACCAGCACACAAACAGAAAAAGTGTATATGTGAATCAGCATGTATGTCAGTTGTGAGAAAGATGGCTAGATATGAGCAGTCAGATGATAATGCTCAGCTACCAGAGCTAGTACAGGACCTTGTGATATAGTGGGCATGTGGTGCTAGCCCCTGAGCTCAGCTAGTACCAAGCACTTCATCATGTGTTTGTTAGTGTCGACAGAGATGAATTCTGAACTTGTTCTGGCCCACCCAGTTGTTGCACTAACCCATGGTGACCTAGTTCTTATTTTAAGTCCTTAAGTCCCATAGTGCAGTCATTGGAACTCCTGTGACCCAAACATTGATTACTCAAAGCAACAGTTTCAAATGTCAGGATGAATTAAGTAACAAATGATCACTACTGACAGAGTTAATGGCTGCTGTGATATCATGGGAGCCACATTAACCTCCCAGAACATTTTTAATATCCCATGTTAGGCTGGGTCAGTCTGGGAGCCCAAGTCAGTTTTTACAGTGTGCCTTGATGAGGATTTGAACCTATGACCATCCTCCTGGCAGACAAGCAAGGCTGCTAACCACGGCACAATGTAGCTTCCCTCCCTTGCATGATGTTACAGTGAAGGTAAATCAGTAGTATATTGGAAATCTGTATATGTTTTATTCATCACTGGAGCCATGATTTAGCTTCTATTATATTGGTCTACTTCTAGCTGCTAGCCATGCTGTATAAGAAAAAGCGCCATTTGCTGAACAGCCATATCTTACATCTGACTTTCTCCCTGGTGGGCACCCTGGACAGCGGACGAGAGAGCTCAGTCATCCCAAATCTGACAGCATTCCAGGACCTCTTGTGTGACCTGGAGGTAAGCTTCACCTTCACTTCCCTTATATGCTGAGAGTTGCTGATGCATGTGGGAGAGAGGTGAGATAGATGCTGGAGACGGACATAGAGAGAGCAATGGAGAGATGGAACGAGAGATAGGGATAAGAGTGGGAAATGAGAGGCTGAATAGAAAGATGAGAATTTTCTTTTTCAACACAAACAGTATAGTCTGCGACCTTATTTCACAAATTACTTGTAATTAAGCTTTAAGATTCCAACTTCATCTTTTGATAAAAGGGGACCATTCTGATGTGTGTAGTGCTCATAGCTAGTCATATGTCAGCTAGGACAATGTTTAATGTTGAGAAAAACTGAAATTATGTCCCTCACTACTATGCTGATAGATTTCTGACACTGGACACAGTTGCAATAAAGCAAACCAGATATTTGAACAGATGTCTCCATTATTACAGAAGGAAACTACTCTCAAAACTTGGCACCTGGTGTAAGGTAACTATGCATTGTATCCCATCCCATCCATAAATGAAAGAGCTGATAAACTAGCTAAGGAAAGTGCAAATGAAGAGCAACCTGACGAAACAATCTTTTATCAGCAGAAGAAGAGATTAATCAGATCAGTCAGAAAGCCACTAAAACTAGAAAAAGACAATTACCATATAATGGACAGTCCAGAGCAAGTCATTATTCTGTACCTTAGAACAGGACACAGTCGACTTCGCAGCCACATGTACACACAAATTAAGATTGGCGAATCAGCCATTTGTAAATGTGGATTAGCACCGGAGACAGATCACGTCCTCCAAGACTGTCCCAACTACAACATATCAGGGCACAACTTGTTGCCAGGAGAAACACCATTGCAAGCCAGACTTTACAGGTCGCTGATTGACAGAAAAGTTCATACTAGAGACAGCATTGTAGATATAGAAATCTGTTTCAAGCGGGCGAAAGAAGAAGAAGAAAAGAGATGTAACATTGTAAACAAAACGAGTTCTTTAAATTTTCCTTTCTAATCAAAGCTGTTGTGCCAGACTAAATATTAACAATGTACACATGGCTGCCTCCACCTTGTGGATAATTGAATCAATTGAGATGAAATGTCTAAAAATGTATTTAATGCAACAAGTAGATAGATATTTTGAAATTTAAATAAAATTTAAAAATGAAAATAAAAACTGTCACCGCTGTTTGTTTCACTTTTTAGGGCGGTGTAGACAAGGGGGCCTTAAGCCTGAAGATTTAGGACTGCCTGGCTAAGGCTGTCACCACAGACTGCAGTTTAGGATGTTTAATTCTGCCCCTGAAAGAAAACTCCATCACCTTACAGGGATTTGAATCCAGGTCTCTCACATGAAAGCCCGACGTTGTAACTGCTCAGCGAGCCGCTTATGAAATGATAGTATTAGAAAATCATTATTAGTTCATTCCAGAAATGCCTTTATATTTTCCATATCCATGCTTGAAAACCAGATTGTACCCTTGCTAGTCGCCATGGAGTTGGACAATGGACAGGAAGTAACCCAGAAAACTGGGTTAGGCTAGGCTGTGGAGTGAGGGGAATTATATTGTCAGGGGAATAAATGCAATTTATTTATAGACGGATGTGCTTTGAACATGAATACTAGGAGGAGAGAGAGAATATGAGGAGAAAAAGAACCCAGTAGGGAGATATATTGATGATTCTCCAGAGACCTATGAATACAGCTGAATACTGTCGATTCTCCAGGGACTCGTGAATACAACTGAATACTGACAATTCCCCAGAGACTTGTGAATACAGTTGAATATTTACTGATACAGCTGAAAGTCAGTCTGGGTATTTCTGAATACAGCTGAAAGTTAGTCTTTCACAGTTTTGCTGTAAACAGATTTAGAGAAATGCATGTTAGATAAATTGGCATGGTCTGTGAGGCTTTATAGACTATACATATGTTATCCCTCAGATATGGCATGAGGCGCCTGGAGACTTGCAGAGATCTCTGTATGAACACTTCTTTGAACTGCTCACAGATTCCAGGTAATCTACTTTGTGTTTGCTTTGGCTTTACTGTATTTGTTTATTTAGTCAGCTTCATAATTTAAGGAGGCCGTATGGTAGTGCAGTATCAGTGTTCAAATCTTTCTTATAGCATTGATGTAAAAAAAATTTAATTGGGCTCCCAAGTGGACACATTAGGTACCAGGAAATAAAATAAAGGCAGCTGGCACTATATTGAGCACATCACCTAGTCAGTGCCAATTTGTCTATAAAAATGTGTAGCTAGCACTGTGTACACAGTAATTATCTAGACCTAGAAAAATGTTATTTATTTCTACTTTTTACCTAAATAATTTCATGTATTTCCAGTCTTTGTTATGACACTTATGATTACTTTTCCTGTATTCTTCAAATGTTCAATATTATATATGTCTTTTGAATAATCAAGTTTTTATGTAGACTTATAATTATCCATATGTTACCAAATGTGTACACAGTCAGAAAGCTACCGATATTATACTACATCGTCATATAATACAGTGCTTTTCAGACAAGCATTGCGGTCGTACTTCTTTAAATTTTATGATCAACAACATGTATCCGTTTGTATGCTGACATCCTTCTGAATCACCACAAAATCTTTCCAGAATCTTTGCTCATTGTCTTCCTTGTCTCTCTTTTTATGAGTCTTTCCGGTTGTCACAACTTTGTCTTGTAATGTAGTAAGAAAATGATAACTGCGTCTTTCTGATACATTTGATGTAGATGTGGAGGACTAGCAGAAGCCAGGATTTAGTTTCCAAAGACTTTATTTATATGAGGTCATCAGGTGAGACTTATGGTGGGGTGACAGTAGACTAGTACCGGTCTTCAGAGTGAATCATCTGACATAACATGTCATCACTTGAGGCCTTGACCCTTTCACCCTGCAAATGCTTAAAAAAAAATATTGCAATAGGAATTTTTGGAAAAAAAAATTATCTACACAAAAGAAAAGGAAAAAAACCCAAATTAACACAGGTCACTATTAAAGTTTGAAATAATTTATGTATATTTTAAATTAAAAGAAAAAAATATATATAGAAGGATAATCAACAAACATGAACAGAGTAAAGCATTAAATGGATGCCTGCCTGGTGTATTTGTTGTTTGGGACTTTTGGGGGGGGGGGGGGGGGGGGGGGGGGAAGGCGGGGGGGGGGGGGGGGGCAACTATTTTTAGAATGTTGACTAGTTCCAATAAAATGTCACAAATATATATACATGGGTGAGAAATTAATGATACAGTAAATCAAACATACTAGTGTTATTTAAACATATAAGCTGACCTAGATGTTTAAACATTGACTTTGGAGACTCATTTTCCTTCTACACTCTGATTGCTGTTTTTCAAACACTGTCCATGATATTATTTTAGAAAATATAGTTTTACATGTTTTTAACATAAAAAGTGACTCTGAGAGATATTTTAATTTATGATCTCATCATCATCATGTGCCTTGCAGACTTGCTTAGTTAGTAATGCTTCTCCACAACACCTGGTCTCAAACACAAAGTATCAGTTAATGTTTTTGTTTCTGTGCTCTGAGGAAAAGCTGCCAAGAACCATTGCTTAAATATCTTCTTTTTCAATATACTAGTTCTTTTCTAAAAGTGTAACCAACAAATAGTGACTGCCTTTTTTGTGAGCCTTTGCTAGATTTCTATAAACATATAACTTCTTTCTACCAAGACCTACACGAATGTTATGACCTTGCCTTTACAACTAACTTGCTCGGTATGAATGTCTGAAAGGATGACAGTGAAAAAGAAAAAAAAACTAGTCAACTCACAGAATCAGATGCTTGTAGAAGAACATGATCACCTGCATGGCCATTCATAGTTGCTGGGGATGTTGTCAGATACTTGGTAGTGGTTTGTGAGCCGTGACCTACAAGTTAGATTGTGTGTATACACACACACTTGCTCCCTTGCAAACATGAGCAACACATGTGCTGTGTGCCCTATTCAACAACCTGTTTGTCTCAGCTGTACTTGTTGTTTGCGGTAAAGGTCTGTAGACAAATTGCTTTGACAAACTATCTTTGTCTTGTTTCCTGTAACACAGTGAACAAAAGTCGAATCACACGATCATGAGGAACATGGGCCTGACCACAAAGCTGCTTCACATTTTGAAAGACACAAAGATTCCTATACAAACAGTACAGTCTGTGGCAAATGTGTTGGGAGAACTTCTGGCTGGACCACCAGACCACCCAAGCTTGTTACGGTAATATCTGTGGTATACATCTCTCTCTCTCTCTCTCTCTCTCTCTCTCTCTCTCTCTCTCTCTCTCTCTCTCTCTCTCTGTGTGTGTGTGTGTGTGTGCGCATACATGTGTGCACACGCGTGCGTTTGTACGTGTGTGTGCACCTGCGCACGCTGATGAGCAACAGCGCGCTTGAATCGTTAAGGCATTGGCCTGAAACAAAAGAGATAATATCTAATGCCAGGTCATTAAAGTATAGTTTTGTTTGCCTCTGCATTGCTACCTCACTGCTTACTCTTTTAGACTGAGGATTCTCTTACACGTAGTTTTAAAATACCATTACAACACCATAGTCAGTTTTTGTAAAAAGTTTATGCTGTAAACGCTGTTGATGCTATACATGGGTGTGTGCAAATATAATCTAGTGATAGAAAATTTCCCTGTAATTTTCTGGGAATTGTCTGGAAAGGAAAGGCAGTGAGAAAGAGAACTCACCACTCCACTTCAAATTGTTGGCACTACATCAAAGCCACCTAAGTGCAGATTTGGTGATTTTCACCTGCAAATTTCTGGGGACATTTTTTGTCACTTTACAATATGCTGAAGGCACACTTGTTAACTCTTTTACTCCCAGGGTATTTAGCATCAGAGGCCCAAGGGGTAGTAAAGAAAAAAGGTAAAATTGGTGCATCTTGCGTTTATTCTGCATTCAGGTAGGAACCTATGAACAGGACTGAAAGAGTCAATTAGTACTCTAAATAGGAGAAAATTAAGTTTTACTTTTCAGACAGCTGCACAATTTTCAGAGATCCTTATGTTATGATTTTTCTTGGAAGTGATTTACTTCTTATATGACTTCATCGTAGTTAGTGCCAATGATATGTCATAGTTTAAAATGTGTGAAGGCCTGACACTTAATGTGACTTTGTCATAGTGCCAATGATATGTCATAGTTTAGAATGTGTGAAGGCCTAGTAATTTTGTGACTTTGTCATAGTTAAAATAATAATAATAATAAAATAATAATAATAGTAAATTCATTAGCGAGACGACTGCAAAACTACTCGATCCATGTGGCTCACAGATCCCTCAAATGTATGGGCTCCCTAAACTACATAAGGCCGGAACATCTATGAGGCCAATCCTGTCTATGATAAACTCTGCTCAGCATCAAACTGCGATATGGTTAGCAGAAATACTTTTACCAGTAAAGCAGTCTTTTGCAAATAGAACATTGAAAGATACGTTTGAGCTTATTGAACTGCTTGACAAAATTGATCTAAAAGATAAACACATGGCTTCTATGGACATATCATCGTTGATCACCAATGTGCCGTTGGAAGAAACCATCAAAATTATAATTGTTCAAATAAAGGATAAGAAACTTAAACTGGACATTCCTATGTCCACATTGGTCAGACTCTGGGCCTCTGCACCGCAAATGTTCAATTTAATTTCCTTGAAACGAGCTACCGCCAAATTGACGGAGTAGCCATGGGCAGTCCACTAGGTCTCATCTTGGCCGACATCTTCATGGCACACCTCGAAAATAGCAGATCTGCCTGCATCAGAGATTTGTTTTTGTACCGTCGGTATGTAGATGACATTCTAATAATAACTGCTGACAAACAGCAAACCACTGCGTTCCATACCACCATGAACCAGTCACACAGAAACCTCTCATTATCGTTACGACACGAACATGACAGTACTTTACCATTCCTTGATGTACTTATTGTGCGTAGAGAGGATGGCAGTATCCAAAGATCAGTGTACCGAAAAGAAACATGGACCGGCCAGTATCTAAACTTTTACAGTTTTGTCCCTATTCAGTACAAATGTGGCGTAGTGAGAAGCTTGTTTAACCGGGCCAGAAAGATTTGCACTGAAGACACATTGGCTGCAGATATTAAAACTCTCAATTCAACTTTACTACTGAATGGGTACCCCATAGGTTTCATCAAACGTCATTGCACCCCACCCAGCCCTACCCCGAACGAAATTACAGTATCGAAACTACAAGTATATATCCAACTTACTTACCGAGGTGATGACGTCATGCAGCATCTACAGGACAGACAGAAAACAGCAGTTGGCCAAACATTCTTTGCGGATGTTCCAGTAGTAAGGTACAAGACGACTCCTATCCCAACCCCACCTATTAAACAACTCGTTTCTCCGTACACCAAATCTAATTGTATTTACCAATTTACATGTAAGTGGACGTCATCTACTTAATTCCGGACACATAATTGACACAGACGCTGCTTTCCGTGTGGTTTACCACACTCCAAACAGGAGACTTTTAAGAATCGCTGAAGCTTTAACAACAAAATTCAATAACCCTCTCCTTTGTAAGCAGACGGAATTTATCGTAAATTTTAGTTTACCATGGTAAGTCACGTGACTACAGTGAGCTTCCGGCGGCCATGAAACAGATGCAATGTATCGGAAGAAACTATTCGCATTTCAGTTAAATTTATTCAGTTTTGTGCTTTATTTTATGTTGATGTGACGCACCTGATGAGATACAGTGAAATATGCCTGGCAATAAATTGTGCAATGTATTGTTTGTATCCTCATTATTTAAATTCATTACGGGAAAACATCGTTTAAAAAATAATATGTCATAGTTTAGAATGTGTGAAGGCCTGACACTTATGTGACTTTGTCATAGTGCCAATGATAAGTCATAGTTGATGGCTTAGTACTTTTGTGACTTTGTCATAGTGCCAATGATATGTCATAGTTTAGAATGTGTGAAGGCCTGACACTTATGTGACTGTCATAATTTAAAATGTGTGAAGACCTAGCGCTCATGTATCTGGTGGCTAATAGTACCAGTTCTGTGTTGATTAAAATTTCCTCTGATGTGCCTGATGTGCATCTTGTTTTTTTTTTTTGCTATGCTGATCTTAACTTCCAAGTCTATTTTTCTGGGGAGTGATGTGGATTCACTGCCCCCAAAGTCCTCCAACCTTTCCCATTTCTCACGCCCATAACAATATCAGCATGATCCATAGGTTGACCGTCAGATCCAGCCAACCTATCAGCTCTTTCATTTTCATCGATGCCCCCAAATTCCGGCACGAAAATAAAGCTGGCTCCACGCACAGTAGACTTCTGTAAGGATTCAACCCTCCAGATCATACTGATTGAATAACTGAGTACACATAAGTAGGTGTAGTTTTGTGTTTTGAGCCACGTGAATGCTTGTGTTACTGCCATCACCTCCATAGTCAAGCAGCTGGTTGTCACGGAAAAAGTGCTGTTGGCTTCTTTGACTGTTCTGCCTGCTGATCATACTGTGAATGCCCTTGAGCTTTTCTGTTAGTCTATAACAGATTCCTCTGTATAGATCAGTACATTGGCCTGGTATAAATTTTCACTGATGAGCATTGACCTCTGCATTGACAGCAGTGGTTTAGAATGTGTGAAGACCTAGCCCTTACACAACCTAACAGCAGTTTAAGCTAGGGGGCTACCTTTAACTCAACTTTAGGAGAAAGCATATTTGTATGTGTGGCCACATGTCCGTGAGAATTAATCATATTATTAGCCAGTATAGCCTCACACAGGAAAAAAAGGGGGGGGGGGGGGGGGGGGGGGGGAATGGAGCTTTAATTTCTGTAAACATGTTCTAGACTAGGGATAATTGCCTACTAGGGATTAATGCCTACATTACAAAATAATATTCACCTTAATAAGGCAGATCTTTTAACACTCTTGATAAATTCATATTTGAAACATTCCAATCATCTCCCCAGATTCGGTCAGTTTGTGGCGTCCACTCTGCCTGTTGCATCATTTTCAGAAAAAACTCTGGATATAAACAGCAGAAACACCAAAGACATAACTTTGGAAGGAGAGCAGTCAGATGCTTTAAGTATGTGCCTGTAATGTATGATATTCTATACACTGTTAGTCAGATTATCAATACTTATTTATTCATTGCTTAAATGAATTCTTTTTCAAGTCTGTGTGATATAGAATGTATACCTGTGAAGTTTTTTTTGCGCGGTTTATTGTAAGAGACATTTTTAAGACACAGAAACTCTATGCTTTGAATCAGAGAATTGTCTTTTTATAATAAAGGCTTTATTAAAATTGGTCTGAAAGTGCTTGTATCCATGTATCTTTCAGGAGATTGCTTTTCTCAGGTATAATGGAAGCAGAGCTAGAGGTCACACAATGAATGGATAGATGGAGTACCTGAGGCCATAAATATCAGCATCTATGTAGCACATACCAAAGTTCATACCAGATCTTTTTCTTCTTCTTCTTCTGTTCCACCTTGTACCTCATTGAAGTGTGTGTGTGTGTGGGGAGGGGGGGGGGGGGGTGGATATGTAAGATTCGTTGATAAGCTCTGTCAAGAGCACTGTTAAGACTGATGTTCATTTCTGTAAGGTTGTTCTTAATGCCATCACTCCATCTTTTTCTATGTCTTCCACTCGCTCTATACCCATTGTAACGTTTTAGTGTGGCTCACTGTGGCAGATAGTACCAGGGTATTCTTGTTAGGTGTCCAAACCACTTCATTTGTTGTTTTTTGATGACCTGTAAGACTGGCTTTATTCCTAGCATTCATCTGATTTCGTGATTTCGTATTCTGTCTTTCCTTGAAACTCCTGCAGCTCTTCTAAGGCATTTAATCTCTGTTGTCACAAATTTAAGTTCATTGGAGGATGTAAGTCTCCACGTTTGGCACTGATAGCATAGTATTGGCCAGAAAAAAAGTTCTGATAAGATTCACTTTAGTACTCCGGGGTATCTGCTTGTGTGTCAACAGGGGAGATAGTTGCCCCATTACTTGATAAGCTTTGGCACATCTCGAGCTAATTTCTCTGTCCAGTTTTCCGTCGGATGTAAAAATTGCTGCCAAATACTTAAATTCCACTGTTTGTCTTAAGGTGTTGTTTTTTAATTTTATTTCTTAATTGTCTTTCTGTCTTCCTATCACCATTGTCTCTGTCTTCATAGTCTTTTTTTTTCATATTATATTCCTCCCCTTTGTTACTAATTTAATTTAGGTGGTTCTGTAGGCATTCCATACTTTTTGCTATAAGTACCTGGTCGTCGGCGAATAGTAATTCTTTAATATCTTCTTCATGATTAAAGTTCGTTTTAACCTCTTTGACTTTCTCCTGCCTGCAATCGGCCAGTAGCAATATTCCTTAAATTTATCAATAGAGGCGCCATTCGTGACTGCTTGAAAATGAACTGATCATTTTGGTGTATCGTTATCCTTTTATAGGATTTCAATTGCGTAGGCAGTGAAAAGTGTTCACCGCAAATTGTGTTGCTTTCTCATGCGCGCATCGTGAGCTATGCTCACAAATATAGTCTTAAACACAATTGACAACTACGTTGTAACCATTATAAAAACCCATGCAATTCTCGCCCACATGTCCACTGGACAAAGTAAACAACATTTGAGTCTGCTTTTCACATACCCGAGTACGATATTTTATTTACAAGCTAATAAAAACACTCCATCAGATAACTTTGCGTTTCTTTTCTTTAACAGTATATATATATATAGATATATATATATATAGATATATAATATATCTATATATATATATATATATATATATATATATATATATATATATATATATATATATATATATATATATATATAATGGATTATTACATGCTTGATGACATGGCAAGAATAAATTGCAAACAATTAAATGTTAATATTATTTACATAACTCCAGGCATCTCCCAGAAGAGGAAACACACAGTCCCCCCCCCCTTTCCCCCCTTTTTCTTGGTCTTTGAAAGTAATATCTGTGACAGCTGCTTAAAGCGCTGAAGGTGGTAGCCCAGTTACAGCAGTTGAGCTGTGAAGTGTTCTATATTCTAGGCCATAACAACTGAAGTGGCTGGCTAGTTCCCTCGTCATATTTCATTCAGGACCAGTGCCCCCCCCCCCCCCCCCAACTCTCTGTTTAATTAGGCTGGATCAGCCCTGAGTCGTACTGACTAGGAAAAATCATGCCACCTCAGGGGATTGAACCTGGACCATTCTCTCAGCAGGCAAGAGCATCAACCACAGTACTATTGAGGCTCCAGCTGCTTACCATCATTAATACTTTATAGAACGTGCTAATATCTATAACAATATATTACAGGTGATTGCAGTCTGCCACAACTGATCCAGAACATAAAGATGCGGAATATTTTATTGGATGTGATCCTAAAGCTGGTGAAACATCCAAACAACATTGCCAGTGTCAATCAGCAGTGAGTATTCTTCTTTATAGAAAAAAAATTTACGTTTGTGTTATGTTTTAAATCCGTTTTATTTCAAAATGATAAAAGTGTTATCCTTCAATCAGTCAGTCAGGTAATACAGTAAAGATTGCCTGCACCGGATCTTTAGCACCCTCTAACACTCGTCTTGGTTATTCACTTTCTTCGACTGCTGTTCATGCATCTCTTGATGTTGTCCTCGCCTTGTATTGCTACCTAGCTTTTTCTCCTTTGCCTTTCATTTTCCCTCTTTATAGTTTTTATACAAATATTTTCTTCTTTTAATGTACAAATATTTATCGTCTCTTGTTTCATATTTCTTTCAGTAAAGAAAGTATGATATATTTTGTATTATTGTTGTGCATCCTTTAATGTACAAATATTTATCGTCTCTTGTTTCATATTTCTTTCAGTAAAGAAAGTATGATATATTTTGTATTATTGTTGTGCATCCTTTAATGTACAAAGTTAAATAATAATAGAAGATTCTCGCAAGTGCAAATATTTTATTGCAAGTTTTATCGACAGTAACGATAACAAAAATTAAAGTCTTGCAACATTTCTGTTGTACACAGTGTTAACCATCCTTCATATAATAAATCATTTCAGCAGCCTGTTGGCAAACCAGTTCCCTGTCCTGCTACCTTTCATTTGCAACCTCCACATTTTTATAATTTATCCAGAGCATTTCTTGTGTGTCTTTTTTAAATCATAAACTCACATTATTCGATTTTAATAACCTAGAACACTTCACAGTTCTTCCCAACAGCTTGAGTACTTGATTACCCCTTCTGATGTAATCAATTAATTTAATGTGTCTGTTTCCTCTTCCTTTCCCCCACCATTTTAGTTTTTTTTTTTTTTTTGAATTTTTTTTTTTTTTACACAAACTTTCTTCATCCTACTTTGCCACACTTGCCAAGTATTTTACAAATTATGACACATTTTTCTTTTTGCATCTTTTCTGTTATACCTCATACATTTCCTAAGTTTTTTTGCTGTTGGTTTTCAGAAGCTATCTGGTGATTGCAGCAGTTACCAGTTCACTTACATGATAGGTTATAAATTAGCTGAAGTGTTTGATGTGCATATCAGTTCTCAGAGACTTAACAATTAGCCCTAATAAGTGAACTGATTCTTGCTGGAAAGATGCAGCCATTTGTAAAAACCTCTTGTTTATTATTTAATATCTAACAAGTCTTAAGCTAACTTTTCCTTGAATCTGGAATGAACATATATGAAAGATTACAAGTAGATAAAGATTCCATTTATTGTTTTAAGCCTTTCAAATTTCTAGATGTATTTTGTTATTGTTTGCAGAATGTGTGATGACATTGCAAGGATATTGGGTTTTGATTGGCTGTTGCTGTTCATGCAGAGCCATCTGCATGCCGACTCTGTGGTTATTGCACTGAGAATTCTGCTGGTGATGTTCCGCAATACTGAGAACATTCGCAGGTTTCGTGAAGGCAGTTATGGTGGTGGCTGGATGGGTGGCACAGAAACTGTACTCAAGAACCAGATGTCAGTTATGCTTGGTCAGTGTTGTTATATGTCAACATGTGCAGCCCTTGTGTTGTGTGTCTTGTCAGCTCTGTTTTCCTTATGTGCTTTCAGAACAATGTTTCTAAGTATTGGTCTTTTAACTGTTGTTTGTTCCATGAAGGCAAATACTGTCTTTTTTAAAGAGCAGAAGATTGTACACATATACAAGTTTGACTGTCTGCTTGTAGCACTGTACACATTATTACTGCAAACCACTTGTTGGTAATTAAATGAAGGATTTTAATAATGTAAATTTCATTAATATAATTTTAAAAACATGTTAGTTATGCCAGAGGATTTGCTTTGGAAAAAATACTGCACTAGTTAGAAAAGACATAATTAGATAAGATTTCATAAGAAATAAAAAAAATAAAAAAAAGAAGAGAGAACTCTTTCTGCACTTAATTTTTATAGAGACATAAACGGAAGTATTTTGAACCAATAATTAAATATGTTATTTTAGTACTGTACAGTTATATCTAGTCAGCTTCTAATTTCTGTTAATTTAGTAATGAATGTGTGATTATGATATGTTTTCTGGCTTTGAATAGGGGAAGGGGGGGGGGGGGAGTTGTGATATAATATTTTATTACCTGGGAAGTAATGTCAGCCAGCGTGATGTTCACCACATAACCCACCAAGGGCTGCTTATAAAAATATGAGCCCAGCCTTATATGCCCGATGCACTACTGGCGTGTAAAATGACTTTACCTTTACTTTTTTATTTGTCAAAACATGTTTGCTTAAGAAATTTATTTTGGGAAAAAATCTTGAATCTTAAATACTGTTATAAAATATTGTTTCTGCAGCTATTCATTAGATGACATTCATTTTGTTTTTGCGAGTAGGTTTCAACGTTGGTGCCCACACAAGGAATCAGGACAGAGAGATCCACCATGATGCCTGTCATGTTCCAGGATTCCAGGCCTTGCAGTGGCTACTGTCACGGCATACAAATGTTCCGGATATCTACTTTTTACTCATGGCTTTGCTTTTAGGTCATCAGAACAAACCATTAAACACAGCTGGACAAGTAAGTGTCAACATGATTTCATGACATTTTCATAACATTTAGAATTACTTCTAGATTTCTTTAGTGGATAAAATAGGGAATTATGCTTTATGTCATGAATGCAATAAAACAGCGTTCTGTGCATCTTAGTAGCTGTTACTAAATTTGAGATGCCAACTAGAATGAGAACTCACACTATTAGGTTATCACTAATTGTCTTACTGAAAATATAGCCATGTTCACTGCTTTTGACAGGAAAGAACTGAAGGTTTGACCTCAGTCTCGACATGTCCAAGCACTCACACAGAGCCCACAGCAGACAGCTGCTAGAAACAGAGACATATGATGTGGGATTTTTGTCATGTAAACCATTGTAGGACTAGCTTTGGAGGTCATACCATATATATATATATATATATATATTATATATAGTATATATATATATATATATATATATAATATATATTATATATATATATATATATATATATATATATATATATCTATATATATATATATTATATATATATATATATATAATATATATATATATATTATATATATATATATATATATATATATATTATTGCTTAGGGAGAACATAAACAGTTCTTGTTATTTTTCTTAAAATAAATAAAGATAACTCATTTTACAATTTTGCCTGAGACACATATAATAATATTTCTCAGTTTAAAAATAAAATAAGTTTTATCTATTTATGTTTTATTTAGTGCTTGTTGTAAAACAACATGTCAAGGTGTTGTGAAAGTCAGAAAGTTAATTGTGTAATTTCATTGTGGAAATGGCACTTGACTGATTGAGAGATTGACACCACAAATATTTACCACTGCAATAGCTGGTAGCAGTATGATCTGACATATATTGTGTTTCAGCAACTGAGTGTGGACTCCGTGTGGACTGTGATATTTGGGTGTCCAGCCAGTAAACCCATGCACAACTTGGCCAGAGAGAGCACAGACTTGTGTCCAGATGCAGCTCTGGTGTTGCTTGCCATGATCAGATACATACTGAATGAGGTACTGTTTTCTTATTGACGTTTTAAAGAATTTGATAGGGTAATAATAACAACAGTTATCACAGGACTAATCAAAAACCTAAAAGATCTAGGATGGTGCCAGGGAAGTATTGGGATTGGTGAATAGTGATTAGAAAGGATTACCATCATAGCACTACGGACAGATCCATTGGTGCTCAGATCTCTTTCTAAAAAGCTCCTCAAGTGTGAAATGACTGATGACACCTGTTCTGTGTTGGTTAATGGAATGTCTTGTCCCCTTAGTGAAATATTCATTTCTTGCAGCTCCAAGCTGAACCCCAATGTCCATCAGCCTAGACATGGATACAAAGTCATGCCCTTTGGCATTCTCGTCATCACGGTAAGCGCTGTGAATGGCATTGATAACATCACTTCTGTCCAGTACTGGACCAGCCAAAGCAACTGCAGTTTCAGCAAGATAATCTGCACGCTTGTTCCCTTGACCTGGCACAAAGGTGAAGGTTAGCGCAGCGAAGTGCCTAGTGTTGCAGTCAATTCTTGCCTGATAAAACCAGCTTGGATTTTTTAAAGCATTTTATCGAGTCACTAAAAATGCATACGTGTGTGAACTCTTGAGTACCAAGCCATGCTTATGCCGTTGTTACAGCCATAGTTTCCTTGTAAGGCTACTAGTTGTAGCAGTAAAGGGGCCATTCATCTCCTTGATGGTTTTTTCCCCCTTGAGTTTACTGTGAAAATTAATGTCAATTGAGGCGGCAAACATGTATGAGTGACCCATCCAGGATTTGCCTCGTTTTAAGTCTATTCTTCTTTTGCTTAAATAATTCCTCATGACGTGGGTTTTGAGGGTCTGACTACACTTTGAGGAAAGGAATAGCCCAGGACAGCTTGATTCTGTTTTCCATTGTGGGGAAATCCAAGAGATATTGCATGGATTTATAGGAGGTGTCTCTAGTGCATTCAAGAATAATACGCATTGCCTCGTTTTAAATTATTTCCAGTCTGTTCATCTGTGTGGTGCTGAGTGTCATGATGGCCAATGCATAGTCAATGGTAGAGAGAACTAACACATGATTACAAGTAGCAGTTGCTCAAAGTTTGCAGCTCCCATAACTTTTATTGCCGAGAGACCTTTCCTGGCTTTGGTTATACTATGGTCTACGTGTTTTTAAATGAAAATCATCTGTCAAATATTATACCCAGGTGTTTCACAGCATCAGATCTCTCCACATCATAGCCACAGAGTTTTCCTATCGGCATTGGTGTTATGGAAAGGTGATTATTTAATAAGAGCGAGGTGACTGTCACTTTTGATGGATTAATGGTTGCCCCTGAGGTGTTACACCAGGATGATATGCGATCTAATTTCTGTTATAGATCCGAAACAATGTCATCTCTGTTCCTGCTCCGTCAGTACATGAGGAAGTTATCCTCAAATGATAGAATTCTTCCTCCACTCAGTTGTTCTTTTGTAATCTTGACTGTGTAGATGTTGGAGAGGATAGGAGACAATAGAGAACCTTGTGGCAAACCCGGATGTATTGTTATTGGCTCAGAAGACCAACTACCACAACAAAGCATGACCTTCCTTTGAAAAAGTGTGGCAGATAACTATCAGATGAGATGTGGGGGGGGGGGGGGAGGGGAAGGGTTGGGTGTAGATGCCGACTGACACATTAGTTAGTGGAAGGGAACTTTGTTGTATGCATCCTCCAGATCTATGGCGACTGCACGTTTCACAGCCAACTTAAAAAAACTTTGTATGTGTCCTGTGCAAAGACGGCAGCATTACGCCATGTCTCCATGTTTTGTCTGTATCCTCCAAGTGTGGGCTGACGTATTTCAAGTTGGCTAATATCCTTTCCATTGTTTTGCCTAGTGTGTTCTGCATCGTAATGATTCTGTAGCCATTTATGTATGTCACATCTTTGCCAGGTTTTTCTAGCGGAATAAAAAAATCTATGCAGCCAGCTTTCTGGGATGGTACCATTACAGATGCTGTCAACGTAGGCTCTACATAGGTCCTTCATGGATGTTGTAGGTAGCTTGGCAATGTTTTCATAATGAATTCCATCAGGGAAAAGGAGCAGACTTCTTTGATGTTTTGATGATGTTCTTAATTTTAGTGACTGTTATTAGCTGATTATCTTAAATGTCAGTACCTGCACATGTTGCGGCGAGCATGTCCATAGTGGTCTGACGGGTGGCAGTGTCTTGAGTGCAGATTTGCATGAGGTATCTGTCAAGGAGTTCTCTTCCTTTGTCTTCATCAGACCTTTTCCATGTCTGATCTTCATTATGAAAGTCTCCGATGCCTCGGTGTTTGGAAGCACCTGTCTTAGCCTTGTATACAGACTAGTATTTTGCAAGAGATCTTTCCTTGCACACTTCATGTCAAAATATTTCCCAGGTTGTGGCCTTGGCTTGCTGGGCAACTGCTTTGAAGGCAGCTGTTGGGGTCTGCGTGGTCTGTTTGTATTCCCACAGTAAGTCTGGAGTGGAGTCAGTAGATTTCATTGCTTTCCCCCAGATCTTTACAGCATGTCTTTTAAATAACCACGCTGACTCGACCTCATCATTCCACTACAGTGGCTGTTGCAGTTGTTCCTTTGGCTACACAGTGTTTAGTTTTGATTTTTTTCTAAGCTTGCTTATGAGGTCATCAATTTTCAATGTGTATTTAAAAAGGTTTGAATTGATCCTATGATGTGTGCTGACACCCTTTCTAAATAGAATAAAATAGGGACAGTGGTTTTTCCCATGATTACCTAGTACATACTAACTACAGTTTCGACAAAGTGCAGGTGAAACTAAAGCCAAGTCAAGCACACTGTCTTCTTCTTCTGGTTGATGGGCCATCCTGGTGATTCTTCCATCGTTTAGACAGACTAGGTCCATTTCCACCATGGCATCCTCCAGATCCTCCCCTTGCCTGTTTGTTGAACTATTGCCCCATAGGTGACTTTTAGCGTTGAAATCACCACAGAAAACTACATTCCCTTCTATTTGCATAATTTCTTGAAGGCACATCCACTGTTCTCTGTTTATTTTACCGTTACATGCGTAGACATTTACCAGCAAGAAAGTTCGTGTCGCATATATTGTAACAGCTTGTAACTGGAGGCTGGCATCTTGCCATTTAAACATTTGAACTTCATGGGCTTTGAGATTATCTCTGACTAGAATAGCCTGTCCCCGTGTAGCTTGTTCTGAAATGTATAAAATCCTGTGAGTTTCAGTCTATTATCGCCTAGGAGTGTTTCTTGCAGGGCCTTACGTCAGCACTATACACTAATCTGTCCAGGAGAGGTCGTCTGTGTTTGACACTGGCACAGTTCCAATTTAGAATTTGAACATGCTTTCGACCTATCCTTTCTGATTTCAGTAGTGATTTTCTGTCCCCAGCACGTTTTACTTTCTAATTATTTTTGCGGTGCGTCTGCTTTTTCTGCAGTCTCCTTTTAATGTGAACATAACTAATACATATCTGTGGAGCAGGTGAAGAGGTCTCAGCACTAACACACGTACTTTGTCATGCAAGCGAGAATCTTGGGTTGACATTGTCACATACAACTGGCCGCAGAGGTCATCAGTGTTGTCACTAAGGTCGCCATGATGTCGATCAGGCGCACAGGCATCAAACACATATTGAAAATACAGCGCATAAATAACCACACTGGCCTTGAAAAAATATGCAGTGTAACACAATTGGCGCTACTTTTGAGTCGATATTTTAATATGGCCCAAGTAAAATACGCACGATAAAAAGCAAAGTCATGGCTCCTGAGCACAAAGACAACAACACGCCGCCATATTGGAAAACGGAAGTTGGAAGTAATTGGAAGATGATTCTAAGGCAGTTGCAGAGGAAAGATAATTGTGGGGTATTGTAAGCAACTGTTTTCTAGATCTGCACTAGTTTTATCGAACTGGCTAGTTGAGTCAAGAACTGACATCACAGCACTCGGGGCATTCCCATGAGCGATCTGTCCCAGTCTTCAGCAGCAAGTGCAAAGTTCAAATCCTAGTGGTTCCAGTGGAATTCTGATTAAACGTCCATCTTGCCTTTCCTCTGAGCCTTGAGCATCGGCCGGAACCCCTCATCACTCCCCGCTGCATCAATCTCACCAGACTGGTGATCCATCTGCTCCTCCGAACTGTATACACTATCCCACAAGGCACTAACCACCTCTGCCCTATCATGCATCAGTATTCCACCAAGTTGTGCAGAGCCAGCCAGTCTGTCCGCCTGTTCATTTCCCAACACTTGTGTCTCCCAGAGAAAAAATCCACACAATACTCCTCACCCGTGTCCTCCGCAGTGAAGCATGCCACTCTGCACGAAGCATGCCTGTCCTGACCATCCTCAGCATGCTTTCTGAATCAGTTGAAATCAAGATGTGTGTGTGTGTATGTGTGTGTGTGTGTCATGTTGTGTTCTCCGGCCAGCGAAAAGCTGCAGTGACCGCCTCCACCTCCATAAATACCTGGCTAGTTATAAATTCCTAGTTATTGTTATTGTTTTCTTTGATGTAGTTACTGATTGTCTCTTTGGGTCACACATATTTCAGACCTAATTTTGAAACATAATTTTCAGTATATCTCAAAGATTTGTTATATGAGTATGCATCCACATGATTTGACGGAGCTGGACTTTTTTTCAAAGATGACCTTGACTTCCAGGTCGACCCAGCCTTGAGTGGGTACCAGCTTCAGTCTTGAAGTAAAGGCGGCCGGTGTGATGCTGACCACATCAGCCACCAAGTGCCTATTGGTTTTTACAAACCTAGGTCTAACCCTATATTCCCAGTAGGCCTAAGGCATGGGAAAAAGACCTTTACTTTTATCCACAGGATTAAGTTTCCTTCAGATCTTTGTTTATAATGTGTGCTTGGTGTCTTTATAGAATCATAGTTTTACTTGTGTCAGCAACTGTGTATAAACACTGATTTTGTTTCATTTGAATATCCATTATGTCTAGTAGAATACACTGACTACATCTTCTGTATTTTTCCAGATCACATCCTCTATACTTGGCTTCAATTTACTTAAATAGTTATGTTGATTATTCACGTAAATGATTCAAGTTCTGTATCAGTACATTTGTGCTATTCTTTATGTGCCATTTTAACTGTCATGTTTCTATATATCTGTACCATTATATTTTTTGGCATAATGTCAAGAAAATGATTTGTGCAGTCAAAATCAATAATTTAGCCAGTTTTGACTTGTCCTCTTATTTGATTAAACAGAATGATGTGACCACTGCAGACAGCCCACACCCAGTTGCTGTGATCCAGTTCTTGATGTTTCTCTACCACAACCTCTCAGAGTTCCAGTCATTGTGTGCCAGCTCAGACTTTATTGGTGGCCTGGTTGCCTGTTTATTCCCTTATCCTGTTAGTGAGTCTAACAGTGATGTCACAACTCCCAATGAGGAGTTCAAGGTAATTTGTAGAAACAGATTCAAACTATAGGCCAGTTTTTGTATACATGCTTCATTCCCTACCAAACTAGCTTTCTGATCTAAAATAAAATAGTTAATTGATGGCAACTGTGAAAATGTGTATATATATGTGTATATAAATGGAGAGAGAAAGAGAGAAAAAATTAGGCCAAAGATAACTAGATGCAAAGATAGACCGCAAAGATAGACCAACACAAGTCTTTTACAGACACAAGTTTTTTTTAACCCTGGTCAGTATAAGGTTATTTGCTAATATTAAATATAATTCTTAAGATATTAAAAAAAAGTTAAATTGTTTAAGAGGTCTTTTTTTAAAATAGTGAAAATGTGTTAATTTAAGTTTTAAAAAAAGGCTCACTTTTGACCCCAAAAAAATAAAAAAATAAAAAGAATTATTCTTTACAACACCATGTATTTGCTTTATTTTATATTTTCGGTTATGAAATATAAAATCGGTAATTCTTCTGCTCATGTGTGATTTTCTTGTAGGCATGAGAGCTTTCAGAGTTTAACAAATATGATTTCATTGCATGGACATTGCACAGTTGTTTATATATCTATTTATATTTCATTACTTTACTGTCTACCCCCTCTTCTGCCAGTTATTTTTAAACACCATTAACTTGTGAGACATAGGATACTGTAGGTCTAAGGGGTTCCACCATAGAAATTGATTCTTAAAATGGGCCCTGCAAGTCAGACATGTTGGGAACCTCTGTTGTAACTCATTATGCGTTGCCTGGTTTCAGTCTCTTTAATCAAGCTATGGGGAACCTCAAAGGACCTGCAGCTGACATGCAAATCCTAGAGGCAGCCCACCTGACAATCTGACCTGAACATATGAAACCGAATGCAAAGAAGAAGCATCTATTTAATTACTTCACTATAGAAAGATAGGCTAACTGGTTACAAAACACCTCCTTATGGCTTTGCTTTATAGTTGGCATACATACATGAACGTGTGTAAAGGCATACATGCTGTTGTGTAAAGACATGATGCATGCAGTTGTATAAAGATATACATGTTGTTGTGTATAAACACAGATTGTTTTCATCCAGATGCCATATCAGTGCCATAATGTTGCATCTGACCTGATAGTAAAAGTATGCACTGAACTATGTTAGTGCTGGATATGGAAATGTGGTCAGTGTACATTTAGTGTGTGAAAGTTAATGGTGTATTTTTTATTCACAGTTCATTGGTAACAGTAGTATTTTAAATTTCAGCCATTCCCAGACTCAGAACCAGTGGTCTTGGTGAAGTCTCCAGACAGAGATGTTTCAGGTATATTTTTTAAGTTAAATATTTTCACCGGGTAATCTCAACTAAAAAACAAATATCTGCCAGAAAACCTAGTAAGCTGTTTAGCAGGTAGGATCCGCTGAAATATGTTGACATTGTGAATATCCATTGAGTCCTGAAGACCACAGACAAGTATGATTATTTGATGGAAGTGAAAACTGCATAAATATTTTTATGAACTGTAAAGCCACATCATGCGAATGGTTCTTCCTTGGGTCTTGTCTAGGGAACATCTCTTGCCTCTTCCTTGGCAAGGAAAAGCCCTGCTTTCATTATCTATGGCAGAAAATGATGCACTAGGAGAGAAGAAGTAGTGCATTCATTGGCAGAGTGCAAATCTGAAAAGAAAAAAGTTGCTGATAGCTTGGTCTTTTGCTGTAAGAGTTTATGTTAGAAATTGACAAAGGCTGTAATCCAATTCATATTTCAAATGTGTTTTAGTTTTCCCCCATGCCTTTAAATGTTACCTTTGTTAAGTTAGTTATCTGGGGGATCACCCTGTTGGCTCTTCAGTTTTCAAACAAAGTCCCTGTCATTGCTGTCAAGGGCTTTTCAAAGTTAACAAATCCATTATTAAGTGGCAAATAATTTCAGGGCTTTTCTGTATTAATATCTGTAGTGTAGCTACCTGGTGAATGTGGGCATAATCCAGTCTGTTTATCCCATAGTTATTGGTCACTAGTACCTGGTAATCTTTCCAGAATAATCCTGCTTAATAGTTTTTGAAAACTTGCAATAGCACAAACATTTATTAATTTATCCTGCATATTGTCCAATACAGAATGTAGCCTTCATAGTAGCCTGTTGCTTTTGGTCTCTTCATAATCCACATGGCTTCCTTCTGTTGTCATGTGCAAATCATCTGTCACTTCCTAATTCCAAGTGCATTGTGGTCATCAAATTCCTCACTTTCCTAGAACACCTTCCTTCATGATTATTGTCACCAAGCTTTAATCCCTCACCCCCCCCCCCCTCTTTTTGTTACCCCTAACCATCATGCCTTTTGTCCTTAAAATCACTGTTTTCAGTGTTGAGACTTTGTTGAATGGATCTCTTTCTTCTTATTTCCATTCAGTAAATTGTTAGTATAGGACTCTTCAGTAGAAGCTGTGTTCATTTATTTAATCTTTGTTAAATATCTAAGATTCAGACCCATATGTTGCCACCTCACATTTGCATGCTGTTAGTACTCTGACATTTGTAGCTCTTTCTGTTGCAATCCATAAAGGACTCTCACTTTGAAAACATTTTAAATGGTTATCAATAAATATTTTGGGAACTAAAGGAGGTCAACATTATGTTAATGTTACCCATTGAGTTGCTGATTGGTCTATACAAATATGGAGCTAGCCAATTTCTTTGTTTTCAGCATATACCTGCTACACAAAGCCACAAGCACTTGTACTGTCTTTCACAGTTCATATACAATTCTAATGTTTAAAATGCCTGTTTTGGAGATTTTCTTGGGTGATGAGGTGGTATCAAGACTTATTTTTTTCTGGGAGAAGAGCATATTTAAATCATTGTTAGCTGAATTGGTTTTCTAGACTTCACTAAGGCAGGTTCATAGTTGGTTGGATTTTGCAAGTTTTGACCAGGAGGAAATGCCAGTTTTTCTTGTGATCTCTGGTAGGTTACAGGTTTTTTGGTTCCTTGTAAGGATCCCACAAACATGTGTATAAGAATATCATATATACTAAATATAAGACATGGATCATGTTTAAAAAGTAATTCTGCATTCAAATTGATGTTTTAATCACCTGACTTCTATCTGTGTTTGTTCTCAGGATTCTTGACTGGTCATCCAGCCAGACGTTTCATCATTGATTTCATCCGCACAATTGTCATTGACAGTCTGTCTCAGATGTCCAGCAGCAAATCATCTACTGTGCTGGATATCATGTTGGATGTGAGTTCCACATACTGTTCATTCAAATACTGTTTGTTATGACTGATACAAAATATTAATGGAACACATCTGATGGAAGTATTTCAATATTTACTGGCAGAGTGACCTAGTCACTGATATATGATGACTGTTGTACTGGTTGAAACAACAATAACAATCACACAGTTGATCTATAAAGAACTTGGAAAAGCCTATACAAAAAGAAGTGTCTTTTTCCCAGTCTTTGACTGTAATGCAGGCTTCATGATATTTGCAACATTCTGTTTCAATAATGGGAATACATTTGTGAATTCACTGTCAGGATTAGGTATATAACCTCTGCTGTACTGCCTCTTTCGGCACCAAGAATAGATCCAAGTGAATTTCGTTGGTATTCAACAATAGCATGAAACTATCAGAAGTTTATAAATTAACGTGATAGTTATTCACAACTTATCTTTTTTGCTTTTTTGATATTAGTGTTAAACTATGATTGTTGATGCCTTCCCATTGTTTATGTGGCTGAATATTGAGCAGTACAGAAAAAAAATTGTAACTACTGAAGCATTTAATTTATAGTTTTTCTTACCTGTTTTTATGTAAAAATAATGTTTATGTTTTACCTTACTGCCATGTAAAGATAGCATGTTACAATTCTTGCAGATGTGTTGCTGATTACATTGTTAATTTGACATTTTTGCAAATGTATTCTGCAAGTTATAATTTCCCACACATCTTGTGAGTCAAGTCAGATCATATATAACACCGTCAGGGCTTTTTGTCTGGCGGTACACAACGGTACACAGCACCAGCACCGTTTTGTTTAGGTATCTGTTTTAGTGTGTGTGAGCTACAGTAATAAGCACTTTGTGGTAGGTGCCAGCACATGATTTCTTCCTTAAGATACTGTTGTGGTGAGTACTTTCTAGGGGTAAAAAACCATAATCACTGTGATGATATTTTCTCTTATAATTATAGGCATCCCCTGAGCATGCGAGCAGAGCTCAGCAGAAAGAGTTTCAAACAGAGATGTTGAAAATCCTCATGGATCACTTGCTGGCAGCAGACATGTTGCTGGGAGAGCAGGCGGCACTTCCAATCATGTCTGGCAGTAGTTACAGCAACTTGGCTGCTAATGTCTTTTACTTCGCCAGTCGTGTTGTGGACAAGATGTGGCATGGTAACCTTGTGTTTGTGAATGTGTTCTTTGTTATGTTCTGATAGTTGTCTGTAAATTTCTCTCTGATTTTTGAGGTTAATATTCACACACATACATGAATTTATTTTGGTGAAAAAGAGCTTTTAAGAAGATGACAAACACACCAACAACAAAAGAAAAAGAAAAAAATAAACAAATCAACTGAAATCCATTAGAGTTCCAGATGGTTTTGTTGGGTTCTCTATAGAGCATTCATTGTCACCAGTTGTATTTTAACATGAGGTTAAAAAACAAAACAGGAATGTGTGCGTGCTTGGTGGGTGTGTGTGTGTGTGAGAGAGAGAGAGAGAGTTAGCCATTGTGCGAGAGAGAGAAAGAAAGGGAGAGAGGAAGAGAGATCTGTGTAACCTACTAGCTGATTTTCCCTTTAGGCAGTCAAAGCCTAATGTGTAGGATAAGTCATTCTCATCATTAGTACATTCGAAATTACAGATTGTTGTAATCATTAATTTTTTTCTTTCAGGTGCGTTTATCAGGGAGCCAAAGGAAGTCTTTGATTTTTTGCATAAACTGATTTCCCAAGCTAAGAGAAAATGTAAGTGACCTTGACACAGTTGTAAAGTGTTCCCAGACACCTGTAGATTAAAAGTAGCATTCTTTGTAATATACCCTTACAGCATATAGTTTTTTGTTAAAATTACTTAACTGCTGTTCTGTTATAGAGCTGCTATGTAAGAATTTCTGACAGACAAGTCTCAGGATGTGCTTATAATGTTTTACTTTCATTCAAGTACATGGTGCACACGCTAGCCACAAGTTTGTGAACTTTAGTCTGCGTTCTCTGGGCAAAATACTAGCAAGATGTTTTTATAGCATGGACAATGTTTAAATTAGGTTTACAAGTATTTTTAATATTTTCCAGCAGTAAATGTTGTCTCTGCAAATTCTCTCTCTCTCTCTCTCTCTGTCTCTGTCTCTCTGTGTCTCTCTCTCTGTCTCTGTCTCTCTCAGTCTCTGCCTCTGTCTCTCTCTCTCTCTCTCTCTCTCTCTCTCTCTCTCTCTCTCTCTCTCTCTCTCTCTATATATATATATATATATATATATATATATATATATATATATATATATATATATATATATATATATATATATATATATATACATATATGTGTGTGTGCACAGACAAAGGTAGATGAAAAAGGAAGAGTAGATAGGGAGAGAATTCTGTAAATTTCCTGGCAGTAAATACCACAATATTCTTTAAACAACTCACAATTATATGTATTTTTAGTCTGATTATATTGAAGTAAGCCAACTTAGTTCTATAATTCTGTTGGAGAAAAAGATACCTTGAATATTTTTCAGCCACTGGTGTGTCACTTGAGCTTATTTACAAATGTCTGAATCGGACAATCTTGTTTCAACTGTCACGCCCCATTGAATCTGTGTCCAGTCAGACCAGTGTGCTAGAAGCACTTCATGTCATTACAAACAGTCGCCATTTGGTGTTTGGTCCTGGCAACCATGACCCTGAATTTCTTGGCTGCTTATGTTATTGTCTGCTTCAGCTGACAGAGGATCCTGAGTCCAGGTGAGTGTGTGCCTGAGACAGGTTCCTGTATTCCTTGTGTCCACTACTATCACCGCAACCTTTACGATAATCACTGTCATCATCATAATAATCATCACCAGCTTTATCATTATCATGACCATTGTCATTGTTGTCGGATCCACAACCCCACTATTACTGTCATCGTAATCATCATCATTATATTGAATATGCTCATCACAACCACCATTGATAGCATCAGTATGACATAATCATCATCACTTTAATAACTAACATCATCATTATGACATCTTACATCTTCATTATAAACACTACAGTAATCATCAGCACCACTACCACAACATCATCACCACAAATATAACAGTCGTCATCATCATAAATCAGAGCCACTGTTTTTATTATAAAAATCACATCCTCTTCATGAGCACTACAATCACTTTTATAAACGCATCATCATCACAACCACTGTCTTCATTATAAATATTTCATCTTCATCACCACCACTGTCTCCATTATAAACATCACATCATCATCACCACCACTATTGTCTTTATTACAGACATCACATTATTATCATCACCACCAATATAATTATTATAATTATCACAGTCACTATCATTGTCACCACTATCACTTCCACCATAATTAGCACCACCATAATTATAATTATAACTACCATCATCATCATCATTGCTCCCTTTGTTATAACAATCATCACCACCATCGTCATTATAATAATCACTGCATTATCATCACAACCATCATTAAATCACCTGCATCATCATTTCAACCATAATCTTCATTATAATCATCACCACTGTCATCACACCACATCATTACCATCTAACTACTATTGTCAGCACCAACATCCTCATGATCACTCTCATATTAATCTAATCTACTGCAGTCCTTATTATCAGTATCATAGCAATTAATTATTGTCACCACCACCACCCATTCATCATTATCACTATCACAGTTACCATCATGAGAAATTTTTTTTTTTCACAAAGGAGATCTGAAAATCTGACAAAAACCAGTTAACATATGAGAAGGTTGCAGAAATACTTAACTGAAACATTCTGAAAATTGTGCTTGGAAAGTTTTCTTTTTGACATTGAGGTCTGTGTCAAAGAAAAACTGAAAAAAAAAAATAGAAAATAAAGACAAAAGCAAAAAAAAAAAAAAAAAAAGAAAGAATCTGCATAGTATACTGATTGGTGTACAGATTTAGAAAATCTATTCCCCATCATCTATTTCACAATCTGTTTCACTATTTCAACTGATTATTCATTCTCACAACAGAATTGCCAACCTCACTGAGTCCAAGCCGAGGACAACTACCTGGCATGTGGAGAGTGGCCAGGAAGGTTTCAATATGGAAGGTGTAGACAATGGGTCATACAGAAATGTTGACTTTCAGATGTCAGCCCTCACTCAGGGCATGCAGTTGGTGGCAGCAGCAGCAAGGAGAGTGTGGGATGAACTCTACATATTTAAGAAGCCGGTAAACTGATATCATCTAGATTTTTTCCTATAATTATTTCCAAACATGAATGACTTTTTAAATGAACATTTCACCTATTGTAATAAAAGTTGGTAGGTTTGTTATATCATTTCAGAAAATTGTTTCTGTGTAACATTAATTTAACTCTTTTAGGCCCTTGAATTTTGACAGACTTGGCTCACGTTACAAACATGGCAAATGGGGTGGTTTAAAAATTAAAAAAAAAAAAAGGCAATTGAGAATTGAATATATATCTAATCCGGATAATAGTATATATATATATTTTTTTTAAGAGGAATGAATGTGAATTTTGAATCTGAAGATATGTTTTTGTTTCATACTGTTATAGTTAGTAGAAAACAAAAATTTATCAGGTGTTAAGTTTACAAAAACAAAATTTTCCCCTAAAAAACCTTCGCTTACCATGGTTTTGCAGCCAGAAGAGCAGTGAATATCCAAATTTAAGAGTAACACTTTGAAGTTTGTTCATTTCCTAACAAATTCAAAAGTTAAGACATGTTTTTCCATCAGTCTATCACTCAGAGGCTCCAGGTTTTCATTTGGTGCTGAACAAAATTTCAAAGAAAAAAAAAAAGGCAGAAAATTAGACTTATAGTCCTATATTAAAAAAATATATAACTTTGGTGACTATCACATCCTTCACAAATGAAATGGGTCCTCCTGGATTTGCCTCATCAGAACAAACAGCTGACAGCTCAGCTGCATCTGGTCTAAATTTTCCGTCCAAATCACTTTCTGAAAAATTTAAATTTTTCAATATTAGAAAACATGTGACTGAAAAGTTTTAGAGCTTCAGCCACAGAAAGGCTCATATTTTGGCCTATGCTTGTGTCTGAAACATTGGTAACCATGGCCACTTGAACACAAAATCTGAAAATGTGTTTTCTGAAAATCACGCTAGCAGTTAATCGGATCAGTTTGCGCCCACATGTGTGTGAACATAGACTTGTTTACAAAGAAAAACATTAATCTTCCCTGAATACTTTAATGGTAGTTGTGAACATTAGAAGTGAATACTGAGCCGTATGCAAATCAATATGTACGGGACAAAGGATCGGCACAGACAATGTTGTTTGGGCAAATCGGAACTTCTCAATCAACACACACACAGCATTGCTCGGGCCACAGAGAGTTAAGTAGTATTTAGTCATTGAATAGTAATAATTTTTACATATTTTTATCTACACATAATTGAAGTAATGTTGATTGAAGTTGCATATTTTTGTCATTAATGGTTGTATTTGATTTGTGATATCATTTGCATCACAAATATAGTGTTGAAAAAAAAAAGTCTTGTTTTTTTCTGATGTGCAGTTAGTTGTTATATATATTATTGTAGTTTAAACAAATAGTTACGTTATTTGTTTTCTTAAGATACATAATGCAGACAATTTGTAACTTCCTATGTCTCAGGCCCTAGAGGAAATTTTCCGGATACAGTTCAACAACAGCAGTCCAGCCAAAACTATTGCCCCACCAGACTTGAACACAGTCAGGTTTGTGCTGTTTATTATACAGAAGTTTATCCACTCAACTGTGACTGAGAAGCTTGAATGAAGGAGGGAAAAGGGACAACATGCGCACGTACGCAACACACACATGCGTGAGTGCACACACAGACATGCGTGAGTGCACACACACACATGCGCACACACACACACACACGAAAATACAAGGTTTCAGTAGAAGCCTTTATTGTCAAAAACAGCAACAAGAGGAAGAGATTTCTGTTAGCTAGACTGTGTTTGTCCATGTTTTCATCACTGTTTGTTTATTGTAAAGCTTATCTTAAGTACAAATCAAACTTGTTTAGCTGTACATGTATGTGATAAAACATTGTTGTTTAATCTGCCGTTTTATCATTGTGCTAAATGAGGCTGATCTTTATATGGCTAAAATGTGGCTAAGCCGAACGGAAAAGGTAACTGCTGGACCATTAAACAGAAAATAAAATACATATTTTCTGCTTTTCCCACTTTCTATGTTTCTTTTTGTCTGTCTGTTTTATTCATAGTGACTTTTTTTCTATGTCTGTCTTCTAAATCGCTGTTTTTTCCTGTCCTCCTCTTAATGACTTGCCTAACCAGTGAGAATAAGGTCACCCAGGGTAAAGACTCCTTTTGGGTTTATTAACTGTTAACCCATCACATATTCTATAGCAAGGTATAAATAGTGTGGGTTTTCCGTCTTACCTTACCTTCCCAAAAAACTCCCTGAACATTTTGGAAATTGGCCCTGACCAATTTTTATGAAGCAGGAGTAACCCATGAAATGCCCTGATAACAAAAATAAGCTATCACTAGCGAATGAACCTAGACCATTGTCTTGGTAGACAAGTGCACTAACCACTGTGCCGACATGGGGGCAAAAAATGGTTAATCTCAAAGTTAATACTGAATTCACAGAGAAGCTTGATTTGATTTGATTTGATTCAAGAACCCACATCACAGCACTCGGGGCATTCCCATAAGCGCTCCGTCCCCATCTTCAGCAGCCAGCGAATAGTTCCGATACTAATGGTGCCAGTAGCTTTCTGATTAAACGTCCGTCTTGCCTTTTCTCTGAACCTAGAGCTTCTGCCAGAACCTCTCGTCACAGAGAAGCTTGTAGTGGATAAAGACCATTAATCAGGGTTGAGAAGATGTTGAGTACATAATGCATTCTAAAACAAATGCCTGAGAACATTGGTCAGCATTAAATAGGGTGAATTTAAATAAAGGTGGAGTAACAGCCTAGATAACCGACGGTGTCACCAGTTATAAGACAAAGAAGCTGGTGATTTATTAAGCACATTCAGAGGAGAAGCTGAGAGAAAAATATTAAGCACAAACAACCAAACATTTCTACAGTCTTTATCAGTGAATTAAACAAGAAAAAGAAGGGCATTAAACACCATTCCCAGCAAACGAAGGGGTCTTTTGAAGAACTATAACGGAAATGGGATAAGTAGGAAAAGGAAGAGCTGTTACAAAATAAAGCGTCAACGAAGGAACAAAAATAACATCTTGTAAAATAATAATAATAATATTAGCTTTTCCGCCCTGTTAAGTATCGCAGTCATAATTTGTGCATGGTGAATTCATTGTTTGGTCCTTGGAAGATTGGATAGATAATATAACCTGCTTGATTCACTTCATGGGCATATGCTCATAGTAATGTGGTGTTTGAACACCACCACCATAACATGTGTAACTGACTAAGCTCAGTCTCGGGATAGATTATTTGACTTCACTGGATACATTTATCTTTTGTCTGGCAGACTGATGATCCAGGAACCCGCATCTAGAATATGGGTCTCATATGCTGAAAACGAACGCAAGTCTTCATTTCTTCACATTGAGAAGCTTCAGAATCAGATTCAGTCTGTAAGTAATATAAATATATGAATCATGTTTGTAATTCATTTTTGGTCTCCTGTCTGGTGTTATTTGGTATCAATGCCATAAGCAGCGGATTGTCTACATAAGTTGTGTTTGGTTATATCATCATTAGTTGCTTTTCACTAAAACATTTGTTGATATAAATATTAGTATAACTATATAGAGCTGCAGATACTCAGCATTAATCTGCTTTGAAAAACAGATGGTAGCCATTTAGAAAATCATATACATTGTTTTTTCTATGGGAATGCAGGATGCAGTTTTTTTTTTTTTTTCAAATAAAAACAAGAGCAAACGAATGTAGAAATCCCAGAGAATATTAAGAAGTAAATAAATGCCAATGGGGGAGGGGGGAGGGTTGTTATATATTTTAGTTACATTAAAAGATGTAAGACTCATAAGGAAAGGTTGCAGGGAAAGACAAGATTTGACATTCAATACAGTTTGGAGCACACATATTATGGCAAGTGGTCCTTAGAATAGAGTGAAGCATGTGGATATTTATCATTCTGGTAGCCAGCTAGTTATGAATTTGAGAATAATATAAGCAGAGTGTACTTTCAGAATTTAAAGATAGCAAGTGCTGGAGATTTATTTAACTGACTTTCATAGTGGAAGCAACATTTGATTGTTGATCAACATTATGTTTGTGATGTTCAGTATTTGTGGCAGTTTGTTTAAGCAACTTTCTGATCTTGTTCATGCTAGTTTCAACATAAATTATTATGTCATTTTTGTGGAGTAATCCTCACATGAATGACTTAATCACAGTAACAGTGATTTTGCATATGTGGTAGCAAAGTAGTACATTTGTGATCAGTAATGCAAAATTGGAATGTGGTGTTACCTTAGGAGTAATATTGTCAGTATAATGGTGGCCACCTTACTCTGGCAGCCATTTTTAAACTTAGTTGACCTCATAGCTATTACTGGCCAGAAAAATAAATTTACCTTTCTAGCACTAGAGGTGAAATGCACGAGCATTCTGTTGGTTAATGTGTGCACCACATTTTCTAGTACACCACAGTGCAATGATCTAATGCAGTTCAGTAGCCACTGATTGTGTCTGTGTTGAACTTCCACAACCACAATACTTTGTATCTTTATTTACCCAGCCACAGGTAGATAAAAGTTTTCTCCTGGTATGTATGGGCAATGTTTTTGACAAGTCTAGTGTTTTACTTTGCTTTTGTTATGTTTCTGTTTTTATGAATATATATTTGTTGGCATTTACACTTTAATTTAAAATCGGGGGGAAGTTGTCATTTTATTAGCAACTTTGTTTTATTATTATAAAACTGAATTACAAATCAGAATATTTCTGGAATTCTTGGTCGGGGTAGGAAAACATTTTAAATGACCTGGATTCTGACTGGTTAGGATTTGACTAGAAAAGGATTAAGGGAATTTATGAGCTCTGACTATTAAAAACATGTTTGAGCTGGGGGGAGGGGGGGTTAAGTACAGTTTTTTTTACCTGCATTTAAGTAATGTTGGTTCTGGATTCTGAAACACAAGCAAATGCTAAACATAGAACTGATAGAAACAAGCAGGCTGCAAATATTCTCACAGTAGTGCCGTTTGTGCTGTTGAGGAATGTGTGAGACTGATCAGGCTACTTGTTATTTGAAAGTAAACTTTTAAAAGTCATGTTTAATTTAAAAATCCGCAATTATGTAATGATCATATGATAAAATCACTCACTGGGAGAGAACTAAATAAATTCCTGTAAAACTAGAGGTTAAGAAATGTTGTTAGTATCGGAAAGGACACACTTTAAAAGAAACCTGAGAATAGTAAAACTATAATTTCATTGGACTGGAACCCACAGGATCAAATTTATATAGGCAGAAAACCCTCACAGAGAGTGGAACTAGAGAATGAAGTTAAAAAGATAAGGAGATAATGGGGAGCTGCATGCGATTTCAAAAGATAGGGCGACTTGGTGTAAGTTGGTTAAGGGTCTATGCTTTATTGAAGGATAAATGGCGGAAGAAGAAATACTGGGTCACATTAATTGATTTTGCTTGCTTGATATTTTGATGAGTTTTGATATCTTCACCACCGTGAAATTATTCATTTTGTTCCAGTCTCATGCTTCAGATCATACTATGCGGTTATTAGCACTATGCTCACACATACATAGTTCCCCCCAAAAAATCGTTTCACATATTTTCAGTATTTGTTTAAGGGTAGTGAGTATACTACCATTTTCCATGTCTTAAACCTATTTTGTTGTGTATGTGGTGTTGGCCACATATTTCTTTAGATTAGTTGCTACTTACTTGATGAATAAATCAATCATTGCTGCCTATCTGTACAACTTTCTAGATTAGCGTAGATGATATATATATAAATCTACGTATGTGTGTGCATGCATGTGTGCGTGAGAGAGAGGGAGAGAAAAGGTGGTGGCTGGGGAAAGGGGGGGGTGGGGGGGTGGGGTATTTAGCCTGAGGGGGGTTTAATTCAGCATGTTTAATGCAGTCGTCATGGGCCATGCAGTTTAGGATTAATGAATAAGAATATACTCACACTTTGGTAATGTGTCTTTACTATGTAATGCTCGTTCAGATTTGTATTTTGGAAAAGCACAACTGAATTCTCATTGATTGTTGATTCAACAAATCCAGCTAGGTAATATTAGTTCACTATTCTGTAAGTGTTAGTTTATTGTCTTATCTCACTGTTTGACACATAATATATGAATGTGCATCATTTATGTAATTGATTTTTCCAAAATACCACCGGATATATCTTTCTTTCTTAGCCTTTTCTCTCTCTTCCTCTTTACCTTCATTCTGCCTCATCCTTCTCCATCCTTCATCCTAATTTCATTTACAGATTTTGTTTTTTAATTTACAGAATTGTTTTGTTGTCTGATTATATATAAAGAAAATATATTTTATAATATTGCTATAATCAGTGTAAAGCCCTTTCTGACTGTAATTGCATAATTTGTTTTGTCCATGTTATAGAAACTTCAGAAAGTTGGCAGTGGAGTCAGCGGTGTTCTACGTTCTGTGTCCAGGAGAAGTAAGCGGGATTTGCCACTCAAGTCTTCTCCCGTATCAACAGTTCACATGAATGTAAGCAAGTGTATCACAGTGTTACACTTTCTTGTTTTGTTTTGACTGCATATGCCGGCCTCATTTTTTCATTGATAAATGAATAGTCACAGAGCTTTCTTAAATAGCTTAGAATAACAGTAAACATCAAAACATAAGAGTTTACTCTTATTAGTGTTTAATTTAATTGAATTCATTGTTTTGTGAGACCCATACTGTGGGCATAGTTTAGCACACAGGGGTTATACGTAATATCTGTTGTTTATGGTCATTAGTCTGTTTATATGTAATATCTGTTGCTTATGGTCATCAGTTTGTTGTGGAGATCTACACATTTTTACATACAAAAACATCTACTGTATATCGCTGTCTACAATAATTGTGTTTGTAATCAATTTACCATGGTAAATCTTAGTATTTTCATAAAGAAATGATTCACCTTGCTTTGCCTAAGAGGTCAGTAAATTTAGAAACTTTAAATGAATAAATATGAAGCAGGAATCACATTTAAAGTGTTGATGAATTTATTGTGATAAAAGATGCATCATATTAGTGTTATTATTTGTCAGTTTAAACTGTTTATTCTCAACTAAGTTGTATAGTGATAGAGATTGATAATCTTTTAGTAACATTTTATCATAGAAATGGGAGTTGCCATGGCATAGCCGCTAGTCGCTTGCATGCGGATTGAAAGGTCATGGGTTCGCTCCCTGGCGGAGTCGGACTTTTTTCAAAAATGACCTTGACTCCCAGTTCAACCCAGCCTTGAGTGGGTACCGGGTGCAGTCTCGGGAAGTAACACCAGAGTGATGCTGATCACATCGCCCATCTTGTGCCAGTTGGTCTATAAAAATATAGGTCTAGCCCTATATGCCCTACATGCCTAAAGGCGTCGAAAAGGGACCTTTACGTTTTTAATTTTTTATCTTAGAAAAAACAAGAATAAGTGAAAATTGAACGAACTCTTTATCCAGCTGCTGTTTTCTGGTTTTTCTTTATTTTTAAAGAACTAACTAAAAGAATAATTCATTAACCCTGATGCAAAAAAAAAAAAAACAACAACCCAACAAGATATACAAAAATATTAGTTACATGCACACAATTGGCTAGAATAAGATGTAACTTGGAGACATTGTAGAAAATAGGTTTACCTTTCATCTAGCACCAATATTCCACCTTTGTGTGCCAATCCACCCAGCAGGATCAACCTTGTTTTACAAAGTGAGCACTAGATGATGCTGTTTGAGGGACCCACCCCCTTTCTCCTACTATCGATCTATTTCTAGATTTGTAATTTTCAAGATTCTCTTCATCTCTTGAGCTCTCACTGACTGTGTCACTTCAACTGGGAACGTAATCTTCATAAAATTCTGACTCCTCAGAGTCTGAATTAACCAAAGCATCGATCACCTGTGAAAAACCTAGACCTACTTCACTTTCCTGTTGAAATGCTTGGTTCATCTGCTGCTCGTTTCATTGTGAATTTTCAGAATTTTTTTTTAAATTTTAGGTTAAACCCACAAAGTAAATCCAAACACACGTGGGCAGCCATTCGCAGTGACTATCCACGGGGTTAGATCACGATGGGTTGGTCATTTTTAGTTTCAGTTTGTGATGCATTTTATCATGTAGTACGCAAATTCCCGAAAAATCAGGACAATGATATAGTGGCAAGATAGAAAATTACCGCAGTAGCGGGACATCGGTCTGGTAGAGTTAGAGAAAATCTCAACATAATAAAATCATTTTTTTTTAAAACTTTGTTTCGGTGGAAAGTTTGTTTCTAGATTTTCTTGGTAACTTGTTAAGCATACACTTTTTTTTCTGAACGACATACTAATTAAATTTCAAATATTCCAAAACTATTTATAAATCTACAGTATTAATTCATGTCCCTTCCATTTGGTATAATACATTCTAGTTTAATTATCCTTAGGCATAATCTTATAGCAAATGTATGTAATATGTATGTAGATTTTAGATTGTAGGTGGCCTATGTCTACTAATCAATAGTTCCTATGTCAAATTAAATTTAAGTTCATGAGACAAACACAGTTAACTAGTGAAAAAGACAGAATTTTAATAATTTCAGAGACTTGTATGAAACAGACTTCCTTTTTCACATATTGTTCACTTATATTGAATTTTATGAACAATAATATTAATTAAATCTTTTGCTCTCTAGGACTTCCGCCACGCCACAATCAATCATGTTGCTCTCGTAAAAGATGTTGTACAGTTTCAGCATGATCAGTACATACAGGTAAAATACAAATGCTTATTCATCACCTGTAAAATAACTCTTAAAGGACAAAAGTATTTAAGAACAGTATTTGTAGGTAACCTTGTATGGCCAGAGTAACTAACAACGATTGCTTGAAAGAGGCTAATGAAAGTAGATCTCTATATACAACAATAAGAAAGAGAGAAACACTGTTCTTTGGTTACATAATGAGAAGAGAGACATTGGAGAACATTGTGACAACGAGAAAGATCAGTGGAAAAGGGGTAGAGGCAGACCAAGAGAGATGATGCTGGATGGGCTAAAATGATACCATGGAGGGATATTATCAAGAGAGCTCTTCCAGTCAACCAGGGATCGTGATCTGTGGAGACACATAAGCGCCTATGCCAGTTGGCAGGGCACATGATAATGATGATTTTTAGGAGGATATTATTTCAGGTCAGTTTTTAAAAATTTTCATTTTGAGAGGCCAATATTTAAGTTCAGTATTTTATAGGGGGCGTATTTAGAATAAGAATTTTCAATAAATCGTGTCAGTACTCCCAAATGTTTATTGCAGGAGGCCAGTTGTGGAACCAGTGTTTGCAAATGTTCATAAAATAAGATCAGCCTTTGCTATCAAAGTTTTGACATTCATAATGTTTGGTCACTATTACAGCTTAACTTAATATATTCATGTGTTTGTTATTGGAGGTCACTATTTGAGCTTGATGTTTCTAGATGTTCATTATAAAAGGCCAGCATTTAAGATTGATACATCCACATTTTTATAATGACTAGTCATTATGAAAGGCCAGGAGTTGAGCTTGATATTTTTTAGCTTGATATTTCCTGATGGTAATTATGAAAGGGCATGATTTGAATTTGATATTTTGTGATGGTAATATGAAAGGCTAGGATTTTAACTTAATATTTCTTGATGGTCATTATGAAATGCTAGGATTTGAGCTTAATATTTCCTTATGTTCATTAACCCTACCAGACCTAAGGCCCTGAACCTAACTGTCCCTATAACCTGAGCTCCTGGGCATTACTGCGAAAAAACCAACATGACATACAAAAATATTAGTTACATGCAAACGAGTGGCTATAATATGATGAAACTTGGAGACATTATAGAAAATAGGCTTACCATTTATCTAGCGCCAATATTCCACCTTTGTGTGCAAATTCACTCATCAGGATCAACTTTGTTTCACAAAGTGAACACCAGATGTTGCCGTTTGATGGACACACACCCTCCTCCTACTACCGATCTATTTCAAGATTGATAATTTTCAAAATTTTCCTCATCATTCGCGCTCTCACTGACAGTGTCATTTCAAGAACGTATTCTTTATGAAATTATCACAGATAATGAATATATATATATATATATATATATATATATATATATATATATATATATATATATATATATATATATATATATATATATATATATATATATATATATATATATATCACAGAGTCTGAATAAACCAAAGTATCGATCACCTGTTGGACTGTGAAAAGCCTAGAACTTGATTCATCAGCCGCTCGCTTCATTCTGAAATTTCCGAATTTTTTCACATTAAAACACACAAAATTGATTCACACACACGGGGAAGCCATTTGCAATCTCTAACAAAGCGGACTGACGACGATTGGTTGGTTATTTTTAGTCAGTGATGCATCTTTTTCACTATGCAAATAACTGAAATTTAAGGCCAGCGGTATACAGAACAGTTATGAAATTCCCAGAAAAACGGTAGAGCGGTCTGGTAGGGTTAAGAAAGGCCAGGATTTGAGCTTGATATTTTCTGATGGTCATAATGAAAGGCCAGGATTTGAACTTGATATTTCCTGATGGTTATTAGGAAAAGCCAGGATTTGAGCTTGATATTTCCTGGTGGTCATTATGAAAGGCCAGGATTTAAGCTTGATATTTGATGATGGTCATTATGAAAGGCCAGGATTTGAGCTTGATATTTTCTGATGGTCATTATGAAAGGCCAGGATTTGAGCTTGATATTGCTGATGGTCATTATAAAAGGCCAGGATTTGAGCTTGAAATTTCCTGATGGTCATTATGAAAGGCCAGGATTTAAGCTTGATATTTGATGATGGTCATTATGAAAGGCCAGGATTTGAGCTTGATATTTTCTGATGGTCATTATGAAAGGCCAGGATTTGAGCTTGATATTGCTGATGGTCATTATAAAAGGCCAGGATTTGAGCTTGAAATTTCCTGATGGTCATTTGAGCTCCATATGTCATGATGTTCATTACAAAAGACCGGTACTTAACAACAAGTAAGTGTTCTTTGCAAGGGGCAGTCGTCATGACCAGTTTAACAACATGCTTTTTTGTTGTGGTGCTTAAATATATTTATTTAATTACAATCATATGACAGTAGTGTAGTTTTGAAAAGAATATACTCGGAATAATAGAGATATAAACTTGTCAACAACAGAAGTGCCTACAGTTTTAAGTATATTTAGTTCATTTATAACCAAGTACAATTTAGGTTTATATTTGACAAATAGGTAGGTTCAAATAGTGTTTTTTTATAATGAATAAGGCAGTTATTACAATTTGTGAAAGTGTGGCTATAAAGATGTACAACCCTGCTTTATGTAAACAAAAGGATCAGGTCATTAATTTTATAAATCCTTAGTTACCATGTTAACCTTATTTCTGCTTTGGTAAGATGCACTTTGTAACAAAAGACAATATGATTTAAATATTTTAGTTACAAGGGAAAATTTATTTTATTCCTCATTATTTGTCGATGTAAAATTCTTGTAGTGTTCTTGATGAGATACAGCAAAACATTTCAGGTAAACAATTGTGCAGCACACTATTTGAAACCTGATAATTAAAACAGATACGTAATTGCTTCTTGAAATTCTTGTTCTATTTGCATGAAGTATAATGTTCTGAATAGCTCATGATAAATCAATGGGTAATGTGAACTTTGTAAATCTAATGTTCTACAGGCCCAGAGACACTTGGAGAAGTATTTACTTGATGACTGGAACCAGGTGGAGCATGAGCTTCTGAGGGTGCGCAGTCTCTGGGGCCCATTGACTGGATCCAGGTTAGACAAGATGGTGCTTGATATGACCGAAGGTAAGTATTCATTTTGTTACTTTCTTGGTGATTTTAGAGAAAAAAGTTAAATGAATGTATTTTGCTTTAAAGGAAGCAATTTTACAAAAGAACAGATGACATACAGAGAAAATAATTTTGGATGAGAGGTAGGAAGTACATTGTTGCAGTCAGGAAGATTATGGGTATTAGAGACTAGTTTACAGCTGGGTTTACACGCTGATATGGAGGATGGTTTACAGCTGGTTTACACACTGACATGGAGGATGGTTTACAGCTGGTTTACACAGTGACATGAAGGATAGTTTACAGCTGGTTTACACACTGACTTGTAGGAGGGTTTAGATCAGGTTTACACGCTGACATGAAGGATGGTTTACAGCAGGTTTACACACTGACTTGTAGGATGGTTTACAGTATCTTTACACATGACATGTATGATGGTTTACAGCAGTTTTAGACACTGACATGGAGGATGGTTTACACACTGACTTGTAGAATGATTTACAGCAGGTTTACATGCTGAAATGGAGGGTGATTTACATCAGGTTTACACACTGACATGGAGGATGGTTTACAGCAGCTTTACACACTGGCATGAAGGATGGTTTACAGCAGCTTTACACACTTGCATGGAGGATGGTTTACATCAGGTTTACACACTGACTTGTAGGATGGTTTACAGTATCTTTACACATGACATGTAGGATGATTTACAGTGGCTTTACTCACTAACGTGGGGTATGGTTTACAGCATATTTACACAGTGACATGTAGGATGATTTAAAGTTTCTTTGCACAGTAACTTGGATGATGGTTTACAGCTGGTTGACACAGTGACATGGAGGATGGTTTACAACGAGTTTACTCACTGACAGGGAGGATGCTCAGATAGGTTTCAGTAAACAAATCTGCCCTATGACTGACAGATAACAGTATGTTCCCATGTTGCAGCCAAAAGAAAAAAATAACAACACCAAATGCCGATGTGAACTCATCAGTAGGATATGATCTGAAGAAAAAAGCAGTTTAAAATCTTCCAATTCTTAAATCAAAAAGACAGTATGTGCACATGCTCACATTCAAACATTTGTATCAGTTCTAGTACCTGTTTGTAGTTTTCTTTTGGCATAGTAATGTAATTTGTTCAAATCTTGAGTTTATCTGAAGGTTTGCATTCATTCAGCAGGAGGTTTATTTTATCTTATATTACCTATTGGGTAATATTTATGTCTTATTTTACCTACAGGACCTTTCAGGATGAGGAAAAAAATGATGAAGAATGACATGTTCTATATCCACTACCCATACCGGCCTAATCTGGAAGAGAGTGTGAGTTCAGCTTGTTTTGTGTTTGTATTAACTTTCCTTTTTGCTGAAGTTATTCAGTTTTACTATGGTGATTGAAAAACATGTATAAAGGTACTTTTTGGGGTAATTATTTTCATGTTAACACCATAAAAAAGACATCAGAAGCCTGGCTGGTTTTTACCTATGAAATGTTTATGTACATGAGCAATGTTGAAATTCAGAAATGTGCGTGCGATGAAGTCGTGAGGTTTTTGTCTTTATAATGTTTCTTATGCCAAACAATCAGATAGATAAATGCTGGCATTATCAAAGCACATTAAAAATTTACACATACATTAATCAGATTTCAATGAACAAAAGGCCATGTTCTGTTTTCACTACAAAGAAATGTTTTTAAGTTTTCTATTATGCTTCCACTGACAGTTGAGTTGAGTCAAGAATTGACATCACAGCACTCAGGGCATACCCATATGCGCTTTGTTCCCATCTTCAGCAGCCAATGCAGCGTTCCAGTACCAATTTTACCATTCACAATCTGGTAACATATCAGTCTTGCCTTTCCTCTGAGTAAAGTGAACCTGGCAGACCCTCTGGTCATACTCAGGTGCATCATTCTCTCCAGGTCATAATAATCTTCCTTCTCTATTGATTTCGTTGCTTGCTCCCAAAGGTCCTTGACCACATCTGCCTTGTCATGTATCAATTCACCGCCCAGTGATGCACATCCAGCAAATCTGTTCGCCTGTTCATTCCCCACCAAGCCTGGCATAGCCTAGAGAAAAGATCCAATGTATGCTCAGTACCCGTAACCTTCCAAGTAAAGCTTGCCACTATGCTTGAAGCATCCCTGCCTTCACTTTTTATCAGCATGCTTTCAGAGTCACAATTACGACATTTGTATGCATCTTGTTCTCTAGCCACCGAAAGGTGCAGTGACTGCCTCAACCTCCATTCTCATGCTAGATGTACTGTAGGTTTTTCTGTCCTGCACTAAAGATTTTCCATTGGCTTTCACAATGAAACCCCAGGCACTTCTCTTCCCTTTCAAGACAAAGCCATCTGTATAGATAATCAATGCTGTCATATATATAACTGTAAATATATATATATATATATATATATATATATATATATATATATATATATATATATATATATATATATATATATATATATATATATATATATATATATATATATATATATATATATATATATATATATATATATATATATATATATATATATATATATATATTATATATATATATATATTCTGACCTCCAAAATACCAAGCAGGTGCAAACACAGCCAATGACATCAACTTTGCATCTCGTGGCATTTACAGGAGATGGACCCTGTCTGAAAATGCCAGTTGTTTCCTATGGCTAATGGGTTAACATAAGAGCCATATAGAAGTAATGAAGTGTTTTAGCTGGCATACACAATCATCATCATCATCATTATTGTCCTGTTGTGCCATTGTGTGATACATAGGGCTCGCAGTCTATTCCTCCACTGTGTTCTATCCTGGGACTTGGATATTATGGAGGGTATCCAGTCCAGCACCGTAGACCTCTGTCTGTCTTCATTGTTCAAGTTAGTGTTTCTTTTGGATGTCCTCATTTCCTCAGTTCTTTTGTTTCCCATTTTAATGCATATTTGGTGATTCTCTTTTTATTTATTTCCAGATATAGCACCACTTGTTTTGTCTTATAACTTGTTACCAGATATTGTCCAGATATGTCTACTATTTCTGCACCCCTCGTGAATTCTTCTAATTTTATGTTCAGCATTTCTTAAGCACTTTGTTTTCAAGTTCATTTAACTTTGGTGTACACAATCGTTGTTATTACTTTTTTCAGCCTCTGAGATATAAAGTTGCCATAAGTAATGACAGCAAGGAATACTATGAGCATTTCCGACCTCAGGGCATCCTCTGTCTGGAAGCAGCTCCCATACAGAAAACCTCAGATGCTGATTTGATCAACAGTGAGCCAGATGTTAACACTGGCTCCCCTGATGGTTGGTTTTAAATGTTCTTAGTTGCTTTACATTATTTCTTATAATACAGTACAATTGAGCTTCAAACAATCTATTTCTCTCTGTATTTTGCTGCAAAACTAAATTGTTTCCACTAATTGTCACCACTACATTTTTTTTTCTAGCCATTTACAAATGTTTAGGTTCACTTGCTTTTCTTGCATTCATTTTGTAGAAACGTTTGATTATTTCAGTAACTTGTAGTTTTGTATATCTTCTGTAGTATGTTCCAGATTTTTATTTGTAGTATGTCTTTTAGATTGTAGTTTTGTGCAGCATACTGAGGCCAACTGATAACATTTCTCTTCTTAACATAAGGCATGTTAGTTTTCCCGATACTTCATGCTAACAGTTTTACATTTGCATGCTTTACATACATGAATGGTGCTTGTTCGGTACAGCACTGGGGTACTTGATTTTTATATAGTGCTAGTAGTAAGGTAATGTTACATTAGAAGTAAAAGTTGTATGCTGACTATAATTAAAACATAATTGTTCCAGTAAATATCTAATATCCCTGCATAGTTCTGAAGTTCCAGTACCACGTCTCACATCTCACAGATTTCTGAACTGAGTATGGAAGGAGAGTTCTGTAATACAGCTTCTATAAGATACTTTGCTATTGGGTTGGGAGAAAAGTCATCATGATGTGGAAGATCACCTGTCAGAACTGACTGATGACTACCAGCACCACACAGCATAGACTATAAAAAGAAGGATTGATAACTTGCCACATGGAGTGAGCAGTCAGCTTCTCTATATGTTGCAATTGCCAGCAAACACATTTTTTTAGCATTAATTTTGTGTGCAGTTATTGCATAATAACAACTGGATATCATTTGTAGTACATAATGCCTCCTACCAGGATTCCATCAGGACCTTAACTAACCTTGTTACATTGTATAAAGTTTGCTGACTAGGTTTACATGGAATAGATACAACAGTTTTTTACTTTGTCTGTTGACATTGACTCTTTCACCCCAGAAAAAAATAGGTCATGAACACCTGTGAATTTCCCAGAAAGAGCCTTTAAACCAACAAATATTTTACACAGATCACTCATCAGTTTTTTTTACAACTTATTTATTTGCTTAATTATTTTTTTTCGGAAATGTCAAGATGTATAAAGGGAGTAAGTAATAAGTAAACATAAACAGTGTAAATTGTAAGTTATAAATTAACAATTGAATCGGCAACACTCAAAAGACTACAAAAACTTCAGGTCAAAGGTGGTGTCACCACTATACAGGTAGCCAAAGAATAATAGTAAACAACACAGAAATGGTGTTATCAGTCACCACAAGCTGAGGGAGAAATTGAAGATGGGATCCGAGCACTTATGGACTTGTCCTCTCTTCAATGATGATAATATGTTGATTAAGTAACTAGCTAGTATAAAGCACTAAATGGAATACATTCCCCAAGGTCTCATCAAATATGTATCAGGTGACATGCCATGCACGACATCTCACAGGGGCTTAACAGAACAATTTCACATCAGTATGCTATAAAAAAAAGCTCTTTGGTTTACAGAAAAAAACCTCAGGGCCAATTTTTAGTTAATATAAACATATCTTGGCCTCCTAAACACCACACAGTTGCAAACAGAGTCAGTGGCGTTAAACTTTGCTTTTCAAGAACAGGTCACTGCAGAAATGCTGACATAACAGCATTTACTAGATTGTATCCCAACCAGAAGTGACTAGATCTAGTTTTGTCAGATATTGAAAGGTGTTAGTTTGCATCATTTCACAAAAGTTATTTTATTTTTTATTTTTCAATGTTTGGGTCTGGAGTGTTCACATAATCCCCTTGGAGCAGAAAGAATTCAAGTAGCTGTTATTACCGTAGAATAGTATCACGGCTGGGTGGACCACAATAAGTTGGGAAAAATAGATCGTATGAGTTCAAGAAAGCAAATACACCTCTGCTGTTTGGTACTGCATGAGTTAAATTTATTGTCAAGGAATCTCAGAATGCAATAATTCTGTCACTTTTTTGAAGAAATATGATCTGTTGTTACAGATGTCAACAGTCTGAAGAAACTGCTTCCCCGCTCCATCAGTTGCAAATCTACAGGTGAAGAAGATGATAATGATGATATAGGAAATGTAGATTGCCAGCAAGCTGAGCTGGAGAGATCAGAAAGTACAGTGGAGAGGTTAGAGAGTGAAGGAGAAAGCCAAGGGGACACTCAGGGAGACAGCAGTGCAGATAACTCATCAACCACCAAGGCAGATAACCAGACTATCTTACACTTTATTGGAGAAAAGGAAAGAGTAAGTAACAAAAACATGGTGGTGTTATTTCAGTAATTTGTTCTTACAGTTGTGACAAAAAATAGCAAGGAAAGCTGTTTCATTACTTCAGTTATGTATTGATGATTTTTTTTCCCCCTTCCCCCTTTTATCTCATGTTGAAGCATTTTATTAATCTGTCCCTAATTCTCTACTGTATATGTTTTAAGCCTCATTTGATCTCTTTATTAAAAGACTATAACCCATCATCTCCTTGTTTCATGGGTCCTAGGGAAAATTATAAGTGAAAAATGATTGTACAGTAGAAGAAATTACAAGAATACTTGGTTATGCAGTTAACATCAGTATTGTTGGAGAAATGATCCAGAGACAGTAAAATCATGGATTCTTTCAAAGGAATCAGCTCCCCCCAAAAATAAGACTAGTTATCAGTCAAGATAAGACAAAATACGTGGTCAAGATAGGACAAAATACATTGTAATTACAAGGCAGGGAAAGGAGAAATATATATATATACTTGGGTGCAAATGTCAACTGCTCCAACATACTAAGAGAAGAGATATAATCTGGAAATAAAGTATAATATGCTCTGCAACATCTCCTGAAATCAAAGTTATATTTTAACATTAAGATCAAAATATAAAAAATGCTGAAAAGACTGGTTGTTAATCGCTCTGAAACTTGAAGCACAGCTGAAAGAGATGAAGCCTTTTTACAAATTTTTGAAAAGAAAATCTTGCTTCAAATCTTTAGACTCATCAAAGATGCAGACAGCGGGGAATAAACAAAATTCACAATCTGTTTAAGTCACCATTGATAACTGGCTTCATGATGACTAATTGGACTGAAATGGCTGGGGTCTGTTGAGAGAATGTCTAATGACTCCAGTTTTTTTCCTTCTAATCACATGAAGAAAGAATTTAGATTGTCTCTTTCTCATGTGGACTATCAGTTCTCTTTGTGAGTCCGTTTCTTTCAAGACATCTTTATTACTCTTTTTATCTGTCCAGGGTATTCTAATCATGCGTCAATAAATCCACATCTCCACAGCTTCCAAACAAGTTTTCAGATGTGCGTGTGTATATATATATATATATATATATGTGTGTGTGTGTGTGTGTGTGTGTGTGTGTGTGTGTGTGTGTGTGTGTGTGTGTGTGTGTGTGTGTGTGTGTGTGTGTGTGTGTGTGTGTGTGTGTGTGTGTGTGTGTGTGTGTGTGTGTGTGTGTGTGTGTGTGTGTGTGTGTGTGTGTGTGTGTGTGTGTGTGTGTGTGTGTGTGTGTGTGTGTGTGTGTGTGTGTGTGGTGTGTGTGTGTGTGTGTGTGTGTGTGTGTGTGTGTGTGTGTGTGTGTGTGTGTGTGTGTGTGTGTGTGTGTGTGTGTGTGTGTGTGTGTGTGTGTGTGTGTGTGTGTGTGTGTGTGTGTGTGTGTGTGTGTGTGTGTGTGTGTGTGTGTGTGTGTGTGTGTGTGTGTGTGTGTGTGTGTGTGTTTTTTTTTTTTTTTTTTTTTTAATTTGCATCGGTACTATTTGGTGGCTTCAGCTACATCATATTTGTGCTTATTTCACATATTTTTCTGCATACTTCACTCATTTGGTTATTTGATTTGGATCAAATACTGTCCATATATTTCAGATCAGTCAAGTGTCCAGAAGTTTCAGATGTCATGTGTCCATATGTTTAAGATCAGTCATATGTCCATATATTTAGGAAAAGTCATGTATCCATGTTTCAGATCAGTCATGTGTCCATATGTTTAGGAAATGTCATGTATCCATATGTTTAAGGTCAGTCATGTATCCATGTTTCAGATCAGTCATGTGTCCATAAGTTTCAGATTAGTCATGTCCATATATTTAAGATCAGTCATGTGTCCATATGTTTAGGAAAAGTCATGTATCCATATGTTTAAGATCAGTCATGTGTCCGTATATTTAAGATCAGTCATGTATCCATAAGTTTGAGATCAGTCATGTATCTATATATTTAAGATCAGTCATGTATCCATGTGTTTCAGATCAGTCATGTGTCCATAAGTTTCAGATCAGTCATGTATCCATGTGTTTCAGATCAGTCATGTATTCATATTTTTCAGATCAGCCTGTACCCATATGTTTCAGATCGGTCGTGAGTCCATATGTTACAGATTAGTCATGTATCTCTATGCTTAAGATCAGCCATGTATCCACATGGTTCAAATCAGTCACTTTCAGATCAGTCCTGTATCTATATGTTTCAGATCAGCCACATGTTTAGATGTGCTCGTATTCAAGGTCTGGACACTGCTGAAGGTTTACTTCTATTCGGGAAAGAGCATTTCTATGTGATTGATGGCTTTACTCTGCTTCGCACCAAGGAGATCAAGGATATTGACTCCCTGCCATATGAGTATGTTTATTTTTCCAATTGCATGACCTTACTTGATTGTATTTCTATTGGAATATGTAATGTACTTTCATTTATGTTGCACGCAGGCATGGTTTAGTTTTGCAGGGACTGCTGGCTCATTCTGTAGGTCTGAGAAATAATTTGATCACTTAAGATTTTAAGGACATTGTTAGATGAGACAGAACACTTGGCTGAACTGATATGCTGAGAACAAACAACACTGAAGTGATGTCACCAGTGTCACTCCTCCCATGACAAACCTGATGATGTCAGACAAACTACATATGGGGAAAAATAGTTGAAGCATCCAGAGAAGTGAATCTTAACTATTGACCACAGTTGTAGCCAGTACCACAGATCTAGACATTCCATTTTTTCTGGGTAAGAGGTTGCGGTATAAAAGAATACAAGAACTATCAGGTTTTAGAAAATATACAAGTAGTTTGAAAACAAAAGAAGGTGCCAGACAAAATAACTCTTAGAGTCCCAGGGGGTTTAACATCACAGGCCCAAGGGGTAGTCAAGAAAAACATAAAATTGGTGCATCTTGCGTTTATTGGGCTTCTAGGTAGGAATCTATGAACGTATGATGCGTTCCTTGGGACTCAAAGACTTAATGGACAAAGATAAGGTAATTAAAAGATGAGCAGAGAATATAAAAGAGATATACGATGATAACAGCAGACCAGACATAGAGAGTCATGAGTACAGGGAAGGACCACCAATCCTAAAAACAGAAGTGGAAGATGTTATAAACCACAAGAAGAAATGTAAATCTCCAGGGCCAGATAACATCACGATTGAAGAATTAAAAGCTGCAGGTGAATTTGGTTTAGAAGTTTTGACAAAATTGTTCAATGACATTTATAACAGTGGGCAGATAAGAAAGACCTTATGATCTTTTGAAATATTTTTTCATACTTTTACCAAAAACACTTGGTGCTGTGGAATGTGGAGAACAATGAACAGTTTGTTTAATAAGTCATGTAACTAAAATATTAATGAGAATTAACATGAGAAGAATTAGGTGCTAAATTAAACCAGAAATTGGAGAAGAGCATGTGGTTTTGCTGAAATTAAGGGCACAAACAAGGCCATATTTATCTTGAGAACACTTTCAGAAAGAATGATTGATATGAATAGAGAACTGTATTTGTGCTTTATTTATTACACTAAAGCATTTAATAAAGTGAAACATGCAAAAATTATTAGAATTTTGGAAACCTTAAATGGTAAAGATCTAAGAATAATAAAAAACATATACAGTCAACAAAAAGCAGCCATGAGGATTGACAACCAAGTTGGAACTTTTCAAAACATTAAACATTGCGTTAGAAGGGTGTGTACTATCACCCGACTTATTCAATTTCTACACTTAAATAATAATTAGATCCATACATGTTATTCCAGGAATATCGGTTGGTGGGCATATTGTTAACAACCTGCGAAATGCTGACGATATAGTGTTGATCGCTGAAAATTAAAAACAACAGCAAAAAACGATGGATATAATTGTAATGGAAAGTGAAAAAAAAGGGTCTTAGTTTAAACAGCAGAAAAATATAAGCAGTGGTAATTACAAAGAAAACTGACCCTCCAAAACGGAACAAATCTCAAGCAAGTTGATATGTTTAAATACTGGGGTAACCTGATAACATCAGATGGAAGATGTATTAACTCTTTCAGGCCCATGAATTTTGACAGACTTGGCCCACATTAATTTCCCTTTACAAAAATGGCAGAGGGGTGGGTGTACAAGAAAGGGTATAGAGATTGTAATATACTTCTAATCCCTATAAAAGAATATATTTTTAAAAAGAGAAATGAATGTACATTTTGAATCTGATGATAAGTGTTTGTTTAATTTTGTTATAGTTAGTAGGAAAGAAGAATTCAGCAGGTGTTAATTTCACAAGGACAACATTTCACACAAAAATTCTTCACTTACCATGGTTTTGCAGCCACAAGAGTAGTAAATATCCAAATTTGAGAACAAAACTTCAAAGTTTGTTCAATTTCCTAACATATTCAAAAGTTATGATAACTTTCTGGGTTAGCTTAGCACTCAGGAGCTCTTAGTTTCTCACAGAGTGCTGTGCAAAATTTCAGAGAAAAAATGGCAGAAAAATTAGCCATTACACACACGCTATTTACTATTTACTTTGTACAGTTATTTACAGACTGTAGCTGCGATGATTTCAATGTAGCTTAGCCATAGTATAATACAATCTATTTGGTTAGAGCACTTTCCGTCTCTTACACCATAAATACAGTAGCAATGGGACATTGTAATAAACTCATCAGAATCGCTAGATTCCGAACAGCTAATCGCTCAGCTTCACTGGTGAAAATTCACCCTCTGAATCACTTTCCGAAAAATCTAAATTTTTATTATCATTATCACAATTAAAAACATCTGACTGAAACAATTTCAGAGCTTCGGCCGCAGAAAGACGCATTCTGCGACTTGTACTTGTAGTTGGAACATTGGTATTCATGGCACTCAAAAACGAACTTAGTAATGAACTGTTGACAACAATTTCGCTGTTTTTTCTCTCAAATTATCCACATCTGGTTTAGCCCAGGAAATTAAACTAAAAGGATTTCGGCAGAGTGACTTTCCCTGAACAGTTTAATCGTACCTCCAAACATTAGAAACTAGTAGGAAAGCGTGTGAAAAGCAAAATGTAAGGGACACACGATCGACGATGACACTGTTGTTTGGGCAAATTGGAACTTCTCAAACAATTCTCACACCGTTGTTTGGGCCTTAAAGAGTTAAGGAAATTAAATGTTGAATAGCTTAAGCAAAGGCAGCATTTTACAAAATGAAGAATATTTTGTGCAATCTTTCTTTGTCAGTTGAGATGAGAAAAATCATTCTTAAAAGCTATATAAATCTTGTATTGATATGGACAGTTGGTAAATTTGTGAAAACTTATTTGGAAGCCGCAGAGATGTGGTTTTATAGACGAATAGTGAAAATATCATGAACAGATAAAAAGAGTAATGAAGACATCTTGAAAAAAAAAAACGGACTCAAGAAGAGAACTGATTGCCAACATCAGAAGGAGACAGTCTACATTTTTTGGGTCCTGTGATGAGAATTAGAAAACTGGAGTACATCCTGACAGTAGGATAGCTGGAGGGGAAGAAAGGCAGAGGGAGACCGAGAGAACAGATTCTGGACCGTTTGACAATATGGCATTGAAGATCATCTGCTTCAGAGTTGATTGAAAGTACACAAGACAGAAGGTTGTAGTTAGACATGACTACCAGCGCCACACTTTCTGAGTCCCAGGGGTTTAGCATCAGAGGCCCAAGGTGTGGTAATGCAATTTATTTTATTTCACAAGTGTAACACATTAAAACAGACCATACTAATTCAATTGCTGCGCAACATACACATATTATACATCAAAGTGACCAGAGATTGTTGAGGAATCATTATAGAATACAGCTACAACAAATAATTGCGTTAGCAATTAAATATTATTAAATAAACAGATGATATGTTTACGAAAATTAGTAAAATGAAATAATTAAATTTCCACATACCACCATGGCACTCAGGGAAAACTGGTTAAAATATATCCAAAATTAATCACAAATGAATATGAATCACTTAGTAATGTATAAATAAAATAAAAACTTAATCTACGCATCAGATTTTGTTCAAGAGAATCTTTTGAAGCATCATAACAGAACACCATTATTTGGTAAAGAAAACTGACTCCCAAAACAATAAGTATCTTCACACAAAACGAAGTTTATGTAACACTCAGTGTGCCTGTAATTTTATAGCTATGTTCCTAAATAATAAGGGGAATAGCACTAGAACTAACTGACACTGAAGAAAATCATCTTTTCTCTAATGTTTATTCTATTTGTGCTAGCTGACTTTGCTATCCTTGTGCCCTTCTCATGAGGTACACGTTAGACATATCCCTCATCAAAGTTTGACTCTGTAAATGACTGAAACATGTCTAATTTGCAACCTTATCAATCCAGTTTCGGATAAATCTAATAAACACTTACGTTATTTTAATTTGAGGCTTTTAAAGCCATAAATCATGTTGGCAAGCATGTAAAATACTGCTTGGTGGCCATATTTGTTTTCAAGCAAACACTTAGTAACTCGGCAAACCTCTCAAATATACTATATTTTCTGCTTTCAAACCACGTTTTTAAATGAGCACACTGATATCAGACACAAAGAACTCGAAAGGAAGTTGAAATGGAGCGGTCCATATTTTATAACATGTCAGTGGTAGATTAAAAAATCTTCACTTGTCACGCGTCAAATGGGCCGCCAGTGTGTAACAAATTAGCGCATGATACGTTCTCTGGGACTCAGAGAGTTAAGAAGAAGAAGAGGTTCGAAGGATGAACAAGTGAGCCTAGATTCACTGTCTTGAAATGGTAATGGATGGAGCAGTTAGAAAATATTGAATGGTGTGAGTAAAATCAGTGATGGGTGAATATGTGAGTAAAATCAGTGATTGGTGAATATGTGAGTAAAATCAGTGATAGGTGAATATGTGAGTAAAATCAGTGATTGGTGAATATGTGAGTAAAATCAGTGATAGGTGAATATGTGAGTAAAATCAGTGATGGGTGAATATGTGAGTAAAATTAGTGATAGGTGAATATGTGAGTAAAATCAGTGATGGGTAAATATGTGAATTAAATCAGTGATGGGTGAATATGTGAGTAAAATTAGTGATGGGTGGTGAATATGTGAGTAAAATCATTGATGGGTGAATATGTGAGTTAAATCAGTGATGGGTGAATATGTGAGTAAAATCAGTGATGGGTGAATATGTGCCCTTAGGTTTACAGCGTCCAAACATCTAAGAAAAGAACCTCATGACTGCTCCTAACCAAAATTACTGATACTGTTAAAATATGTAGCATGAAAATATATTTGCGTGGCAGAAGGCTCTTATCTGTTTTACTGGTCATGATTGTGGCATTTTAGCGATATACTTCTCTTTTCCATTTCTGATCTAGGCCCCACATTTTGGGCTTTTGTGATCCACTTGACAAATAAATGGATGACTGTAAACTACATTTCAAGAATAAGATCCTTTCTATGATACCTCCCTCTTCTCTGTCTGTTGTGCAAGGGTCATTGTGTCATTGAATATAAACTGCACTTATAGTGTAGTTTGTGAAACTCTGTTAGAGTAGTTTTTTTTAAATCAGAACTGAACTGAACATCACTGATGTTACAGTAACCGCTGATTCATACACTGATACAGTGCTAAATGCATAAACTTGTTCCCAACAGAATCCATGATCCAATCATTCCCAAGTCATCCATGGGTTCCACTGGCAACATCAAAAGAATGTAAGTACATTTATTTGTTTGCTGTCAGATCTAATTTTATCAGCTGTAATCAAATCCTAGATGCATAATGAAGAAGAGTTTTTTCAATTCTGTTGATCAGAACTTTTTCAGAAATGTACTCCCAGAATTTTTCCATAACTGTTAATGTTGTCAGTCCTGAAAAGTGCATCACCGTATAACATTTTTCTTTCTGTATCCCTGAATATCAACATCAAACATCTTCTTTTTCATTTGATCACAGCCTACCAAAGAAGTCTGGCTACATGATTGGTGACTTACTTTCTCTTGCAGCACATGACATATTCAGTGGTTTTTCCATGAGATTTTTTAAAACAATAATAAAAAACTGAAGATTTTTGTGAGAAACATTTTGTGAATAAAAGAGTGAAATGTATCTAAAGATTTTTTACCTACTAGTGTACATTCTGCATATTTTTGGGATACAATTTCTGGTTGTAATTGGTATAAATCACTTGAAGCTTCAGTCTACTTAATGCCTGAAAATCCGGCTGACTTGTAGAAGTACTAGAATGGAATACAAGCCATTATTGTGACTTTATGGGGATTTACAAGGACATATCTTCTTGACTTTCCAACCTGAACCAAAGGATTAGAATCTGGAGAGCTTAGGCATACCTTAAATATGCGCTAATGAGAAACACCCGCTGCATCAAGTGCTTTTCAGTGAAAAAGGGCTGAAGAGGGAAAAATCATGGCTAGGTTGAGCAGAAGATGTTATCAAGCAAATATGCAGCCTAACAGACATCACTACTGGTGCAGAGTGGATACTTCTGCCTCATGCATTTATTTCTACATTTTCCTGTATTGCCACACTGTATAGACGATGCAGGTAGCAGAATCCTGTTGCTGTTAATGCAAAGGCCAATGCTCTCATCAGTGAAAATTCAAATGAGGCACATGTACTGATCTACACAGACGGATCTGTTTTACGCCAACAAAGAAGCGCATGGACGTTTACTGCACGCTCAGTGGGCATTACAGTCAAAGAAGCCAATGGTACCTTTTCCATGACAACCAGCAGCATGACGATGGAGGTAATGGCAGTTACATAAGTGTGGCTCGAAACACAAAATTACACCCACACATGTGTACTCAGTGATTCAGTGAGTGTGATCCGGAGGGTTCAGGCAGGTTCCGTGTGAAGACAACAGCTTGAATCATTATAGAAGTCAACTGCGTGGAGTCAACCTTTATTTTCGTTCCGGGACACCGGGCGACGATGGAAATGAAAGAGCAGATAGGTTGTCTAGATCCACTATTACTACAGACGGTCAACCTATAGATCATGCCGAAACTATTAATGCCCTCTTAGAAATAGGAAGGGTAGAGGACTTTGGAGACAGTCAATCCACAACACTCGCCAGAATAATAGACTTTAAGGTTAAGATCAGCATAACAAAAAACAGAGCGCACACAAGGCACATCGGAGGACTTGTTAATCAATATAGAACTGGTACTATTAGCCACCAGACACTGGGATTTATACTGAGAAGAGGATCTGAGCACCTGTAGACATGTCTAGAGTGCATTAATGCTAACCTAACTGACTAACTAACTAATCTGGATTTGTAGTCGGGTGGTTTCATTGTGTAACATAACCACCCCTGATTTTGAAAACAGTGGATTGGTGAAAAGCAGCTAGTACCCCACTTTACACAACAAATTAAACCTTGTTTACAACAAACACCCCTTTGTGCACAACGAAAACCACCTTGTTCACAGTGAAAACCACCTTGTACACAGTGAAAACCACTTTGTTCACAGTAAACACCGCATTATACACAGTGAAAACCATTTTGTTCACAATGAACACCACTTTGTACAAAATGAACCCCACCTTATACACAGTGAACTCTTCTCTCTAAAGATCTGCATCACCTATACACAACCACCACCTCACTTTATACACAACTCACACCAACTTGTAAACAATGAACACTTCCTGGTACAAAGTGAACACCACCTTATAAGCAACCTGCACCACCTTGTGGACAACAAACGTCAACTTTTACGCAATTAACGCTGCCTTGTAAACATGTCGTCCACTTTGTACACATCCCACACACCTTGTACCCACCCTGCACAACTTTTACAAATTCCACCTACCTTGTAGATGTCCCACACAACTTGTATCCATCCCACCTATCTTGTACATACCTCACCCATGCTGCACCACCTTGTATACATTCAACCTCTACTTGGCCACAACAAACACTACTTTGTACCACTAAACACCAGTTGTAGACATCCCACCCCTCCTTTTGCATAGTCCATATAAAGATCTTTCTAATCTGAACAGGGAAAGCAGAAAGAAAGCGTGTAAAATAGATGGAAAGTGGTGCTGTATGGTAAAAAAGTAGAGAGATATCTTGGCATGAAATTTGAATTGATGTAATTACTTGGTGACCTTAAATTGTTAAAATCTCAGGTGTGTGACTGTTTTGTTTTCTCTCAGTGACCTCTTCCTGAGCATACTGTTAATACAAGAACATAGTTTAAATTTGTATTGCATATGTTAGAAATCATACAAGAAAAATAAACACTTTATTTTTGATGTGCTGAAACTTATCTTTCTTTTTAAAAGAATAAAATTCATTTATGACTACAGACAGAATCAGATTTTTAAAACAAGGGATATAAAGATTTGATGTTGAATGTTGAATTAAGAATCAATATCACAGCACGCAGGACACTCCCATAAACGCTCCTTCCATATTTTCAGCAGCAAGCGAAGAGTTCCAGTTTCGATGGTGCCAGTAATTGTCCGACTGTATATTCATCTTGCCCTTCCCTTGAGTGTCAAGAGTCAGCTATATTTCATGGGAACTCTTCGCAGCGCCATTCTCCTCACACCATATTGATTTATTTGTCCCTCCACACTGTTCACTTGCTCCCAAAGGGCCCTCATAACATCTAGCTTGTCATACATCAATTCACCACCAAGTGGTGCAGAACCGGCCAATCTATCTGCCTGCTCATTTCCTTAAACACCAATATGACCTGGAGAAAATGTCGAAAGGAAGCTAACTATCTGGGACATCAGAAGTGATGCTTGCCACTCTGCATGGAGTATGCCTTCTCCACCTTTCTTGACATGCTCTATGAGTCAGTTACAATCACGGTATTTGTTTACAGCTGATTCTCAAGCCAGCAGAAGGCAGCAATGACTGCCTCCACTTCCATTCTCAAACTAGATATTGTGGTATCATATGCTTGACTTTGTTGTACTAAGTGACATCCACTTGCCTTTGTTAAGAACTACCATGCACTTCATTTGCCCCTCAAAATAAAGCAATCTGCAAAGATAATCACATCACCTGGGAATTGTCATGAATCATTTGTTGAACCTCTGATTCTGCAGCACCAGCTGGCCAGTCCCTGCACTCATGACCTAAAGTGATAAGGGCCCTACACAAGTCTGAAACTTTCTCTCACACTTTGACTCACTTCTCTCCTTGCCCAAATTAGATTTGATGTGAAAAGACATTCACTTCAACATATAAGTATTTGCTGCAGGTCGGAAACTTTCTTTGAATGCAATAAATCATGTGGTTAATATTCTCACACAGGTATAGCCGTTTTGCTTATGAGGACATCCGAGAAGTCCACAAGCGGAGATATCTTCTACAGCCAATTGCTATTGAAGTGTTTTCAAGTGATGGTAGAAATCAGCTTCTTGCATTCCCTCGCAAGATCAGAAACAAAGTCTTAGCCAAGTGAGTTCATTTATTGTTGATTAGAATTGTTCATTTTACAGTTGTCTGTGGTTTCCGGTTCCAGCATTGATAGGGAATGGATGACGGTTGAGAACTTGGCTCATGTTGACCGTTCTCGTCACCGTTTCTCCTCCAGTTTGCAAAAGTGTGGAAGTCCAGTTTGCAGCTGGAGCTACTGAGTTTAGTACTCCTGGCGGCACTATGAGCTGTGATTATCCATTATTGACTGAATTCCAGATTCGTACATAATGGCAATGATCGATGATGTATTTTTCCTTGTTGTGTTCCTGGGACAGGGCATGTGCTATAGCTGCTAATTATTTGCTGGCCGTGGTTGCAACTTGGCCGAGGACATGTGGAGAATGGTCAGGAATAGTTTTAATCTACTCATCGCCCAGCTATTTGTTGAGTGAAGTTGATTTTCTGCGATGACGCCTGGTCTCACAGTGTGTTCAAGGAGGCATGCACCTTATGGTTTGCCAGATCAGATCGTGTGTGTTTTGCTGACTGAGGACACTTTGTATGGCTACAGCATTCACTTGAAGTATCCAGCATATCTAACTCACTTTGTGACTGGAATCACAGGCATAGGCGGTTAAGCAATTATGAGCCAAGCTTGTTTGCTGTGATGCTGGAACAGTAACGACTAGTGACTAACAGTTGGTGTTATTCATTAAAACATTAGTTAGAAACTGTTGCTTGCAGAGGAAGACACTTCTTTATGACATGGCTGTAAAGTGTAGCAGTGTTGGTCAAATGGACAAATTTAGAGTTACGCAGAGAGATGAAGTGTTTGAAAGTGTTTTATGATGTGACATGAAAAGAAATATTTTTTTCTTTTTAATTCATATATGTGCTTGTTGTTGATATTCTCCACAGGTTTCTATCAGTTGCCACAGCTATGACTGACAATGCTCAGCACCTGGTGTCAGGTCAGAGACAGAATGCTCGAGTTGAAGCTGGGTATGCTTTCCTTACTTGTTCTTATGTGAATGCGCATTGAGAATGATGAATAATACATTTAGAAACCAAAATTTGTTTTGAAAACAGCTATCACTAGGATGACACATATTTTTCATGCATTTGCAGTGCATGATAGTGTAGATCCATGCCTCGTGAGACTGGGTCAGTAGAGACAGAGCAGAAGGTATTGAAGACAATCAGCTGACAGGAGAAAAAAGGATAGGCAGGTCGCTACTGGCACTATCAGCATGGGAGCTCTTTCCTGGCTTCTGAATATAAGATTGAGCATGGGTTTAGCTCTTTACAAACAAAATGCCACTTTAACGGTTTTTAATCTGTCACGTTCGGACCAAATGCCACTTTAATGGCTCTTCATAGAGACACTCTAATATTGTTTTGTTTGCTGGGAAAATGAATTTGAATGAACATGTTTTGAAGATCTAGAATTTGTGAAACAAAGTCTTTTTATTTTCAAAGTTTGGCGGGTGATTGGAATACTTTATGATTTGTTTTTAATTAATTCAGTGTCATGCAACTTTTATGTTATGTTATTTCCCCCCCCCCCCCCCCCCCCCCCCCCCCCCCCCCCCCAACCCCCCCCCAAACCCCCCCCCCCCCCCACCCCCCCCCCCCCCCCCCAGACCAAATGATTAAGAAAAAGGAATAGAACTGTTCATTCTGCTCTGTTGTTGATGAATCTCAGCCAGATAATGACAGTAGTCTTGATCTTATGATAATATAGGTTAGGATGAAGTTTAACAAAATATTTCAATTGGATTCTCAATGTTTCAATCAGCTGTGTCCGGAGTTCAGTTGTTTTGAAATTTGTTATGTCATACAACAAGGTTTGTAACGTACAAAGTATTTAAACTAATTGTTTCACATAAAGACTAGCTGATGCAAAATTGAACAGAGGAGACATATGAATTCTTAGAAATGGATAACAGTGCTGTTGAACAAGTAAAACATAAGTTAACCACAACATTTTATGTGTAAATAATCTTCATTTGTGTCTAACATTGAATGTTGTGTGATTTAATAATGTTTTCTTGTAAAACTGTTACTTAAATAGTTTAGATTTTTTCTGCATTCATTTCTCTTTAATTTTTAATATATTATATGTCCCTGGACAGCCAAAATTTTTTCTTCACGAAGGTTTAGCTTTGTCATGTTGCAGTAAAAAAATGCAGATCAAAATTAATGCTGTCCAAATCCCAGACAAAATATAGTCCTGAAAGAGTTAATTATCTAAATGCAGTGATGTCAATTCTTCATTAACTTATTAATTCATTTGTTCATTATTTAATCAGCTGTGACACAGTCTTCACAAACTTTATTGTTTGCATTAGCTGCTATAAATACGTTATATATTGAGCAGTTTCGTTTAATTTCCAGTGCGTGTGCCTTGGTTTAGCAAGCCAGTGCAGCTTGAGTATGTGCTATTATGAATCAGTATACACAACCTAGAGCAGGGTTATTCAGCCAAATTCATTAAAGGGCAACAATATTGAGGATTTTGTGCCAGTGGCCTGAGCCCCAGCATAAAAAGAATATTAAAACAATTTAATCAGCAGTGATACATTGATCACTTGCTGGACCTCTCAGAGCCGGATTTGGTCTGTGGGTTGCTGGTTGAGTAGCCTTGTCCATGAGGAATCAATAAGCAAAGCTAGCAGAAGTAGAGAACCTTACATCCAGCTAACAGTGCCAGTGAGAAGCCATCACAGCTGTAAATTCAATTCATAAGAGGGCAAAGAAGAGTTCTAAACTCTGAAATCAAAGTTTTCAAGTAGCCCTTTAAAGAAGGTCCTGATTAGTTAGTTAGTTAGTTAGTTAGTTGGGTTATCATCATTGCACTCCGGACATGTCCATAGGTGCTCAGATCCTCCCCTCAGTATAAACCCCAACGTCCGATGGCTAATAGTACCAGTTCTATGTTGATTAACAAGTCTTCTGACGTGTCCAGTGTGCGTCTCGTTTTTTGCTGTGCCGATCTTAATTCCCAAGTCTGCCATTCTGGCGAGTGATGTGGATTCACTGCCACCGAAGTCCTCTATCCTTCCCATTTCTCTGAGGGCATTGATAATATCAGCATGATCCATAGGCCGACCGTCGGTAGTGATAGCGGATCCAGCCAACCTGTCAGCTCTTTCATTTCCATCGACGCCTGCGTGTCCCGGAACAAAAATAAAGGTGGCTCCACGCACAGTGGACTTCTGAATTGATTCAAGCCATTTTCTTCGCACTGAACCTGCCTGAACCCTCCGGATCATACTCATTGAATCACTGAGTATACATATGCGGGTGTATTTTTGTGTTTCAAGCCAGGCAAGCGCTTGCGTCACTGCCATCACCTCCATCGTCATGCTGCTGGTTGTCATGGAGAAGGCGCCGTTGGCTTCTTTGACTGTTCTGCCCGCTGAGCGTGCTGTAAATGCCCATGCGCTTCTTCTTTGGCGTATAACGGATCCGTCTGTATAGATAAGTGCATCTGCTTCGTCTGAATTTTCACCGATGAGAGCGTTGACCTCTGCATTAACAGCAACAGGATTCTCTTCTCTACATCGCCTGTTGAGTGTGACAATACAGGAAAATGTACAAATAAACGCCTGAGGCACAGGTATCCATTCTGCACCAGGTCCTGATTATATATAGGTATGTAGATTTGCATTAAAAAAAACTGTTGTTTTTGTTTAAATAAATAAAAAAAAATTTGGTTTCATTTACTGGAAGTTAATAGGCTTTAAAAACAAAGGGGAAAAATACTCCTAATCTGAGAAATGTATAAATATTATAGCCTAAAAAACAGTGTAATAGAAATGTACAACTGAATTCTAAAACATTTGTTTTTCAGAAGTGGCATCATCAGCAATTTAATTGGCGAGAAGTCTGTCACCCAGAGATGGGAGGTAAGTATTGTATTTTCGGTCAGATGTTTGTGAAATTATTCATAATCAATGAACAGTCAGAGTAACTTACTTGTTTATAATAGTTTATGTTGTAGAGGGACTTTGAAAAGCAGTAGATATGCTGGTAACACTAAACTGTATTATGGAGGGAGACAGTTTGATACATTTTCTTGTTTGTAACACTTTGTACTGTTAGAGGAATCATTGAAGCGACTGATACTTGAACTGTGTTAAAGTGTTGTGGTTAGACAAAAAAGAATATGCTTATAATACTTGGCACTTTGGTAGGGGTGTGATAGGGATTTGAAGTCTAATATGTTGGGCAAGCACAAAGTTCGCTTTGGTCCATTGGATTTAATTTTTGCCAGACTTTCTGTTTATATGTTAAACAAGACAGGTGACAATGGTGATCCCTAGGGAAGGCCTTGGCAAATGTGAATTGAATCTGAGCTCTATATTCCCAAACAAAATACCACTGTTCTTTCCAACAGTACTGCCCCAATACAATTAGCTAACCAAGGGTTCACACCGCAGTCCATCACGCACTGCATAAGATATGTGAAGTCAACATTGCTATGGGCATCTTCAAGATCTATCGCGACAGCGACTGTTTTTTGCTTTTGCTGAAATCTTTCATACACATCATATGCGAGCGTTCCATCATTGTCCCATGTTACCTTTGAGGGCCTATAGCTGCCCATGGTGTCGGTAGCATGCCCTTTCTTTCTAAGTATAATATCGCTTTCTTTGCCACAATTCTTTCTAGCAGTTTGCCATACACATTTTCGAGAGTAATGATTCTATAACTGCTGAGCTACGAGGGATCCCTGCCTGGTTTGGAAATGGTCTAAGATAGCGGTGTAACCAGTCATCTGGTACATTTGACTTTTGGATACTATCATTAAAGTCCCTCACAACTCGTAGTATTTCATCACTACCTAACTGTTTAATATGGCAATAGCGTACACCGTCTGGCCCTGGAGCATTATTTTTGCTGTTTGGCAATGCCACTTTTATGTCGATTTTAGCAACGAAGTCCTCATAATCGTTGTCTATGACAGTGCTACGGCTGATATTCTCTAGAGTGCTGCTCCCATCTGTCCTATCGTCTTTATCAGTTTGGATTAAATACCCCCTAAAAAACGCTTGCCCCTTCTCCTTGTCACTGGTTAATTTTTTACCTCTTGAATCCTGAATATCTGGCATATGACGGCTAGTACCATTTTTTAAATTCATTTGTTGGTGCAAATTCCAGAATTTATGTAGTGTTTTCTCCCCTGTCACAACATTTACCCAAATGCTTTCTTTGGCCTCTTTGGCACAGATTTTAAATGCATTACCCAGGTTTTGTTTATCTTGATGTTTTTGTTCACTATCTTCATAATTTACATGTCTTAGTTTTCGTGCTTTCTGCCATGCATTTGATTGCCATAAGTGTTGGAGTGGGGGGGGGGGGGGGGGGGCAAGGTCGGTGCTGAAGTTGATATTGTGACTGAAAGTCACAGATGTGCATCTTCTCAATAAACAAACAGTACAACCATAGTCTTTGTCAAAATGAATGAAAGTGACAAAGAACTAGGATTATCGTTGTCATGCTTTGTAGAATGATTTGAGTTGCTTCATATTTAAAACAGGCTCTTTTTTGGTGTAAGTGATTCAGTTATCCCCTTTTTACTGTATAAACAGAAAGGAGAAATCAGCAACTTCCAGTATCTGATGCACCTGAACACCCTAGCTGGACGCTCTTACAACGATCTCATGCAGTACCCAGTATTTCCCTGGATTATAGCCAACTATGACTTGGAGGTTTGTGTCTATTACCTCACAATAGATGTTGTACTTAGTTGGCATGTTTGTTGTGAATCATTCATGGTCATTGACACAATTTTCCCCATATACAGTATTTATCTCTACGCCCCCAAAAAAAAAAAAAAAACTAGGTGCTATGAGTTGGTGGGTGTTTTTATTTTGTCTTCTGTAATAAACAGCTCAACCAAATAATAAATATATATATCAGTACTGAAAGTTGTATGACCCACTAGAAGTGTCCAGATGGTAAAGTATATTCTATTATGCTTTATGCTGAGTGAT